TATGGGCAAAATCTAGCCCTTCAAGATGACATTGCCTACCAATATTTTTTTTTATTATTCAGGATTATAGGATAGGATTCTAAATATTAAGTAGGTCTCACACTATTTAAGGCTTGGGCTGGATCTAATTTGGCCGCATAAGGTGCCTAAGCTTTAATTTAATTAGGCAAATTTTGTTACGTTAGTAATTGTTTTTTTCAATTTCAAAGCAAGATTATCAATTTACCTAGGCCATAAGCCTCCCATTAGATATGCTCTAACGGGTCGTGTAATTACAACGTCGACAAGGCACAACCCGTTTCCCAACATTACCAAATATTTACTTGGATTACATTTGGCCTATATTCTGTAAGTTGGCATCACTCGAGGATCATGCATGCATGTATGACAAAAAGCCACCTTTGTTGAATTTATCAGGTTATTGTTGATGAGAAGCATGCATGCCTTAGAGGAAAACCGAAAGGGAGATCAAAAGGGAAGCAAACTACGCAATTTGATTGGCAAGACGAATATGATTTAGCCGCCTAAAGGAAGATTTGGTTTCCAAAGACAAAGGGCATGTGCATCTCGAAATAGTAGGTGTTGAGATTATTAGCAAAAAGCAGCTGGTATCTTAGAAAGTATAAAATGTGAGGGACAGTTGAGCTCGTTGATTATTATTATTAAAGCATGCATGTGGGATATAACATCCAATCTAAGTTGACAAAGAATAATTTGCTTTAATTATACCAAAAAGACTTAGTCCTCATTTCCCCAATTAAAGTGAACATTAGAATTATCTTTATGCGATATAGTACAGTAAAACTGATTTTTTATTTATTTAATTTTTTTACAAAAACTTGAATTTTTTTTTTTTGTGACATTTACTAATTTAGGCTTATTTCAAACGGTTAATAAATAATGTAACTTTTTAACATGCTTTAGTTGACCGACAGAAAAAAATTAAGAGAGATTTTTTTTAATTTTTTTATTAAGCAAATAAAACTATAAAGTCAAGTGTCAAAATTTTCAGAAAGATGCACCAACGGCTCATTACTTACTACACTGGTACTAACTTTTAGCTTATAACTTACCACGCATATATGAGAGATAGTCCTATGCAAAAAATGCACGATGTTCACAAATTTAGCTATATTAGTAAAAATAATCATCTCCAGTCAGTTTTTTTTGAAAATGTGAGTTCAAGAAATATATTGAAATCCAAGGAACAGAGCAATGACCCAAAATGATGAATTAAAAAGGAGAAAGAAATGAAGAAATATAACAGAGCAATGGCCTCTAACAATAGAGAGAACTCAAAAAGGAGAAAGAAGAGCAACAACGAAAAAAGTAGGGGAAAATTACAAGATGAGAAGAAACATAAAAACTAAAAACTAAAGATGGATAAAGTCCTTAAATGTGGTGGGTAGAGTGTGGAATAAAGGAGGGATAATACAAGAATAAAGTGATTTGACTAAAGTTTAGTTCTCACAGATATTATAAACATGCATGTTAATTAATTCCTCCCTCCAGGGTCCAGACTGCTGTATAAAGCAAAACTTAATAGAACAAGAAGCCCTGTGCTAATATCCACACATATATCATGCAGTTATTTAATATGGTGTTGCCCACATATACACACACATATATATTTATCTAATTTTTTTGCAAGAATGATCGATAAATGATAAATTAAAATAGACGGTTGGGATTCTTAAAAAAAGTTCATTAATTGGAAACCGCAAATTTTTGTGTCCCAAGATCCTAATCCTATTTATAAGTGCAATATGTTACATATCATAACTGTTATCATGTAGTATGCAAATCTGGCATCACTTGCATTACTCATAAAAGTGAGTCTCATTATCAATACTAAATATACACTTTTTTTATCCAACCATATATTTGAGGTGTGGGAGATTTGAGTTAAGCTTACACAACAAGTTGGCTACAATAATTTTAATATTAAAATTGTTATTTGAGGGAGGCAAACGTAAAATTTCAAATTAAATTGTAGTATTAAATAACTAAAATATAAAATTTAAAGAACCATTAAAAGAACCATTGACTCTCTCTCTCTCTTTCTCTCTCTCTCTCTCTCTCTCACTACCTGCATTAGATAGTTTAACTATTATGAAGAACTATTGACACACTGTCTCTCTATCAGTACTGGATTAGATAGTTTAACTATTATGAACTCTCTGTCCCTCTCTCTCTCTCTCTCTCTCTCTCTCTCTCTCTCTCTTCGTGTGAATGTGATGTATCATAATGAACTGAAATGGCAATGTCAATTGTCATGTCTTCTGCTTTCCAAGGAGACATTATTGTCGTATTGATTGATCCCTTATTTGACGCATGATACACCACTTGTGAGTTGTGATGAAGAATATTATGAGAGTAAATTCCATGAAACAAGTTTACTGATATATAAAATTTAAATTTAATAATATAATATTATCTGAAAAGAAATTTACACATCGTACAATATTATTATACCGGAACATACGATCATGGTGAACTTGTTTGCAGAGGAATGCATGCTTCCAATATCTTGAACAAAACAGACAGCTAGGGGAGGTGAAATATACAAATTAAGCAGCTTTGTCCGCAAGTAAGGACTAATTAGTTACAATGGCCGAGGTGAATGTAGCTTTTAGTCCAATGCTAAATAAAAGGTGATGTCCTCTATCACCGATGCCACATATGACGGAAATGGATCATCTTCGGATGCCTTTCATCTAATTCTCTTCATCAAATTTCAAGAGTTTGAATTGTTTGATGAGTATAATTAGGTAGAAAGGATATGGAGATCATCCCTTTCAACAGATGAGAGGATCCCTCTGAGGCTCTGAGGAAGTGCCACAGTGGTGGTGCCTGTTTCGTCACAAACCGTGTGACATGGCTTGCTTAACAATAGCCACAGTAGCTACAGTAGTTGTGCCCATTGAGGCAAAATTTGTGGCCCCGCAAATCCATGACCATATCTCAAATTTCTAGTAGTGTAAGGATCATTATGTTAATAATGAATCTCACATTTATAAGAGGAATTTTGTCTATACTTATAAATAAGTTGCGTAACTCCCCATTATTGCCGATTAGTTTTATGATGAATCTCAACTTTCTTTATAGTATTAGAGCAGGTTTTACACGTGTGAAGCTCAATGATCACACGTGCTTCACGTCACACTATTTATGTTGTCTACGTGTTTGGCTAAAAATTTATCATACGTAAGGCGTATTGAGAAAGAATTCCACATTTATACCAAGAAAGACCTTGTATGTATTTACAAGTAAGTTAAACTACTCTTATTTCTAATTAATTTTATAGTAGAATCTCAACTTTCTTCACAATATTCTTTTATTTAATTAGATAATTTGTTATTGAAAGGTTCACATGAATAGCATGAGGCACTCAATTTCACTTCGAAGGGTTAACGACGAAACTTCAATTTAATAATTAAACACCCATTTGTAGCATGGAGCTGACCTGAGTGCCGGGGCAGTAGCTGTACTATATATAAAGTAGCATGCATGCCTGCATATATATATATATATATATATATATAGTTAAGTGTGGGACACACATTTTTTACATCTGTTTTTGGAGGGCTTACTCCATAATGTTTTTCAACAATGTAACTGTCTTTTTTTTTTTATGTCTTACTTCAAATATCACATCTATAAAAAATAGCTAAATCCAAAATTATATGATTGTTAGATTCAATTTAATGTTTCTTTGAAGAACTATATTCGTCTATTTTTTTCACTATAAATGAATGTCTTGACGACTTTGGATTTATGTAATTTTTTGCAATAATGATATATGAATAATGCTAAAATATAGATGTTACGGATCATTGAAATACATTATCAACTGGGACCCTACAAAGTCAGTATCTAAATATGTGTCAAAAACATATGTCTCCTGATCATACTCTTTATATGTATTAGTATCATTCATGTCATTAATTTATCAAGGCTTCAAGCTATACTTAAGGTAATAACTGGATCGAATTAATTAGAGCGCCTCCAATGAAAGATACAAAATGCCTTGAAATTGGCATTTTACGTTTTCGGGAGGCTAGAAAACACTCCAATGGCTGGACGTAAAACATTCATCTTAAGATGAAAATAAAAATGTAAGTTTACATATTCTTCTACATCATTTGGAAGTGAACGCTGCCAATAAAAAAGAAAGCAATAAATGGAATCTCAAATTTATATATCTCCCTCATTAAAATAGAATTAAAATTTACACTCCTCGAAAATATAAATTGAGATGTAAATATTGCTTTTACATCTCAAATTTATCTCTCTGATGGAGATACTCTTAGGCCCTTGATTAAGAGTGCAATTTAAAAGTGAAAATTGAAGACAAAAAGGCTGGAGAAGGTGCATCAAGAACTCTTTGAGTTCAAATAAAGTTTGGATAAAACTATTCACATATCTATTTTTATCTTCCACACATTCTTATTAATTTTTTGTCATTAATTTTCTTCAATTCATTTGATAAGGCTGAAAATTGAGAGGGTATGAGAAATAAAAATGTGGGAGTGGAGCACTACCCTAAAGTTTAGGGCACTCATATTAAACTACGGTAATGATTTTCAAACTCTTATTTTCTCCTTCACCTTTTTATATTAATTTGTTCTTTAATTAATTAATTTGATTAATATGCTAGAATAAAAGTGTGGAGTGTAAAATAGAAACGAGAGTGCAAAAATAACTTCCCTGTATCATAAAAAGGAGAGATTTTGCTAATTTTCCATTGAGACAACATTACTTTTCATAAGCCTAATTCCCCTTGGCACTCTCTCTCTCTGTGGCAATTGGCATTGTATTCTGGCTTTCCTTTTGTCCTCTCCACTCTCTGACACGCACACTTCGCTGTATGTGGCGTAAACTTGCCTGATAGTGCAAGCAAAGCTTTAAGCAAGCAAGCACCCCACTTTTTATTTTATTTTATTTTTTTTTTAGTTTTGTTTTGTTGTTGTTGTTGTATTATGGGTGCTCTCTCAGGTTTCAACTAGTTTGGTTTCTCCAAAAGCTCAGTGTATTCCTCTGTAAAAAAGCTATGCCTTTACTTCTCTCTCTCTCGTCTTTCCTAATTGGGCCCCTCATCAGGACTCATCACTAGTGACTGTATTGTCAGCTGATATTAATACTTAGTGCTTCACTGGCTAAACCCACCATCAAAACCAGTCTCTGGTCTCTCTACCGCTAAGCTTGGCTATACCTACTCTCACTCTCTCTCTCTCTCTCTCTCTCTCTGAGTGTGATTTCCTCAAACAACTGATCTCTTCTAATTTCTTGCTTTGTTTCTTTACCACCCACTAGCTCCACCAGTTCCCTTCCCCTTCTTGCTAACATAATCAATTATTCTTGTTTGTTCATAAACTAATCTACACTTCACCATTTTCATTTGATTAAGCTTCTCCCCTACCCCTCAACCCAACCCCCCCCCCCCCCCCCGCCCCGCCCAAAAAAAAAAAAAAAAGCCAAAGAAAGACTGTTTTTCTTTTGCAGCTTCTTTGTGACTGGAAAATGGGAAAATGGAAGGTGCAGTTGGCGACGGTGCGTGAGCATGAACTAGCTATACACCAAGATATATTCTCCAAGGGAAGTTCATCCTCTTATTGTCTTCTTTCTTTATGATCTTCTCTACTTTATAGCTATTTCTCGACCGATTAATTTCTTTTTTGTTGATCATCCTTCTTGGGAGTCTTTGATGAGTGCATGGTGACCACCTTTACTCCCTCTCCCTCCCTCCTTCCCTCTGTCTATCTATCTATCTGTTTCAAATTAATGAAAGAGGAACACTAGCACTATTTGCTAGCTAGGTACTACAACTGGTATATACATATTTAGGGAGATATATGTATATTCAAAGTGGATGTGGCTCAAGAGTGATCAAGATCCTTTTAATTAATTGCTATACTACGTTCTTTAATCAAAAGGATTAATTATATATTGGCCCCATATTCAAACCCTCCAATTCTCTTTCTCTCTCTCTTGTTCCTTCTCTTTTGGTCTCCAATTACCAAACAAACAAGACCCAAATCATTAAAATAATAGTTAGAGGAAAAAGAGAGAAAGATCCATCTGTCTATTCTAGCTAAAGGATAGATTAATTAATTAATTAATGATGGATCATCTTTCAAGTCAAGAAGGAGAGATCCCAATCACAATCCCAAGCCCAATCCCGATCCTAATAAATACGTCCTTTGGAAGTGGTGGGCATGGACACTTGATCCATCATCATCACCAGCAGCCCCCCCATGACCCTACATCAGCAGCAGCAAGAGCACCAGTGCCCCAGAACAACAACAAGCACTCCAATTTTCTTCCCTCCTCAGCAGTGGTGCCCCAAAATCAAATCCCCTCCAACACTAATGGCTCTATTCCCATGCCCACAAGCCTGGATCATTCTCATGAGGAGGAGGTGGAGCATCATGTCAACAATGCAAATGCAAATGTTGTGCCCTACAAATACAGCACTTTTAATAATAAGAAAGTTGGGCACAATGGGGTGAGGTACAAGGAGTGCCTCAAGAACCATGCAGCAGCCATGGGAGGGACTGCCACGGATGGCTGTGGCGAATTCATGCCCAGTGGAGAAGAGGGTACCATTGAAGCCCTCAGTTGCTCTGCCTGCAACTGCCACAGAAACTTCCACAGAAAAGAAGTTGAAGGTGAGCAGCAGCAGCTCTCCTCTTGGGATCATAATTTCCATCATACCATCAACAGGGCGGTTGGAATTGGGAGCAGGAAATTCTTATTAAATCATGGAGGAGGAGGAGGAGGAGGAGGAGGACATCACAAGAGTTTACTAGCACCACCCCAATACCCCCACCAACCCCAGATGCTAATGCCTAACTATAACATGGGGATGGGGATGCTGGGGATGCTGGGGTCCATCCCTTCAGATCAATCTGATGAGCCGGAAGATCATCATCATCTTCATCATGGTGGTGGTGGTGGTGGTGCAGTGGGCAGCAGGTCACCAGTAGGACAGGTAGCAAAGAAAAGGTTCAGGACAAAGTTTACACAGGAGCAGAAGGAAAAAATGCTAAACTTTGCAGAGAAAGTAGGGTGGAAGATTCAGAAGCAGGAAGACTCATTTGTCCAAAACTTCTGCCAAGAGATTGGGGTCAAGAGAAGGGTTCTCAAGGTTTGGATGCACAACAACAAACACAATCTAGCCAACAAGATCAAACCACCACCCCCTTCCCCACCTGCCCCTTAATCATCAATATTTAGCTAGTTTCTGCTTAACCCTACCCTTAAAAGTACTCTATCATTATTATCATCTTTAATTTACACTGTCTTTTTTTTCTTCAGTCATGTTCTCCTTTTTCATCTCCAATTTACTTGGGTTTTCTTTATATATGTAATATCATTGGTGTATCCATGGTTATGCAATGTAGTTTGGGATATCTTGGTTTGGCAATGGGCAGTCAGTTTTGTTGGTAGTTTCATTATTTCACCATGGAAATAATGGATCGAGAGACTGATCTCTACTTAGAGGTGCAGGTTGCTTCAGCATTACCAATGTCCTTTCCCCCTTTACTATTACATTTTTGTAGTGAATATTATATTGATCAAGTGATATATGATATGGGAGGGGGATTGTCTGCCATCCTATTTCCATACTCTTTCTATGCACTCCTATTTGTGTGGTCACGGTTAAGCCACGTTAACATTTTATATTTCTATTACTTTTTGTTTTATTATTTTTATAAAAAATTAATATAAATCGTGACCACACATAGGCATGGGGAGAGTATGAAAATAGAAGGGCAAACAATCCACCTCCTATGATATGTGTGTAAGTTTTGTACTATATAATAACCAGAACCTATAGGTTGACAGAAAAAATTAAACAAAAAATAAAGTATATTTTATGAATTCTATTAGCAATCTACTTAATAATTAATTAACTCTTCCCTTTTACAAGTAATTAAAGTATTTCAACATGCAGACAAAAAAATGTGTTGAGTTTTGTTATGTTCTCCCAAAACTTTGGATCTATCCTTACGTTATACATACATATAAGAAAATCTATGTTGTCTGTTGCAAGAACTTAAGAAGACGTATATATATATATATAGCCATCTCCTTTTGGGGCTACTTCACTGGAATCGTTGCAAAGCTTCATTATGTTCATCGTTTAGATTTTGAAGAAATGTTTTTATGATTGTAATATTGTTTCGTGAGCTATTAAGACGGGTGATTGACAATAGTATTTGTGAATATATACTAATAAGGTCGGATTATACTATGTGCAACATTGTATAGATGTTCCAGCTATATCATATTGTGTCGACTCTCGCATATGCACAAACTTCAGTCGACATATTTTTTTTTTCCTTAATTTTTTTTCTCTTGAGATAATGCTTGATTCAAAGTCACCGGGCTGGGTTAGCCGGAGGTGAATGTGGATATGGTAATGGGAAGGAATTAGCTAAAAACTTAACCCTTTGTAACAACAAAAAAAAAAGGGCTTGATGCAGTCAAAAAGGTAACCATGGTCTTATATAAAGAGTAGAGTAATAAGTGCATTTTACTCTTTTTTTTCCCCCCTTTTTTGACGCATGCAATATGCAGTGCATTTTACATTCTCATGCTAATCATACACAATCAAAATGGCTTCGATTTCTTGGTGCAGAAGGCTAATTTACTTGTCTGAAAGATTTGCTAGCTTATTATAAAATGCTTTAAATATTGTTTTCAGAAAAGAAGAAATTATAAATATACAAGCACGTACATCATTTCCTTTCAGTGATTAAAGAAAAAGCAACGATATTTAAAGCATTTTATGTTTAGCTAGCAAATCTTTCAAATGAGTAAATTATCAAATCTTTTCCTGTCAAGATTTTAGCCTTCGTATCGGCCTTGTCTCTTTTGACGACGGGTAGAAGGAATTCTAGTGTTGTGTCGTGCCTTAATTAAATGAATCAATGAATCATGCGTGTGACGTGCTCATGCTATTAATATTTTTGCCTGATTATAAAGTAATCTTGTTGTGTTATCTAACTGTGTTGTTGGAGGTGTTACCGTCAAAATTTAAGTTTTGCTCATGTGGATTAGTTGTACATGTGGCCATGTTTTATTAGAAGGCATCACCAATTGACAAAGATAGGTGGTAATACCGTATCATTGCCGATATTGTCCCAACTTAATCATCTATTACTAGGTGTTGAGTTTTATTACTAAAGACCTTGGTGATATTAGGGTGGAAAATCCCATGTATTAATTGTGTTTTTTTTTTTTAATACAACCGATGTAAGATCTTATTCTCCAACAAAGTCAAATGCTACAGCTGAGATTATATGAGTTTTGGTTGGAAATTGAGATCGGAAAGCCGTTGGCAGCTGCAATGGAAAGGGATGATGTTGCTTTCGAAGGTATCAAACTTAGACTCGTATGCAGACTGATGGGGCGAGCAAGGAAAAATACAAGAGCTGGTTCGCAAGCTAGTCGACCGCGTCCTCTCGTAGGCTAGGAAATATACAGAGAGAAGTGTACAGATTGAAAGAGGGAGATGGGCAAAGAAGAGCTATCCTTTGGCCTTAAGACATTTTGTGTAAACACTTCGTCTATATGATCCGGTTGATTTTGGCTGCCCTATCCAGGTTTTAAAACTATAGTAAGCTTGATAAATTTTTCATAAATTTTTCATTGTGTCGGAAATATGGATAGTACATCACATATCATTATATAAGTGGAGGGAAGTCTTATTTTTTAAGTAGTTAATTTTTTAACACAAGTATCTTACCACTTGTATAGTGACACGTGATTAACCACGTTACCACCCTATGTTCCGGGCACATTGAAATATCTCAACTCAAAATGTAACGCTCTGTCTCGTTGATTTTGATCAAATTATCTGATATGTTTGAAAATTACAATAATCACAAACGCTATAGTCTAAATTGTCTAATAGTATTTTTGTACACTTGCAAGTTAGAGGTTCATATTCGACTCATATGGGCGTCGAGTTCGATACTAAATTAATATGGAAACCCTATTTTGTGGCTTAATCCAAATCCCTCTGACCCGTGATATGTATATTATTTTATTAAAAGAAGAAAATTAAAATATGTGGCAACGCATGTTAGGTTTTCGACCATAGTGTCCCAAGGGGTGTGTGAGCCATTTCCAATGGGAATGGGCTTGTTTCCTGCGATTGGTCAACAAGGCCCCATTGTTGAACGGGTCAGGACAATAGAATCCATATTTGGAAAAAGGCTTTTCATACAATGTAATACTGTATGTGACACAGGGGTCCAATTAAATTCAGTTCCACCATTGTTAAGTGAGACTACCCATTTCAAGTTTCAACTGAAGTTGCCATGTCCTGACCCTCTCAAGCGTCCAGAGTGGTACACAATTTTGGGAATTGTTTGATGCTCATTTCGTTTTTAGTTTTTGATTTTTCTGACACGGATAGAGTAAAATACTGAAAAAAGGAGGAATGAGCGAGGGTGAAAGTAATGTATACGAAAATGTCACAATATGAAAACTCAAAACATAAAACTGAAGACAAATTTAGTGGGTTGCATACCTAAACAAGAAAGTGGCCCTTAACTCTTTAAGTAATGGGCATACGCAAAATTCATTGATATTTAGAAGGATTTCGTGGTTTCCACAGTACTATATATTTGACAAACGTGAAGAAGATGAGACGGAAAAAACCTACGACAGCAAAACCCAGGCCAGACTCTACATGGAAGGAAGAAAAAAACATGGACGTCACCTGTGCGTTAATACATCATCTAGTTACGACTCAAATACTGCAGCACGCCATGTCATCTTCATTTAAGTTTGTTCCACCAAGCACATCTTGGCACAGACCTGATCGGCATAATGACGCAAATGGTTCCCGCGGCCTCACTGATATTGTGGTAATTCCCATTTTTGCCTTCTTTACAAGCTTCTGTTTCTTTGATTTTAAGAGGAATTAAAACTATCCATTCTTCAAATGTCAAAGCCAACCTTGCAGGGAAAGGGAGTACCGGTACATTGTCCAAATTAATCACTGAATCAGACGAGCTCGGCCAGGATTGAGATGTGCTTCTGACATCATCCATCCCTACAGGAAAATAGATTATTACTACCTTTAAAACAAACAATGTGCACTGTAATCTTTTCAAGCAACTATCCGGATGGGAAAAAAGATAAAAAAAATAATAATAAAAAAAAAAAAAAAAAAACACTCAATGGTGGTGCATTATCGTAAAAAAGTAGAAAACTTTGGTAGTTTCCAAACACAAAATCCAATATCCTCCGTATCTATTGCAACTCCTAAAACAATAAGGCTTAGATAGAGTAATTTGTCTTGGCAGAACACAGTTGTTTCCGTTAAGCCTATCTTGAGCCGAGAAACCACTTAAAATAGAAATTATGAATTACACCTAAGTCATTCAGTCCAGCTGGAGACAACTCCAATGTGGGATATGTACTTGTGCTGACAGAAACATTTGAACCACATCCATTGCATCATTAAATAGATCTCAGGATGCTTAAGTTGGCAGTGCTCGTGTCAAACAATTTGCGAGCTATGTTGTTAAGCTAACAACTTTGGAGCATGAATTTGACAAGGAATAAACCTTATCATTCAGTGATTGGTAATTTGAAAATATAACATGTTACACTATTTGGAAAGATATCATTTCCCTTTTATATATTTGGTTTTGTGACAATTGTGGAATCTATTTGCTTACTATAACCCAGCCTAAATGGCCACTAAAAGTGACAAAATAATAAAGTTAAAAATGTTGAACATCAATTACCTGCTCTTTAGCTTTACTCTTGAACATCCCATACGAAGTTGAGACCATGTTACATGACTCAACAATGCATGCCTCCAGATCTTTAGCCGTGGGCTCGAAGTTTAAAAATTCATCTTTCTTGTCCTTCTGATACAGATGCTGACTGTTATATGATAATTGCATGAAATGCAGAAGTACCTGAGCCTGCAAAACAAAGTGATATGTAACATCTACAATCCCCTATATGAAGGAAAAGATAAAAACTCCTTCTAGATGCCAAAGACCATAGAAACAAGCAGTATATCTCACATGAAATGCCGCTTTTAGAATGTCATCTGACTTCGCTTGATCTTTGAACAATGCATACACTTTACCTTTTGAAGGATTATATGTCACAACATATTTTTCTTTCTGTCATCAATCAAGAAAAGAAATATTAAAGAATATAAAATAGGATAATAGGTCAAAACTTAACCCCCCCCCCTCAAAAGCGCTTACCTCAAAGAAGGGCTCTATCGCAATATATACACTTGGCTCTTGGAATGCATCTTTAAATCGTGGTCCTGCCACTCAGTGGAGAAAATAAAAATGAATGATAAAAGAGAAAATCTCAAGGCGAACCAAAAAACCAGATGTTCATGATTCATAAACAAAGAACAAGATCTTCCCAAACATACCAAGAACAACAGGCCCATCTTTCACCCAGGGAAAATTGAAAACGTTTTCCCTCAAGTTCCCTTCCAGCAATGACGGCACTCGCCCTAGAAATGGGGGAAAAAGAAAGCACAGTTACAATATATATCTGGAAAAACACTCGGAATAACTATTATGCATGATGCCATGAGGGGAACTCTAAGGTAGAACATGGTTGCTAACCTGTTTTAAGAAAGGCATCTACTGCCACACTGAATCTCGCTCGGTTCAAGGTGTGTAATACTACAGATTTAACCTGGAAACAAATTACTTCTATTAAACAAATGATACATGGAGCATGCAAATCTAAATCAATCTTCACTATTGTACACGAACCTCTTGGTAGGAGCTGAGAACATATCCACATGAAAGGAGCGCAAATGTAGTTATCAGCGATGGATTTCTTTTTGAGATCAATATACTCAGGCCAGTTCCCAGCTTCACAAGGCATAGGTTCACAATCATCAACAAAAAATGATTAAGTTCATGCATAAAAGTGCACATTGGAACATAGAGACTAATTAAAAAAATAAAAATCTGTTATTCTTTTACATGAAATGAGAGTTTATAGGCAAAGAAAACTCGAACTGTTTAGAAGTGAAAACAAAGCACAAAAACAATGATAAGTTATCCACTTGGGAAAAACCACAAGACAACCAAAGGTACACAACACAAAGGTCAAGCCAAATTAAGATGAATCACACTAGGGGGTAGACCCCAAAAGTTATGAGACAATGACAACTGCTACAACAACAACAACAAGAAGCCTTATCCTACTAAGTGGGGTTGGCTATATGAATCCTAACACGACAACTGCAACAATGACAACTGAAAGAGGAAGAAAAATTCATTTTACTTTTACAAGAAGCTTAAGCTAGTAAGATGTGGGCAAACAATTATTCCGTATTCTCACTCCTCCCTTGACATGTGAGTCTCTCTCCCCCACTACACCAATGTGCTCATATGGTTCAGTGATACAATGTCCAGATTCCTGTAACACATAATCATCCTGCAAAAGAAGTTGGGCAAGCATACCAGATCTGCAATATTGCCAACACATTCTCCCTTAGCTGTCACATCTCCAATGTTTTCTCCTTTTGCAAACGCTTTGTAAATTGGTGTTCGAGTTGATGTTGATGTAACAGCACCAACATTCTATGAAAAACAAAAGAGGATGAGAGGTTGTAAAACTGACAAGGAATAATTTAAGTTATATGAAAATGTCAAACCTTTGCCACATTAGCGGCACAAGCCAAAGGAAGAAACAGGTGAGGGACAGCTGCAGTTGCCAACTCTATTCCAGCACCCAATTCCATGAGAAGATCACCAGCAAACCGCAACTATAACACCTCAGCATTAAGAAAAGGCGAGTGAGGTATTGTGAGTTATGAAATGTGCAGGACTATGAAGTTGGCAAATATTTCTTACCTGTTTTAGATCATAATCAAATTTCTTTCCTTGTCGGGCAAAAAGCATTTTTCCAACACGCCCAGCACCATCCTAGACAGAAATTTAATAATTTAGATTCAAATCATTCTGTTATACCATATCGACAATAGAAGAAAAAGCTGTAGCACAAGGCACAAAAGTAAACTTCTACATAAACAATTCCAAGTTTTGGTATCATTAACTAAACTCAAAATTACAGTTAAAAGTCAAATTGCCTCAAAAGGATAAAAGCAAAAGTACAAATTTGTATGCTTGACTCTACAAAAACATATTTTAACATTCCTTCAACAATGAAAACGGACACAACCCAAAAGAAACATTGGCTACCAGACTGTTCAGCGTATAACACTTATCCAAGACAATTCAGATTCTATTAATGACTGCAGTCACAAGAGTAAGAGTAAGCAGGTTTTCGCACTCATTTGTGGTGCCGGATTCAATTGGATATCTAAGTCACTAATTAACGTAACTATGACAGCCCTTCACCTGATGGCAACAGGTTGTAAATGGGACAAGAATATGATGATCTCACAAAAGGCACTAACATAATTGAACTCCTCCCTGGTCTGGTCTAATGTGGCAAGGTAATGCATTGCATAACACAAAACTTAGTAGCCACTGTTAATTTTTCTTAAAGTGCTTTAAAACATCCTTTTGCAACCAAAAGAAATGAAAACCAGGGGGATGTACAATTTTTCTTGAGAGTCAAAAGCTTGAGAAATACAAAACTTGCAATGCGATCAAGAAATGCCAGAACAATAATGACAAGTAATATTGTTACCTTGAGAATCCAGTTGATAGCAACAGCCCCAGAAGCAGATGTATTTCTAGAGACCCCAACTGAATTCAAAAGGGTTTGTGTTGTAAAAACACCCATTGCGCCACCAAAGAAGTGCTACAAAAAAAATATGGTTATTGATGGCATTCGATTCGACCAAGGGACAACAGCTTTAAGAAGTTGGAGCATCTTCTACAGCAGGGATGGTAAACAGACGATAGAAGATAAGTTTTTATGATAGTGTATGTACCTTGAGAGCTCTCCATGTCATGTAGGGGACATAGGAAGGGATTACACTATCAGGGAAACCTTCGGGGACAACATATGACCTTACAAAAGACATCAACCCCTGCACCAAAAATCCGACACACAAAACTCAGAAGTGTCGTCATCAGTCAGAGAAAAAGTGATCAAATTTTACACACAATGTCAATGCTTATTAAGCAACTCACCAGAAAGGTTACACTTGTTCGGTATCCATACTTAATTAAGTTGAGAAATTGTATGAAACAAAGCTTGGACAAGAAGAAGATATAAAAAGAAAGAAAAATGCAGCAGCCAAATTAAGAGAGAGAGAGAGAGAGAGAGAGAGAGAGAGAGAGAGAGAGAGAGAGAGAGAGAGATTAAAGTGAAAAGTACTGACGTCGAGAGGGGGCTGGGGGCTGTGCAAGCTAAGGGCGCGAAAAGAGCCCTTCTTGAAGGTGGTTGCAGAGGAGGAGGAGGAATCGGGCTCGGCGACGTAGTTCCATCGGCGGCCGTCGATCTCCTCGCAGCAAATCAAACGGAAGCTGGAGCCCACAAAATCCTGATCGTGGTGGAGTAGCTGGGGAAGATGCTGCTTGGGGGGTTGGGCGTCCAAAGGCAGGGCCTGGGACTGGGAGGGAGCGGAGGAAGCGAGGGTGGCACTGATACGCAGCGTCTCACGGACGAGAAGGCGCGCTTCCTGCGCGCTGGTGGCGGTGGTGGTGAGGGATTGATTGGTAGAAGAAGCGGAAGCAGAAGATTGCTTGAGTTTCATCGGGGGCGGAGGCATTTCGCATTCCTCTTGATTCTTTCTTTCTCTCTCTAATATTAATGGTGGTGTGATGAAATCAAGTGTGAGATTGGATTGGAGGGTTATATAGTATTTGGATTTGGGTAGTCGCTTTGGAATTAACGATTTCAAAAATCCAAAAATTCCAAATCCCAATTGGCAATTGGGAAGTAACGAGAAAGGATCGATGAAATGAATGCAAGGTATAAGAGGCAGGTGGCCTAACAACAACCCTCTTCCTTAGCAGCTGCAGCAACATCAACGTCGACGACAACTGGATTTTGACATGTCATTTATCACACCGCAACGGAGCAACTCATGAAATTTCGGAATAATATTAATAATATTATTGTTGAGAATATTCAGTGTCAAACACAAACTCTGTCTTTCTATGTCAGTCTGAATATGTATATATATCGAGTTTGCTGGCAACGGCAACGGTAACGGTGGTTTTTTTTTGAGGATAATGGTTATCGGAATCCTCCTCGTTGGCTATATAGCCTATGCAGAATATGTGATGCATCATTCCACGCACATCGCCACCGTTGTTAATATTTTCTTCAGAATCTAATATCTGATATCTCCCTGACTCAGATGGCTTCTGGCTTTTGGCCTTGGGTGGGGCCTTCCCCTCTCTCTGTGTCTGGATGACAGAAACTAAACTATGCGGGACCTACCCTAACTCCCTCTCCATTGCTATTGCTACCCTACCTTATCTATCTCCATGTTATACCATCTCCAATCTACTCTATCTACTTAAAATACTGGGAAAAATTAGAAATATTCGTCTTTCACTCTTTTTACCGTGCTTATAGAATACCAAAATCTTTATGAATTTTTTTTTTTTGAACAAACGATATTATTTGAAAGGAAGAAAATAGGATAAGTCTTGTAATGGGCTAGAAATAATGTAGTTCGAATTCGCTTTTGGCGAAAATCGAATCTAAAACCTTTCACTTACAAATGAAGAGGAATACAACCAAACCATAATAATAAATGACTTATGAAATGTTTTAAGACACTGCAAAAACTTAATAGATATGGTCAAACCTCTAATTTCGATATAAAAATGGTAATTCACTTATTATTTTTTTATTACAACAATATATTTTATGGACCAACTAAACGTGGAAACAAACTTTGTCCAAATTAGGAATCAACTTTCACATATTTGGGATCACATATGTTTTACACAGCGATATATTTACATATTTTAAGAGCCATGAGGTAAAAAATTCATATTAAATAATTATGTATGTACTATGTAGTCCAATATCTCCTATTGGATGGGGTATGGTTTTTACCCATATGTTTCAACATTGCTCACTTCTAAATTATTTTAATAGTTTTAAGAATTTTGTATGTTTGTATTAATCCATATGTAAATTTTTGACCGAAACCTGAGTCCAGTTAGGTAGTAATGAATTTGGGAGGGGGATACATATATTTGCTCACTCAGTCACTAATCTGCTTCCTTTCTAGATTCAATTCGAACAAGTTGTAGTACACCAAAAGAAACCCGGGCACCTGCAGGCTGCATAGAGAAGGATGTTTCAGTCTCTTCTTCGATATAGATTCAGCAGCACAACCCCTTCATCTATCAAACGAATAATCACCGCAGTCCCCAATGTCTACAAAACCCACGCACTCTCACTCCTCCCCCCTAAACAACATCTGCAGCAGCGGCGGCGGTGCCACAACTGGGAGGGCACGCTTGGAGGCGGAGGCGGAGGAGGAGGAGGGAGTGGAGAGTACGATCACATTAGGGCCGAAGTCAACTGTCCCCGGTGCTCCAAACAAATGGCGGTGCTCTTCTCCACCCGACCCCTCTCCATCACCACCCGAGAGACGGGGCTCTACCAGGCCGTCAATCTCTGCCCCAATTGCAGGACCGCCTTCTACTTCAGGCCCTTGAAGCTCGTCCCTCTACACGGCACTTTCGTGGAGATTGGTCGCCTTAAAGACTTAAAGCCCCCCACCAATTCCTTCGACGCAAAAACAGAGCCATGCGCTGTTGATGATGAAACGCCCTCGTCTTCTCCGCCCAGGGACTTGCCCACCCCCAAGTTCATCTGTAAGGCGCTTGATGAATTTGTTATCGGCCAACAAAAAGCCAAAAAGGTTTTGTGATTTCAATTTTCTGAAAACAAACAGATAAACCCACATATGGATATGATCAACTAAATTGAAAGAAATGATTTCTAATGCGGGTGTCACAGGTGCTTTCCGTTGCTGTTTACAACCACTATAAAAGGATACATCATGCTTCCCCAAAGACTATGAGGTTAGTCGAAAAACTGATGGTTCATGCTGAATTTTTAAGGTGTTTTAAGATCAAATGAATGTGCTTTTCTTGCTGCTTTATCAATTGACTGTTGGCTTTGCAAACGTAATCTCAGGTCTGGTGCAGAATCAGTTGATTATAAACTTGAAGGAGTACATGACAGTGACTCTGTTGAACTGGAGAAGAGCAATGTATTACTGATGGGTCCCACTGGTTCAGGTAGGATAAGCATTCTTGTTTATGCGTGTGCTCGTGGCGTGATTCATGAGAACCTCTAGCTTACAAAGATTGCGTACTCATTATATTTTTCTTACATTGACCAAGGATAGGGAAGACGTTACTTGCAAAAACACTAGCTCGTGTTGTCAATGTACCGTTTGCCATTGCTGATGCAACAACATTAACACAGGCAAGTGCATTGCTCGGTCTTGTTTCATGCATCATCTGTCTTTGGCATCATTGCTATTATCCATACCCTACAACTACAACCTATATTGGTTACTTCATTGGATGAAATTTCTTCTTTTATAGTTCTTCTGGGGTCTTTCATCGTTAAAAATTTACTGTACACACTGATTTTGATGGAAAAATACTGTCATACTTCCAGTGTAAAATCCGAGCACTTCATATCAGGTGGTAATCAGGAAAGCATTCCGTATTGGAATCTTCTAATGGGGATATGTTATTTGACATTCAGGAATAGATCTAGTGATATATATATATATATATATATATATATATATTGTTCTAGTGCACCATCTGTGCACACTGTACAGACTGCTATCTTTATCCGCATTTTGTTTCACTATATCAAATCATAGCATCCTCTCTCTCTCTCTCTCTCTCTCTCTCTCTCCATATATATATATATATATATCTCCTGTTACTACCCTCTTCCTTTGGTATGCAAGTGGTGGGAAGGAAGCAGATACTCGATAGTTGTTAGTAAAGAAATTGAAGCTTAAGGAGTCTGTACATAACACTTGGAAACAGAAAAGCCTATGCTGTTCCCTTTGTCATGCATTAATTTCCTGAATTTTCGTTTCATACTGACGTGGATGAGCTATCTTATTGGGTTCAGTGAGAAATGGTTTCTTACTTGGATGGTTTCACTAATAGTTCAACTTCTCTCTGTTTCTCACTCTCTATGCAGGCAGGTTATGTTGGAGAAGATGTGGAATCGATATTGTATAGACTGCTTATGGTAGGTTTTATGCTATGTCATGTGTTTCTTGTTCAAGAATTGCAAATATTCCTCTTTTGTGCTTGTTTTGGGTACCATTAAGCAGACCTTACATAATTACGTTTTGATCATTCCAATGTGTTTAGGAAGCTGACTTTGATGTGGAAGCAGCTCAGAAAGGGATTGTCTACATTGATGAAGTTGATAAGATAACTAAGAAGGTGTGCTATAAACATATGTATTGAAATCAGCTAATTTTATTCCTCACTAATAATAAGGAGGCTATTTTCAGGTTGAGAGCTTGAGCAGAGATGTATCGGGGGAGGGTGTCCAACAGGCATTGCTGAAAATGTTAGAAGGAACCGTAAGTAACCAACTCTTTGATAGGAAGTAAGTAAAACAGTTTTGTTTTAGTCTGTAAATATGATCCATGTTCCACAAATTGTTATATATCATTTATGAAGAAGTCAAACAAGTTAGGACTGTTAGTTTAAAGCATGTTATCCTGTTCAGACTGTAGACGTTTTTCTCCAATGGTTTTGTGGTTTCATTTTCTTTAGGGTAAATCTTTAATGTTTTCATGATTGTTTCAGAATTTCTTTGGAGGTCTTGAATTTTTTGGACAATATTGATGAAAATCAAATTTTGTCAACCCTCTTAGTGTGAGTATCTATACAACAACAACAAAGCCTTATCCCACTATTGTGAATATCTATACAACAACAACAACAAAGCCTTATCCCACTAGTGTGAGTATCTATAACGGACATAACAACAACCTTCTTGGTAATTCCTTGTAGATTTCTCTTGGATTTATGTTATTACCTAAACTAAAACTTCTTCCAACTTTTTTTTTGATAAATTTGAAAGATTCCCATCTTTGTATTCTATGATATTTGCTAAATTTTTGTTAATACCTTGTTGTATAACTAAAGGACTTGCATATTTGTTCTTTGGATTCCTCGTAATTCTCCCATCAGCCTTTTTTGCGATGTAACTTTTCCATCCAAAACAATTTAATGCGATTGACTTTAGCTATAATGAAAAATATCTATTGATTTGATGTCATAGCATTGGAACACGTTTTTGTTACATAACATTTGTTTAAAGTAAAAATTATATGAATTTCTCATGTTTTTGTTGCATGGCATTGGAACAATGCATGTGACCCATTTATAGTGATTGCCATATTCAAAATGATCACGTGACATCAGGTTTGATGCTTTCAAATGTTCGGAATGTCTCATTTAATTTAGTTATATTAATATAAGAGTACATGTGTTTTTCTTTGATCTCTCAGGTAGTTAGCGTTTCTGATAAAGGAGCTCGGAAGCATTCTCGTGGTGATAGCATCCAGGTAAAAGTATCTGTTCATGTCTTCTTCCTCCTCATTTTAGAGGCTTTTTCTTTGATATGGTTAGATTTGGTGAGTTGTAGGTAAGAGATGCCTTATGGTCATACTAACTTATATTTCCTGAGGCATTAGGCCTCATCTTAGGCGATTTCTTACGGAAAAAATCACAGGTATTGCTCGTGTGGGGGTGGGTTCATAACCTGTGAAGTACAAAACTTTTCATGGTTATAGTTTGAAATAAAAATCATATGGTCCACTAGTCAGTAGATAGAATGATTTCATTTCCTTCGTGTCCAACTTTCCCCCTAAAATTTCCACTTTGAGGAGGGTGCTTGTAGTTGAAGTATTTTTAATTGCAGTGAAGTGATTTTAATATTTTTATGTAGAAAAAATGGATTGTAAATTTGGAACAGCTTTATATGTTTCATTAACGTGTTCAGTTTTAATCATACAGTTTGTACTTGAAGTCTGACTTTTAGCAGTAGTCCATTCTCCTATTTAGTAAGGGTTTGCATTGCAAAAATGTCAACAATTTCGTGGTGCACATAATTACTTTATTACGATTTACGATTCTTGGCAGATGGATACAAAAAATATCCTTTTCATATGTGGTGGGGCATTTGTTGGTTTGGAGAAGACCATTTCAGAAAGGTAATGTAATCTCCTAGGGATGTATATTATAAACTATTAGCATGTATGTTTCTACATTGAAAGGAATTTGATATGGTTAAGTGCTTTCTTTTCTCAGACTCCAAGATTCTTCCATTGGATTTGGAGTACCAGTTCGTGCAAACATGAGGACCAGTGGCTTGACTGATGCCATAGTGACGTCATCTTTGTTGGAATATGTGAGAATCAAAACTGAATACAAGTCAAAGAATATATTCCATCTTTATTTTATGTATGCATAATCAATTTCTTGACTTGAGGTTTCCTGAACTTCTTCGTCTTCTCTAATACAATATGCGTATCCTTATTTGTTTGAATAACAAGCTTTAAAGTTTCTAATGGAACTGTAGGTAGAAAGTGGAGATCTTATTGCGTACGGCCTGATACCTGAATTTGTTGGCCGCTTTCCTGTTTTAGCTAGTTTGTCATCTTTAGATGAGGACCAACTTGTTCAGGTGTGCTCTATCTATCTGCATCTATTACCTTATGTAGTGAAATATTTTTGTGTTGTTTTCGTGGTTATTATTGGGTGGGTGAGTAGAACATTTTAGGCATGCTCAACCTGTAGATTATTGTGCACTGTATACTGGAAGATCTTGCTCACTCGCTTCTTAAGAATAATGCAGTAGAACTTGATATTAAAATTGAAACTGACTAGTTAGCTAGACTCGTTGTTTTGTCCTCTGATTGATAAGATATTGAAATATTTCAGTATGTTTTATTTTGTAAATCAGGTACTCACAGAACCTAAAAATGCTCTCGGTAAACAATATAAGAAGATGTTTAACATGAACAATGTAAGCTTGTGATCCATTGCATTATGTAGTCATAGAACTTTGTCTTACCATACCTTTAATAATTTCATTTTTGCAGAACTTGATAGAATAATAATGTAAACTCCTTATTTCTTATGAAATGTCAGGTCCAATTACATTTTACTGATAATGCATTGAGATTGATCGCAAAGAAGGCAATGGCAAAGAACGCTGGGGCTCGAGGTTTGAGAGCAATATTGGAAAATATTCTAACAGATGCAATGTTTGAGGTATATATACCCTCCTATGTGCCTTAGTTATTATGGTTATAATTGATTATCGTTCTAAAACAATTAAATAGACTACTCTATATGTTGCTGTTGTGTGATGTTGTTAGTTACACTGGCCAGTTTACTAGATAGTGGCGCTGTTTGCTAGACCTCAAAAGGGACCAGTTGATCTTTGTGAAATTAGCAACTCTAGGATATTGCTCCAAGTTTTGATTGTGAAATGATGGTTCGCTTTGTGATGACTGCTTAGTGTCTGGCCATTCCATGAAATTGGTACTTTTATTCTCATTGGAGAAAAATTAAAAGGAAAGGTGAATTATAATGTTGGTCCTTTTCCTGGGGTATCAGTATTTTTGTGTCTATGATACTAGATGGTTTTTGTTGTGCACAGGTTCCAGACATGAAGACGGAAGCCAATAGTGCATATGCAGTTTTGGTGGATGAAGAAGCTGTTGGGTCAGAGGACACTTGTGGACTTGGAGCTAAAATTCTTAGTGGGGACGGTGCATTGGAGAAATTTCTTCGGGAAACAAAGTCAGGAGAGTGCATGGTATCGTTTTGTGAAGTCCGTCATGCTCCTGTTCTTTGATGCCTTTCCTTTTTCTTCATTCTCTATTTGCTGCTTGATAGGTTAAAATTCACTACAATTTTCTCTGGGTTATCGGCACTGCATTTTACCTAAATTTGGGTTGCTTGCAGGGAAAGCGCGGGTTGGATGGAGATGAGTGTTTACGAGAAGTCTTAGATGTTCAATCAAGAGCCACGGCGCAGGGCTTGTAGGTTTAGTAGTGGTTGAGACGCCATCTCCACCGTATATATAGATGAAGAAGAGAAGTTATGATGGTGTAAAAATCAAGATCCATGCATGAGTTTATGCTATCACTTGCACTTGAATGAACTCATGTATATATTTGGAATTTAATTGACTAGTGCCAAGTTGTCGCTTCAACTTTGGACGTCCATATTTTCCCTAGTCAAAATAATAAGAGAATTATTTAGGATGGATGGATAAGAATGTAACAGGAACCCTAAACCTTAATAATATTTGAAGTGCCCTGCGTAGGTCATGTAGGCAATGCACATAATCAACTTGTATCTCAACAAAAATCAACATGTTTGAAGCCATCATAAACCTCTCCCACTTGTCTTTCTTGTCAATCTGTCTACAAATCAATTGGGCTAATCGGATAAACAGTCCCGTGGTAATAAGGTAATTGGAAGATGCAAATTTAATCCAAAAACGATTTTTTTCGTGAAATCTCCATTAAATACAGGATAAGAATGTCTACTAGTCTTTTCATTTACGCTTTATCTTTGTCTTGCATTGTTTTAGATTTTCTTCATTAATTGTGATTGCATTGAGTGCACCTTTCCGTTTAAGGGTGTATGGATTAGTCTGCTTTGGCCTTGCCTAACCTTTTGACATATCCACCAACAAAATATTTTTATTCTTACCTATCCAGTAGAATTATAAAGTAGTCTTGCGTTGTTTGTTTTTATGCCCCATAATGTTTAATCAGATAACATGTTTTCATGTGAGATGCAGCTTAGTTTGGAAGACTAATGAAAATAATTTGAAAACTTTGAGTTTTAACGATAATGACAAAATAAAGGGTAAAGTGAATAGTACCAGGATTGACTTTTTAATGTAAAAATGTGATTTTTCGTTAAAGTGAATAATACCAAGAGCTTTTAATTAAAGTTCTCTAGATTTTTCTATCATTGTACTAGAATTCTAATCGGTTATTAAGCCAAAAAAAATAAAATAAAAATACCTTTACATTTACTTTTATAAAATCGGAGCTAAATTAATAGAAAAGGTAAAGTATGGGCCTAGCTCAAATGAAAGTACTTGGACCCAGGCAAGGCCGAGTCCAATTGGTTTAGTCTCCTTTTCTTTTCGTCTGGTTTTTTGCATCGATTGATTGTTTCTGGTCGGTCTGGTTTGGATCTGTCCCTCTCCTTTTTGCTTGCGATTTCTAATCCTCCTCTTCCGATTCCTGCCTTGCTCTGTTTTCAGGTTCCTTTTTCTCTTCCGATTCCTGCTTCTGTAAAAATTTCTCAGAACCAACCACCGGATATCATCCCTGAAAAATTGAAAAACATGGAAGGAGAAGGAGGAGAAGAGCTCAGCATACAGGAGCTGGCCTCCAATCTCTCAACCTACAAAGATCAGCTTCACCAGGTCCCCCACTCCACTATTTTGCCCTTCTTCTTTGTTTCATCTGTTTTTATTCCTATGACGATGTTTAATTTTCATCGTTGCAGTCGATATATGCTGTGAGTGTGATTAGGGTTTATTTGAATTATTATTTAACTAGGGTTTTTCTTACCATTATACCAATTATGATATAATTAACCTGTTTGGGTTTAACCACTCCCCTCTCTACTTAAAAGAAACAATTTTCCCAGAATTTTGATTGATCTTGTATTGGTAGCAAACCAAACTAAAGAAAGGGAGGAACCTTGAAACTCTGGTTTATAATGCGTGCAGTTGGTGATTTCACATTAGGAATTGAGTCTACATAATCTACGGTCCGTCTGCGTCCTTGGTTATTTGATACACTAGGAATTGAAATCTTCGTACTATTGTATACATGTGTGGTATTTGTTATGTAACTTTTTGTCTATTAGTAAACCATGTCCAGATGTATATTGTGAATGATTTTCAGCTTGTGTGTCGATTTTAAATCGTGGGAAAACATTTATTACTCGTACAGCAAATTTCTTCCTTTGCCGTTGAACCTCATGTGTAATGTTTATGTTCTCACCTTCGAATAAGAGTCAATGGTTATGGGGAGTGAGCTTTAAGTCTTGAATAGACATGAGATTGGCTTATACACTAAATTCATATCTTCAAGTCCTATCGTTGAGAAAGTATATTGAGTATGTTGTATTGTATGTAATAGTGAGCATTCGAATTAGTGGAAAAGAGTACATCTTTGCAACTACTGCATTTGAATGCGAGCAAATTGGATATTCACTATCTAACAAATGACACAGTTTTATCCTATATAGAAAAGTATATGAAGCCGGCCATTAACTCAACTGTGTCCCTCATCATTTAAGTTTTTGATCTGAAAGAAAAAAAAATTGATGAATTGTTGGGATAGAAGATCAGTCAGTCGAAATAAATAAATGAATTCTTGTGGAGATGTGCAGTTTTACCCCTTTGATGGCGTGTTTGGTTGGAGCATAACAAGAGAATCTTCGACAATGAGGAGAAAGTGGGTGCACTCACTTTGGGATAGAGTTGATTACATACTTCTTCCTGGGCTTCTCTTTCAAAATATTTCAAGAACATTCTATATAAAGGGAGTGTTTTGATTGGAGGGCAGTTTTGTACCGAGGGTTCTCTAGGATGCTGTTGTGTCTAGTGGTTTAGGTTTTCTCTGGGTTATTTTGTTTCTTCTGTTGTCTTTGGTGTTTGAAGGACTAGTTGTCCATGCTTCTTATTTTTATTTTGTTTTCTCTTAATAAATCTTGTGTTTCTCATAAAAAAATGTAAAAAAATGAAGTGCCTAGTGCCATGTAATCCCTAATTCTGTTACTACTTTGTAAGAAATAAAAACCATCCTCACCTTTCTCTTAATGCATTTTACAATTCTTTCTTTTTTGTTTTTTGGTATGTTAGAAGAAAAGAAAGGGTACACCGTACACATGATATCTAGGAGGAAGCTATTCCTTATATAATTTTGAGGCGTGTTCTGTTTCTGTAGTTGGATCTTCTGACTAAATTTAGTGGGATCGTGAAGTTTGATGTTGCAATGTTACAACGTATGCACAATTAGTTATGCTTTGATATTGTCTTTTGATGAATTATTACAAATTTTTTACCATGAAAATAAAAATTTGAAGAATGAGTTGTTATCTTGTGTTTTCTATGTTGAAAATTATATGCTGTAGGTTGCATGGTGAATCATTCTTTGTATTCTCTTGTAGATATGTTTTTTGTAACGATTTCTGCTGTCCTCTGGATCAGGTAAAGGAGCTTTTAGCTGATGATCCTGCAAACTCTGAGTATGTTGACATGGAAAGAGAGCTCAATGAGGTATCTTTTTTTTTCTGTTTGTTTTTATATTATATTTTTGTATGTATATTTCATGTACATCTTATCAAATCATTTGCGATTTTGATTCATTTCTATTGGAACTCTCATTTTTGAGTTTATAGTGTATAGGTCTATATCTTACAGTTTCTGTGTGAAACTGAAAACTGAGGCAACAACTTCTCTGGGCCTTAGGATGACAACCAATTGTAGTTACTGTTATATGGATCTCTAGGTTGTTGATTCAATATCATTCTTCTTTTATTTCTTCCTTCTCTCTTTTGAAGGAATCATGTTGCTCAAACTAGCAACGCCAATTAACTGCTATGGCACCTGTGGAGGTTTGTTTTCTTTACAGGGTTGAATAAGGTGAGGATGGTTTTTATGTTGAATAAAGTTCATACACTTCAGAAAGCGGAATTCTGGAGAATTTAGAATTTAGAAAAGAAAAAAAAGATCCTTAGAGCTTCATAAAGTAGCATGTTACTCCTATCTTGGTTCCTTTGCAGGTGTGCTATGTGTGGTGATGGTCAGCTTTCACGTTCTCTTTAAACTGATTTCCGATGTTCACACTCAGATTCTAAGTTTGAAATTTGACAATAATTTTCTGTTTACGATGTAGGTCTATTTGTATGTATGTTGTTTAAATTTAGGTTTGATAATGCAGGTAATTGCTCTGACAGAAGAACTACTTGCAACTGCAAAGCAAAATCAGAATTCCGGATTAGATTTCGGGACAAGTGATAGTACATCACCTAGTTTGCACCAGACTCAGAGGAATGAAAATGTAAGTTGACATCCTCATGAATTTTTTTATTTTCGTTTTATTTTTGTGTTTTTTTGTTGTTTTTGTTAGGGAAAATATGCTTTATGCTTTGACAAGGTTACTCCTACAATGAGTTCTGTGGTAAATGGCTATGTAGAAATATGCTTTTTTTGTGTGTGGCTTGAGAATGACTTACATGAACAGAGTTTTGTTTCTCAAAAGGCGCTGGACCGGGGTTCTATATAAAAACTTCCTGCTGTTTACTCAACATATATTTCAACTTCAGAAGAATTTAAAAGCATACTTGGTAACCCAATGTGGAATTTGTTCCCACATTCACTGACCTTTAATAATGCATGTTATGAAGCTGATACTACTGTAGTGCTTTTTGTAAGGTTTATCTATAGAGCTTTTTCCTTTTTATTAAACCCTTTTCAAAAGAATTTTTCTGTTGACCCAAACAAAGCTGGTATTACTGTCATTAGTGTTTTCTTATGTTGTATCTTTCTCGTGGCCTGTTGTGGTTACGTTATAATCATTCCTCGTGCAGGATTCAGGGAATATTTCCGATTATCATGACAAGTTTTCTGTTGGCACAAAAGTTCAAGCTGTTTGGAGTGAAGATGGGGAGTGGTATGTGAGAAAAAATAGAGATTATTTCAGTAGATTTGTGTTTACAATTTTCTACGTTTGCTTTACCTTTCTTTTCTTTGTCTGTGGTTGATTAGTTGAATGTCCAGGTACGATGCCACAATCGAGTCTCTTACTCCAAATGGGTATTTCGTTACTTATGATAGCTGGGGGAATAAAGAAGAGGTATGTTTTCTCATACACATTGAATTAATATGTTTTTAATTCTTTAAGACATTCTTCTTTCTATTGATCATGTTCAAATCAAGGTTGAGAGAGAGAAAGAGGTTGAATTGTCAAGGTAGTTGTCTTTAAAATATGGCTTTATGATATTTATTTTCTTTGATTGAAACGTGTTTTATTCCAGTGGAATGAAGGTTTATCTGTTCATACATAGAATTGACATTGTGAATAGAGTGATGCTTTATTTGCTTTTTGAAAGTTACGTCACCTATTATTCAATTTTGAAATGACAACATAGTTTTTCCTTTTTCTCGTCTTAAAATTTGCGATGAAGTTAACTTAATATTTGAGGTTGTGGATCACTTTTGTTTTCATGACTGATCTCCATTTTTTATTGCATGTCCTTACATTTATTTTGGCTCATACGTTCTTCTTCTTATAAAATTGTGGTAAGCCACTGATACTTTTTCTTACTTCAGGTGGATCCAGACAATGTAAGACCAATTCAAGAAGGTGCTGTCAATGCATTGCTGGAAGCTGAAAGGGTTGCTGAGGCCACAAAACAAGCACTCAAAAGGAAGATTGCACAAGCTGCTTCTGTTGATTTCCAATCACGAAGTTTACCACCAAAACTTCGTATAGAACCTGATGATCCAGAGGATGTGGTATTTTATCTATCTGTCTAAAACTATTTGGTTGGTATTTTACTGTACAAAGGTGTGGATTTGGTAAAATATTCTTAGGACAAAAATGGTGGTCCAAAAGTTAAAATCTCGGGGCATGTTTACTTAATAGAAATGGAATAAGGAAGGAATGGGAGAACTTAGAAATAGGAAAAGGAAAGGGAATTGGATCAACTGATTCCTGATATTGAGGTATTTATTACAGATTTTAAGAGGAAGTTGACACTTTTCCGATTCCTTGCGTGCTAGTAAACACAGTGGAAGGTTTGGAAGTGAACTGATTCCCATTCCTATATTTTAGTGCTAGTTTGGTAGCAATCAAATTTTTTTTTTTTTGGCGTCTTCTATTATTTTCTTAAACCCTAAAAGTTATGGTATATTGTTTTTAAATGTGTTCTGACAACTTTTCTTTTTGGGGACTGATTCTTGCCAACTTCAAAATCTACAGAAAGTTACCAAACGCAAAAAGATACATGCTTTCAAGTCAAAGATGAGGATGGAACAACTGGAAGTTACACAGAATAAACGTCAAAATGCTTGGCAACAGTTCCAAACAACCAAAGGCAAGACTAAGAAGGTATGTTAGCTTCACATTTTGAATTTCAATGTGTTTGCACTATTGTCTGGTTGCTGTTTTTCAAGGGACAAGAATATCGGCTGCTTTAATTTGTCTGCGTGCCTCTGGAGTGTTTCCAAATTTTTACTTTGGTAGCTTTTTCTTCTTTTGGAGTGCTTGTCTGAATCAAAATAGTGTTTTCAAAGGCGGTGAGTTGCCTTAAGTGTGCCTCATCACAAGAGATGAACACATTACAGATTAGATAAACTGTTGCAACTGTCTCGTTTTAAACTTCTCTTATTTTGTAATGAAATGCTCCATTATAGGTTTAAAAGACAAAAAGGTAGCATTTTGTTTATCTTGTTAATGACCTCTTGTTGCCGTTGTACTTGTACCTATTAAAAAGGGTTTTACCTCATAAATCATAATGATCAATTTTCAACTAGCTTGTTTCTCAAGAATTGTTTTGGTTTTTAAGCAGACAATTGATTCACTTATCCAGAGCTATAACTTGTTGCATTTTCAGATTGGTTTCTTTTCTGGACGCAAGCGTGAGAGCATTTTCAAATCTCCTGATGATCCTTTTGGGAAGGTTGGGGTGACTGGAAGTGGGAAGGGCTTGACGGATTTTCAGAAGAGGGAAAAACACTTGCACCTCAAAGGGGGAGTGGGTGAGAATGATGAAGAGGCTCCTTAGGTCCATAGACTCCCTGCACTTGCATAGCGATGAAGAAAACCAATCTACCTGCCATCCCTGTACCTTGTGAAAAGGTTTAGTCGGAACTTGTTAGCTCAAAACCCGTGGAATGCCATTGCCATATGTATTGTTCTTACCCTCGTGTCGTGGTTATTATTGCCTTATGAGTTGTATTGTGTTACGCGTTTATGTCTTGAAATGAAGCAATGGTTTGACTCCCATTGATTTTGATCCGTGTGAAAAACCCACGCGAACGGTTTTTACATTTACTTTCCATGCACTCTGCTCTGCGTCCCTGTCCCGGTCGGAAAAGACTTGAAAGGAAGAGCAAGAAGGGATACGTGTGATGAAAACGAACAGCTCTCCGAACTCTATTTTACAAGTCCTACCAGGTCTTTATAGACTTGGTTACAAGGATTCATGAAATGAAATCAACAAAAATATTCTCCTTCCACCATTTGCCGGTATCATGACCAAAGTTGATCATCCGCTCCGGGGCTTCAAATTTCCCTTCACAGCCTCTTGAAGGGTTAAAAATCAATTTCCCCCAGTCCTCGCAGTACTTCTTTCCTCGCAGAAAAAACTCGCGTACAGATTCCAGTCATATGTATGTATGCTATCAGAACAAAATCACAAAGCAACTGACATATTTGCCACCAAAATGTTTCACACACATGGAGGCATGAATGGCATTGGTGAATTGATCGATGCATATTAACAGAGTGTCCTTTATACCACTCTATATGTACAGTCTCGTAATGTATATGTATTAATTTGTTAGCAAACTCATGAATCAACAAAACGATGCATACTCTTGATATTCAAATAACCATTCACAACTAACGATTGATGCATACAAGCCATTTAACATTCACACATGTATGCACTATTGTTCAAGGACAACCAAAATCAACAAAGAAGATGGGTTCAATTCATCTGGACAAATCAATCCTTAATGGAAAAATCATGAGAGTTCACAACTAATATCACATGTAAGAATAATTTGATCTCTAAAAATAACATAGAAGATGAAGTCATAGCCGACTTCAACAATAAACTTCTCCTCTCTTGTTGAAACAATATAAGATTTACAGTAGGTCTAAGTCCAATAATAAGCGTGTTATTCTGTAAGAGCAGTAACTACTACTTATATTGAAATAATCCTTGTGATTTTCTATTAAAAGCAGTATAGGAAACTGACATACAATTCCAATTCAACTATGAGTGCTAAGTATAAAGATTCACTTAAAATTTCAATTTCAAACTGATTAGAACAATTTTAAACTCTTTAATAAGAACACTATGACTAGTTCTAACGCTCACTATCGTACTCACTTTCTAACACTAAATTCTAGATGCGCTAGAAGACACAGGATATTTAGACTAGTGGGTTGTGACTATGGAGGAACATGTAGAATGTAGTTTGAGGTGGCATGCTAACAATTAATCGGGCCAGCGCTTAGGAGATACAATTGGGGTTGAGGCATTTTCACAGACCTAATTGAAAAGCAGGGATTATTCAATGCACAACTTAAAGGACATAAACATCCTGATTCATGAATTTGAAACGCAAAAAAGTTAAAGTCGACGTAAAAAAGTTAAAGTTGCAGTACTTTGTGTTCGTGGTGGTGAATCTGCCGATGGAGAGGGGGAGGGGGCCTCCTTAGACAGACATGCTAATCTTTTGGCAAACATACGGATTATGGACGTAGCATTTGCACGAGAGAAGTTTCGTTCAAAAGGATAGCAAAGGGGGCCCTTATATTTTTCATCTTTATATAGGAGTCCGACACCACCAACATCAAAACATGTTTGAGACATGTCTCTCGTTGAAAAGGGGGCCCTTATTTTCACTGCTGTTGAAAAGTAATACTCATCATCATGTTCCTTATGCATGCATGCATCACCTCATGCCTCATGGTGGTTAGATTTCCTCTACACTCTTCAGCCTACAGGTGGAGGAGAGGAGACTCTCGATCCCTCTCCCTTAATTTCAAGTAACAAATCATCACTTCACTACAGTAACAATAGCTAGCCTACCACTTGCGTATTTGCCTTTATCACATTCAGAGAATCAAGGGATAAGGCACGATGCGAGATATCCTCCTTCCCTTTTCTTAATTACTCAAATTCCTTCCTTGCATAGAAGAAAAAACCAGGTCCATTCATTTCTAATGATATATTGCCAAACGTCAAACATCTTTCATCTTAATTTGGCACCCACTCAATATGCATGGTTCTACATCTTAATTATATAAATATGTTTGGTTTCTTTCCAAATAAAAAGTTCAAAGGGATTTGAAATGTATTCAATACGTACTTGCCTACGGGGGTGCTTTCTTTGGGGAGGGGACTAGTATGCTATTAATAAAAAGAGGTATGGATAACACTTAATTTGAACGTTGACAATGTAATGCAATCACGTCAAAGTATATTATCCTACCTTTATAATCTAATACGACGTCCACAACATTAAAACCAACATTGTTATAGTAATAACATCATTTTGTGTAATTAGTTATAGCGTGATTATTATATAACATCAGAGTGTAAATTAACAATTATAGTGTAACTGTAATTACCTGTTTTGTGTGTTTACAACTATTATATGTTATGGTAGGGAGGTCATAAGTGACTTACGATGTTTTGTAATTTCATGACGTTTCCTAGTAATAATTTACATCTATGTTGTAATAAGACATGCATGTGTAATCATCAACGTTGGTAGTGTAATGGAAACATGTCTTAAGTATTAACTATAACTTTACCATGATCATATTACAATATAAAGGTAGAATATTATCGTTGAACATGATTGCTTTGCAACTATCAACGTTCAAATTAGATGGTACTTATACTCTTTTTTTTATTAGGGAACTTTAATGAAAAGGACTTCTTTAAACTTTTTATTAATCAAAAACCATCTATTAATTTTATATAATAAAAAGAGCTTAAACTTTAATTAAAGGACTTAAATTTTAATATAAAGGGCAACAATTTAACATAAGAATTAAAAAAAAAAAAAAAAAAAAAAACCAAAAAGTAAAACTGACGCACCGAGTCCGCACGTCACATCACCCACACAAACTCACGAAGGTGGATTGTCTGCCCTCTCATTTCCATACTCTCCCCATGCCCTCCTATGATGTGTGGTCACGGTTAAGCCACGTTAACATTTTATATTAATTTTTTTGTAAAAATAATAAAACAAAAAGTAATAGGAATATAAAATGTTGACGTGGCTTAACCGTGACCATACAAACAGGAGGACATGGGGAGAGTATGAAAATGGAAGGGCAGACAATCCACCTCCCAAACTCACTACCCCCATCGTCCTTAACCCCTCTCTCTCTCTCTCTCTCTCTCTCTCTCATATTCTATTAATTTTCTTTGTCAAATCACCATTTCATATCGACTTTTTCTCTTCTTTCTCCTCTCGCATTTCACCACTCTCCACTCATCTTCTGCTCTTACTCAATAAACAATATACTTTTTTATTTTTTATTTATTGTTTGTTTATTTGACCATTGTTTCATAATTTTCTTAAAACAAATTAAGTAATAATATTACAAGATTAAAAATAAATAAAAAATTGTGATTTTTTAGAACAAATTAAGTAATAATACTACCAAGGCCAAAAATAAAGAAAATTCGTAATTTTTCAGTTTTAAGAACATTAGCACTATTACTATTTTTTTAACTAAACATTGACTACTTCTTAAAATGAACACTATTTCTTAAATTAAACACTGACTATATCTTAAACCGAACATTAGTACTATCATTATTTCATAAACTGAACACGAGTACTATCACTATTTCGTTAATTAAACACTGACTATTTATCAAACGAACACTAGTACTATCACTATTTCGTAAACTAAACACTAGTTATTTCTTAAATGGAACACTAGTACTATCACTGTTTCGTAAACTAAACACTGACTATTTCTTAAACCGAACACTAGTACTATCACTATTTCATAAACTAAACACTAACTATTTATCAAACGAACACTATTACTATCACTTTTTCGTAAACTAAACACTGACTATTTCTTAAACGGAACACTAGTACTATCACTGTTTCGTAAACTAACTATTTATCAAACGAACACTAGTACTATCATTGTTTCGTAAACTAAACACTGACTATTTCTTAAACGGAATACTAGTACTATCACTAGTTCGTAAACTAAACACTAACTATTTTTTAAACCAAACACTAATACTATCACTATTTCGTAACTAGTACCATCACATTCATGTTTGTTATTTGACATTCCTCTCAATCAATTTATTTGATTTTCCTTTAATTTTTTTTTTCCACACAAACTGAATCATCTCTTCCCCTTCTTTTTCCTGTTCACCTTCTTCAACCTTCTCTCTCCATTTACGCATACAAAAATACCCACATCAGTTTTGGTCACCCGCGTACAAAAATACCCACATTAGTTTTGGTCGCCTATATCCCAGACCAAATTGAACCTAGCCCACCCCTTGTAAACCCACCGAGATGCGAGTTTGAGAGTGTCACAAGAACAACTTTAGCAAAATTTGTTAGAGTTTTAGATGCTGACATTGGCGTTAGACTACTCGAGAAGAAGATGGCACAAGCATCTATGTCTACCAAAATTAATGAAGCAAGTTGCCTCATTTGGTACTGTAACCCACCATTTTCTAACTTTTATCTGAATTTAATGAAGCAAGTCCCTTGGAAAGAGCTGAATATGGATGTGTAAAGAGAGAGAGAAAACGTTGAAGAAGGTGATGAGCTTTTGCACTACAGACTACACGTGGTTCTCTTCAGTTCTAACTCTGATGAATTGCTTGGCGTGCGTTGCACACGCTTTGGTTGGATTAGTTTATGTTTTTCTTCTTTTTAATCTTTTGTCCTTATCATTAAATAAAGTTATTAGTTGGTTTTTTATTAAAACTTAAAGTTTTGAAGCCCTTTTCATTAGTTTTTCTTTTTTATTAAAGAGTACCGTAGAATTTCCAAAAAAAAGAAAAAAGAAATATAAGACGAGTGCACATTAAACACGGCCTGACCTTAGAGCATATATGTAATGAGAGATGCAAAATTTCTTGGAATAAGCATTTTCATTTTTGATTAACCGGAAAGCTCTCATATGAATGAAATCTAATATACTCATAATGGTTAGAAAATGTAAAATTTACAATTTATTTTTATTTTTATTTTACATCTCAAAGCCGAGACCTATCAGTCAAAGAGAAAAAGGTGAATGTGGTCCAAATTACATCTCTCACTAGAGTAGATTTCACGTTTACATCTTACAGAAATATATATAAAACATATCTAAATACAAGTTTTACATTTTAAACTTTGCATCTCTCCATTATATATGCTCTTATTGATATAGAGTAATTTGGATACAATACATGCATAGCATGTGAGTAGTGCATATTATAAAGGTTACATATATGTGTGTACGCTGTAGATCGATGAGAGCCTCAATCGAGCGCTATATACATTAATCACCTTCATTAATTCACAGTTATTTTCTTAAAAACCCTAAATATTCTTAAATAAATTATGGTATATTATCATCCAGTCTATGATGGTTATAATCTTCCATGCGAGCAGTGTCATGACCATGCAGCTGGGGTAGTGCACTTGGTGCTGATGAAGATGACGGGGTGTGAGAGTACCAGTGAGACCAAAATAGATAGTTGAGGAAGTTGAGGAAGCTGAGGCCTGCCAGCAACCAATAGAAAAGGTCTAGTCTGTCTTTGTTGAGATTATTGTCACCCAGCCAACCACCACCAACGCCACCACCTGAGGATGTTGTGATCTTATTCACCAGAGAGACGAGCAGGGAGCTCAGGTAAAACCCAAATGAATAGGAGCAATAGTTCAAGGCTGTTAAAAATGCTTGCATCCCTTTCAAGGATTGTTTGTAAAAGAACTCAATGAGGCCTACGGCAGTGAGCATTTCCGATAATCCAAAGATCAAGAATTGTGGGGTGATCCAAAAAATGGAAATTATTTGGTTCGAATGTATAGCTGCATCCCTTCTCTTTTTCTCCATGATGGCAGCCGCGATCATCGAAAACGTCGCAGAAAAGAGTCCAAACCCTATTCTCATTAATGGGGAGATACCGGAATCGTGACCGGTGAATTTTCGAGCAAATGGAACAAAGAAAGTGTCATAGAGAGGGACAAGGATGAGAAGAATGATGTAAGGGATGGATTGAAGTGAAGCTGGAGGGATATGGAAGGATTTGGTTAGCTTGGTGTTCATCATACTTCCTTGTTGGACCGAGAAAGTTTGGAGCTGAGCCAAAATTGTGTTGAAAATTATGGTGGAAGCAAAAATTGGGATGACTGAAAGAAGTATTTTTACTTGCTTCACTTGAGTAACGGTGCACAATCTCCACGGACTTTCCTTTGAGTTAGTGCGATCTTGAATTTTAATGCTAGCCTTGTCCAAGAACCTGATCATCATTAATTAATTTGGAAGATATTACTTAAGCATGCGTGATTACAAGAAAACACAATACACATTTATACAAGCATTCTCAAGTAACTATCATGGCTATAGCTAGTTGTTGGACAACTACTAGGCACAAAAAACTTAAGGAAATTGGCTAAAATAATTAATGAACTAATTTCAATTGGTGAAATGATGAATTTTAGTGTCTAATTGATATGTAGTTAGTCTTTAATCGATTTATCGTCGTTGTTTTGATTTTGATCACTTTAGAAACTAGAATTTGTGAATTCACCGTTGCAGCCAATTTTCAAAAACTTAAGCTAGCACAGAACGATTGAACAATATATGTCAAGTAAAAATGACAGTCATACAATCATGTAATGCTATTAATTAGGTGTTACAATGTGGATGAATGACATTAATTTACAGTATGATATTGACATTTCAACCAAGTAATATAAATGCATTTGCAACACCACGTAATGATGTAATGGTACACCAAAAGCAAGGCGACCTTTTGAGAATCATATCAACAAAAAAAAAAAAAAAAAAAAAAAAAAAAAAAAAAAAGAGAGAAAAAATGTATAGTTCTTTAAAGGATAACGTTATCCATACAATCATTTTTATTTTTTACACATTTATTTTAATTTTTAGTTGTTAGATTAAATGAATTGAAAATGAGTAATGATAAAAAAATAATAATAATAAATATGTGTGAGAAGTAAAATTAGATATTTGAGAAACAAAAACAAGTGTGAATAAAACTATCATTCTTTTAATTTCATAACAATCTCAAAGCAATGAACGATTTTCTTAAAAGGAAATAGATCCTGAGGATCAATTGATAGCAACCCTTCGTCAAAGATCTTGCAACCACAGTTTTTTTTTATTATATATATATATATATATTTTTTTTTTTTTACATAAAATGAGGCTTGAAAATATAAAATATATTCAATTATAACTGCACAATTTTTTATCAAGGGTTGATATCAATTGATCCCTTAAATTCTCAGTGAGAAGATCCAAAGAGGATATGTTTCTATCTTAAAAAAAAGGGACTGTTTTTACACTTGGGAAAATAATTGGCCGAACTAAAAGACATGCACACGATGCATGGAAAACAAGATGCTGTCATTGAAGGTCAAAAAATAATAGAAATAAGGATATACATGCTTTCCCCTATTGTATTTGGAACATGGGTCCTCTCATAATCAATGTATTTTAATTCATTAAATTTATATATTTGGATCATTGAAATTTAATTTAATTACGAAAATTATTATAATTTTTTAAATAAATTCTTATTTATAATCATTAGATCAAATTTCAATAACTCAAATACATAAATTTAATGAATTACGAAACATAAATACGAACAGGACCCATGTCCTTGTATTCGTACCTGAACTTTTCAGTGTGAAGAAAGCTGCCAGCGTCAGAAGAGAAAGTAGCATTGTCATTTGGCGCATTGTGTTGGCTTCCATGAAGCATCTGTGGATTAGATGGACAGACCTGCTTTCTCTTTAGTATTGCAGCCACAAAAACCTAAAAGGAAAATAATAAGATATTATATATTCATTTGTTTACGTGCATGTGTAGATTCTCAAATTATTCGACAACCCACATGTTAATCTCTTGTTTTTTTTTTTTTTAAACATGATAATCCAACAAAATTGCATACCGACACATGCACATCAAAACAGTATATATATTTATAACCGATTATATGAACTATTCCTGATTGACCCGTGAGATATGTTGGATTCCATATAGATTACTAATTAATTAAAAAGATTAAATTGAAAATTTTAATTAGTAAAAGTTCAGATACCATACTTGAGCAATGGGAGTGAGTATGCTTCCTTGAGGTCGTTTGTTCCTGTAATATAGGGTGCCAGAAACCAAGCTGATCAACCCCATCGCCATGGCGGCTGCTGAGACTCCAAAGCCAACATCCATTCCAGAGTGAGTTTGGACCCACACGAGAAGAGTGAGGGCGACGAGTTCACCCATGGAAAAGGCAAAGTAGGCAGCATTGAAATAGGTGGAGAGTTTCTTGGACTGCTTTGGGTCATCTGGGTTGAACTGGTCAGCCCCGTGAGCAATCATGTTAGGCTTCATACAGCCACTCCCCAATGCCACCAAGTAAAGTGCTACGAAGAAGATTAGTGACTTGAACCCTTTTGCCACTACACACTCCTCTCCGTTATTAACGTTGCATGGGGGTGGCTTTAGCTGCGGAACATGAGCTTGGACTGACAATAATATGAAACCCTGCATGCAAGCACATGCGCACAAATTCAGCAGACATACATATATCATCATGTACAAAAATGAATCAATCAATCATTTGTTCACATGAATTAATTAATTGAGTACGTAGAGACATTACTCAATCAATAATTGTTAAAAAAAATAAGTGGTCATCATATTTGAGTATGTGATTTTATTTTTAGCGGTATTATTCTGTCACTCTAACTGACTCGAAGCATAAACAAGTTCAGCAAAGAATTTGTTGTTGAGAGAGACAGAGGGCGTGAGGGAGAGACAAAATTAAAAGGGAAGGATAAAAAAAAATAATAATAAAAAAAAAAAAAAAAAAGATAAAAATGGTGAGATCATGATGAGGGAAGGCTGAGCTTTAAGCAAGGTAGCTCACCGAAAGTTCCACAAAACCAAAGATAAGCATGGTCCAGAAACTCCCAAGATAAGAATCAGAGACGTAGCCACCAACTAGGGCTAAGAGAAAGACAGTTCCAATAAAGTTCGTCACTACGTTGGCTGAATTTGACAGAGAAAAGTGCATCTCATTTATCACGTATGTTATGAGGTTGTTCCCAACTGCAGCAATTCCCATTATCTCAAATGATTGAAGCCCTGTGTATAAAAACAAAAATATCATACAAACTTAATTACGAACGTTAAAAACATACGAAAAAGAAAAAAAAAGAGTAATGAACTAACTCCTTAATCGTAATGAATTAGTACAATCTATGGGAGAGCTTTGCTTAATTTAATAGAGTTTTAGTAAAGTTATTAAGTAGATGGCGAGTTTGACCAAATTATTATGATTAACATATTGTATAAATTAGCTCAAATCCTTCATCTTTTGATGTAAATATATCGTTATATTAAAATAAAATATCATAATAATTGGGGTGCGGCTTTCTTTTTCATTTGAGAAAAGGTGTGGTTCATAAGCTAAATCAAGAAACCATTTTCAGTGTGAGTCTGAATAATTGGTTATCACAAAAGTTATATACAGGAGAAAATGCATTCAAAAAATACCAAATGAGAGAAAGTAATTAGAAGAAGATATAGAGGATGTGGCTATACCAAGAACAAATGCAGCAGCTCTCATGCCACCATGCTTGGTAGGATTGGAAGGTCTGCCTCTCCAATCAACAGTCATCTCTTCCGCCATTTCAGATGTGTCAATGGCCTCAACTTTGTGGTTCTGCCTCCTTTGTTCCATATCTATAGATGCCCCTGCTGCTATATATATATATATGTGTGTGTGTGTGTGTGTGTCTCTCTCTCTCTCTCTCTCTCTCTCTCCCTAAATTTGGCCAAACTAGGAGGGAGAGGGAGATAGATGGGGAATAGTAAAGGAGGGCTGTTAAGGTTGTTGCCTTGTGTTGGTCTCAAGCTAGTAATTCTGAATTGGAAGCAATTGGGTTGTTCTAAATTTATAAGCCAAGAGCCAAGCTCCTTGTGCCGTGGGATTGTAAGTAAAACCAAAATATTAAATCCACACGCACTATAACCATGTGGATAACACTTCATCCAGGAAAAAAAGGCTCCGCGCAGCTACAAGTCCCAACTTCCTATCTAGCTAGCTTTTTCTACCACTAATGATCTCATTAGAGTACAGCTCCAATGTTCTTTTCTAATTGAGCTAATAAGTTAAATTTAAGCACTAATAATCTTACTAATTAAGAGTGTCTCCGACGTGCTTTTTAGTTGAGCTCTTAAGTTAAAAGACTTACTCAAGTTTAGTTATGGTTCCTAAACAGCTAAACTCTGATAATATAGCTCATAGGGTCCTCCAACTCCACCTAGTGTAGTCCTTCCGTTTAACTCCGTTAGTTTTTCTGTCAAATATAAAGTTAAAATAGTAATCTGACCTCACAAAATTAGAGAACTAAAACTAGAAGAAAAAAAAAAGAAAAGAAGTGAGGGTGATTGGATTACACGGTCTGGGGGTTGTTTGGGGTTGTACTGTATGAGGGAGAAGGAGGGGGAGGTTTGGGATTGCATGATATGGGGGAGGAGGAGAGGAGACCAGAGGATCGAGGAATTATCCATGAGACAAGGTTGGTTGAAGCAGGCGTGGTCTACACTCTCCATTGCATTGTTATTCTTACTGGCAGCTTGACTAGACAGAGTAAAAAGTTGTCGGTAAATGTTGAAAATCACTTTATACATGTTGAAAATCACTTAATTTCTTCTAGTAAAGTTATTGTTTTCCAATAAATTTCCTGTTTTTGATTGAACTCCAAACCCTCCTTTTAACAATGAAAAAAAAAAACTCCAAACCCTAAGAATTTGCTCATTAATCCACGACAACGGCATCAAACTTGAGAGTCAAAACTTGAAAGTCCACTCAAAAGTCTCGAGGCATCCAAACCTAAAACTTAATTCAGGTTAGAGAGATCATCTTTTTAGATCATATTTTATAGATCACAAAATGTAACGGTTGATGATTAGATTTCTTCTTTAAACCAGTATCTGTCGATTGTTGAAAACCTATCGACCACTACAAAATCACTTCCGATAAGAGAATAACTGCATGATAAACTAGCTACTAAACACACTACAGAATCACTCCCGATAAGAGAATAATTGCATGATAAACTAGCTACTAAACGGAAAAGACTTTTGAGTGCTCATTATTCAAGAGGATACTCCACGTGTCATAAAATAAGTGAATGAATACGAAAAAATATAGTATTTCATCTGCTTGTATTATGATATGTGGAGTATCCCTTGAATATCAGTACTTGAAAAAATCTCTCCTAGTAAACAATTGATCTTCTTAACACATGGCATTAATGTATGAGTTTGGCGGCAGGTGAACTCTGTGCTCAAATTCATACCTACTACTACGGTATTTATTGTACATATGAATGTGTTTATTATATATTTTTGGTGTAAGGTGTGGTTTGATACATTGACCCAAAAGCTAAAGGTATGGTTTGATCTTCAAGTACAAGGAAATATGTTATACATGTGTTGAGTAATAAGGGGGAGACAAAGTGGAGACACAACATATGAACATACTAAGTGGATCCCAACACACATAATATTACCACTGCTATATCCTGTTTTCCTACCACACCTTCAAGTCAATATATATCCACATCCAAAAGGTGTTTGTTATTGATTGGTGTCCTTTTTTTTTACCAATTGATCACCACTAGGCACTACCACTATGGAAAGTGAGGAAGACTATTTTTACTCCCGTTCACTCGGATTTAGATCAACTCTAGATCTCTGTTTCCGTAGTTCCGGGTCAAGAGATTCTGATTGTGCAAGAGAGTGAGAAAGAGATCCGGATTGTTCAAGTTTGTAGAATTTTGTGAAGTGGACCAATGAATAGGCTAACAAGGGTGGTAAAATTGAAATTGAATAGTCAGAATCTCTTGATTTGCAAGTTTTATACACAGAAATATGGAGTGGAACTCATTCCCTTTTAACTCCTCAATCAACAATTCCATCACTTAATTAAATCTTGTTTGGTAAGTGACTGTCAACTTTTGTAGGAATTGCGTTGTATATTCTTTGGAAAAGAACAAGAAGCCGCAAGACTTTTGGTAAAAGTTCTACCTTATTTGTTTTGGAGATAAAGTTGGATTATAATGATATATGATGGCCATTGCAGTCGATTACCGTATTGCTTCAACCATGCACAAAATGAATTTGAGGGAAAGAGTGTCTTGTGGGAATATCCAAACGACCTTGTCACAATGTTTGGATGCACTAACTAGTAAAAATGGACCACATCGGGTGACTGTAGGGAGCACATCAATTTTTTTACGATACAAGTGATATTTTACTCTAAACGAAATTAAGAGGAGAGGGTAAACACATAGCACAGTCGTTTGAAGATGAATAATCTAATTAACCACCAGATTGAACAATTATAGGTTTCACCAGAATAAAAAAAAGCACCCAGAATAATAAACACTGCAGGCTTTTACAATTTGGCCATATATATGTGCTATATATATTGGTATATAGACAATATATGGTTAGCGTAGGCAGATTAGTTATAAAGTGGACATATGTACTCCTCTTATGCCTCTGAGATCATTGTCTTGAGCAAAAATTTGTTGCATTATCTTTTGTCTTACATCGACAAATGTTAGATATGTCTAATTAGTGGGGAGAGCATTAGCAAATAACAATATTGCAATTACATGTTTAAGGCATTTAATTAATTGCCCCAATGGAGGGTTTAGTGTGTGCATCTTGTTTAATTAACATGTGATGTGCTTAAAGAAAGAGTGACTTCCAGCCACGTAGGCGGTAGGCCACGGAAGATGTAGTGGACGGAAACTTGGTGTGATTTTCAACCCTTGGACTTGGGTGGTGGTTTCTTCTGTGCATACACCAATAGTCCACAGTAGCCTGAACTTGGACCCTTTTTTTTTTTTTTTTTTTTTTTTTTTTTGTAACATAGAAGGTATTCTCATGCAGTCTTGGTATCACTATCACATGATGGGACAGTGTATATTGGATTTTAACATTTAACTTTTAAATCAAATGGTACACCAAAACAAAACTAATAACCATAAAAATAAAAACCGTATGAGTTCAAACTCGAATTAAAGTTAGTGTATGCCAATATGTCAACACACGAAGAAGTCAACAGTTGGCCGAACTTGGACATAAGTCATCTCATGAGCCTCACGCATGTACAAATGAAAAAGCCACTTTTGGAGCGTTTGGACCAAATAAAAAAGGGCAGGAGCATTATCATAAATTTATTAATTCTCTACACCATAGTCGACCAGTTTGAAAATATGTAGGAATGTGTATTTGTTAAGGTCAAAAAGTCCCTTAATTGGATCGATTGAGGAGAAAGTTGGTAGGTGGACATGCACAACTCTAAAGGCTAAAGTAAGCTAAGCTAGCTAAACCTAGTAAGAGCATTCTCAGTTAGGGGTTTTATATGAGGCAGGAAAAATGATGGATATAATCTATTTTAGCATTTCGAGGAATCTTGGAGGTTTTATAAAAGAATCTTTTTCAATAAGGAGCTATATATTTCAGGCTCTATATGAGGCTATATATATTTATTTATGTAGTAATTTGATTAAGTGATGTTTTTTTTTTTTTTTTTTGTGTTAGCTTTTCTTAAGTTGATTTTTAGACGTGTTATCTTAATTTTTTTTTTATAGACCTTTCAACCTAATAAGTTCAAAATGTGACAAAGTTAGATTTAATCACTTATGAATTGTTCATTGGATTAGATTCTCTTACCTACCGTTGAAAGAAACAAACCCTCACTTCGCCCTCTAAAATAATTTGATTTTTCACATATAACACAACAATTTACCTAGCACCAATTGGTAAATTAGTATCATACAATTTCATCCACCAATGCCCATGAACGTTAAATCAATTTGAAATTTAAATTCTTATGGAATTTAAAACAATCATTAATTAGCCAAATTGCAAGAAAATAAGTAAGAAAAAAGAATTAAAAAAGAATAATAAAAGGAGAGTATAAGTGTATTCACAAGTGGAGGGAAAGTGATAGAATTTTGCTCGTATGGGTTGCTACTTTTGTTGTGGGACCCATTATTTTTTGGGGCTAGATGTAGCTCGATTTTATGCCACCCAAGAAAGGAAGTTGCTAGCCCCGGTGGTGAATTTAGCCTCATTTTCCGGCTCATTGAGGATGAAATTTCTCGCTAAAGCTTGAAATGTAGTAGCCTCGTGGAGGATAGGGCCCCCATTGGGATGCTCTAAGTTATTGGAGAGGAGAGGCTTCAATTCCTTCCACTTGTTTTCTTGTCTTGTGATGAAATGATTGCTAGCTTAGCTGGTCATGCAATTCACCAATCGACATTTTTAAATGCCTTATTACCCATTTGAAGCTATATACATCTTCAACGATATTCTAACATTACTCAACATCTTGTTTTCCATATGAGCTTTTACATTAGTTTTTTTATTATGCTAGTGCTGCTTTGGCGTTAGTTGGTATATAATATACAGGTCAGTGCGGACATTGTTTAGCCGTTTTTTTTCCCTTTATATGGAGAAATTTCCACATGTACTAAGAACATAAGTTACGTGATCTTATCATTTTACGTTGTTGTTTACCGTAACTTTAGAGATTTCAATATTAAGATCCAGATTACCTATCAGATCATAACTATTGCCAATGAGAATTTCTCTTAATTAAGATAATTCTTGCTATAATGATCTCAAATTCAGAGGCTATGAACACTAAAATAATTATTTAGGAAGCTACAGCTCTCAATCGCATTTTTTTAGGCCTTAAAATTTTAGGTTTGGTATTCTTTTTCAGTGAACTTCATGCCATTTAAAGTTGGAGAAATCCTGAGAGAGAGAGAGAGATGATACCAAATTGGCATCGTTTAGGGACTTTAGTTAGTCTCTATCAACCCTTACCCTTGAAGTCCAAAATCTCAGTAAACACTAAACGGATTTTAAGGAAAAACCATGAACACACACCCACCACCATTACCAGTACCACCACTGTCACCATCAATCCCACCGACCGTCTCTGCCCACCACCACCACCACCACCACCACCATCACCATCACATCCCCCACCACCCTAGTCCACGAGTTTCTTGAACAAAATGATGCATCAGAAGATAAGAGTGGCCACTTCCTATGGATCACAAGAATCTTGCTACATCACCTCGGATTCTAAATCATTTTCTCTGCCAAGTAATTCAAATGCACATTCACTACTATTTGCTTCGCTTATCTCAATTTCATTTAGTGTGAAATATTCCTCAGTAATACCGTACAAATATACGGAGTAAGGCACGTCACACTAACTTCTCTTACAAACACACAATTTTAGTACAAATCGAATGAATAAGGATCAAATCTACCATTAAACGGATTCTGCGAGAGGGTTAAATATTTGATAGTTTTTCCATTCGTAACTTCTTCTTAGAAAAGGACTGTTCACAGTATCCAGAGAAAAGACAAACCTATATAAATGGCATACCTGCTACACAATTTGTGTTTCAAACATGATAAGTCAAATATACAACCTTGGTGATTCATCTGTAGTAGAAATCAAAGTTGAATTGCTTTTAAGTCAGGGTTCGCCGGTTGAAAGACTCCACTGTTAAGTTGGCAGTGAAAGCTGGGATTGAATTCAACTTCCGAATAAATATCTCAACCTGCAAAATGTTATCTCAGATTAGTTGACAAGGTAACTCCAGTAGTTCACAACCACAAACCACATTGAAAGATTTAAACTTAAGTCCCTGAAGAAACATCCGACTCTTTTGAGTACCATATTGACTCAATGAACAACTCATGGTAATTTCTTTTGACCAAATCGCTTCTGTAAAAATTACTTTTACAAAAGAAAAGCAATTGTAGGCTCAATGGAGAAGCGTGTGTGTGTGCGTGTGTGTTTTTTATTTTTTATTTTTATTTTTTTGTGGAAATGCTAATAGTTCATTTTCCAACCCTCAAAGTAATTCCTCACGAAATCAAAACAAAAGGTTGGTTTGCTCCCCTCCGAAACAAAGGGAATGAAAGAAAGCAAAAGCAAAATAAAGGGAAACGGGGAAACTAAACCTGGACACCAAACATAATAAGTACAACTACTGCTGAAACCATCTGTCAGATCATATGAAATATGAATCATGGACGTATATGGAATAGAGTGTCCCTAATTGAATCCTCAAATAATGTGGTACAGTTTGGATCACCCAGAGACGAAGAAACAATAGTCCTACCAGTACAGAAGCATGCAAAAAAAAAAGTTCTAAGATTAGAAAAACATCATGCTCCATACCTGTTGAGATATCTCAGACTGCGAGGTGTAATCATTTGCCTGTTCAATCAAACAATAATATGATTATATTTCTTCCGGCATTTGTTTTATTATGAACTCAAATACAATAACAAAAAGAAAATTGAGATGTCCCCCAAAAATATGCTTGCTGTGTTTCCTTACTGAAATCTTAAGGACCAAAATAGCTTTAAAAAGGCATAAGAAAATGACTTCATATAATACGATCTTACCAAAATGTTTGTGCTCCCTGATTCATATTCAAATTCAAGCTTCTCATCATCACTTTGCGCATATATAGATTGGAGGGTAAAACGTGTAACAGGGATTCCATTGGGACGCTGGTGTTCATCCATCACAATCTGCAAAATTGTAATCAAAAGTTAATCGTTACAGTTTCACAATGGCCCATGCAGGTCTCAAATCTGCCTAGGAATGACACTTAAAGCAAGATAAACAATTGGCCATGAAAAATTGGTAATAAATCTCATGATCTCAACTATTTATGCTCTCAAACTAGATCATATCATAGCAAATGTAAACAGAGACAACTTATTAATTCAACATGTTAATAACTTAAACTTTATATGATTGATTCTCAGTGTTAGTAAAGCATATAGACATAAGAATCAACTTTAAACCTGTTAATAGAACTTAGCAAAAGATGAACTTTGAACACTATAAAGTTTTTACCTTGGCAGTGATATTAGTAGTTTCAAGTTTTCACTACTTTGGCATTTATCTTGAATGCATACTAATATCAATGCATCTAACAAGAACGGATGGATTAATCCGTGGCATGAATAAATCAGTTTCATACGCATGGTAATGAAGATATACTGAGATAAATGCACCTTATATATAAGACTTTTTCAGCTCCAAAACCAGACATTATTTCAAGCTATGTTCAAATTTCAAAGTGGGAAGTTGGAAACCTTTTACCGTCTCTATAAATATTATATTAAATTTTCAATTACTAACTCTACAATATTTCATTATTGTACTTTCTTATTATAATGATTCCTCACCATGTTAGCTGGAATGCCATGTTAACTGGAATACAAGTCATATGCAAATTAAAGTAAAATGAGCAACATCTATGATATACCTTGTAACCAAAGAGCTCACAACATGCCCTCCTGAACACTGAAATTCGGTCGGCAAAAACAGTCTTGTACCTGTTCCATGGGTAAATTCAAATGTTTAACCTAAAAGTTGTATTATAGTTTAGGTAAACTGTGAACATACAATGAAAAGGACACCAAAAAAAAAAAAAAAAAATATATATATATATATAGAAGAGCTGCCTCCTCTCACAGTAAGCCCACCCAATAACTTAAATCTAATGCAATCTTCTTACATCTGCCAAACCAAATAAATTAGCAAAAGTGGGGAACCCCAAGACTGGAATATGCTAAGTTTTCTTAAAACCTTAGGCTAAAAATAGGTACAGCAATGTATACCAAAGTTCGCTCATATTAACAATATCCATCAGTCACTCACCTTTCTTCACGTTTTTCCAGAGTTGCAATTTGTTCTTTCAACTGCACTATCTTCCCAGATATGTAGGAATCCACCAATGTTCCAGCATCACCTGAATAGTTCAAGAGAATGAAGCAATGCAAATAAACTCAGTACAAAATTGCATGACGAGACAAATAAACATCTGACTTAAATAGTCAAAAGATAACAACAATGTAATATCTTCTAATTTCTACGTTAAGTTATACCTTCTTGATGTAAATTAGAACACTGTTATGGAGCAAGTATGGTGCTGTCCACAATTTACGCCAACAAAGGTGCCAACGAGGGTGACAATAATAGCAATGGTAACAATGGAGGTAGATGAGGACAATCGTGGCAATCAAGGTATTGCTGGTGGTGGGGTTAGTTTGGTAGTTGTGGCAGCAACTTGAAAGCCATATATATTATTATGGTATCAGTTAATGGGGGATCTTTGGACCTAAAGTACCATGTTAAAGCCACTCCTAGAATCCAAATCAATTGTTTAGTTTCTATCAATTATTTAGTTTCTAGAACAGCGTACTTTAGTAATATGACAATTTAAAACTTATTTTAATCCCCAAACTCATCTGAGAGACTGAGACTCTCATCCATGCACAGCCAGAGCAAATCTGAGACAACAATATAATGCTCTTAACCATTCATTTCTAAGACAGGAACCTTAAAAAAGAAATTTTTTTCACATAAATTTCTCTTTAAAAGAACTGTGCGTCTTACCTGATTGACTTTTCAATTCTTCAACAGCTTGTAACTTCTCCTTTGTCTTCTGTAACTCAGTTTGTAATGCCTCAATAGTTTGTTTTGCTTCATTATCAACCGTAAGAGTATTCACCATTCTTAAAACTTTAGTATTTGCAGCAGAGAAATCGCCATGACCAATCTGTGGAAGCAAAAGATCTCAGAAATTACATAATCGAATTGCACTTTTTTCTGCTCATCTGGCAGGGTTTAGATTGCTTGGTTGCAACTGCAGTTCCTTTTGGGATCGGCCAGTTAGCACAAGAGAGCCATTACATATCTGACATTAGTTTTTTATTGGACAAATCTTTCAATTCCTTAAATATTTGTAAGATAGGATTCTCATTGCATGAAAAAAGAATCTGCAGGGAAGTACAAATAACGGACAAACTAGAGTAATAATGATATTTTCCTAAGGGAAGAGCTTGGTGGCATAGTCCACAAAAGTTCAAGGCTCAGCCACCATTCAAACCCAGGCAGTGCCCCTTTAATTGCCAAGAAAAATTAAGATCATAATGTTCATATCAATAATGCTCCAAATAAATATGGCACCCACCTTGGACTCCAGCAGAGCGATCTCTGAACGAAGTCGATCGCTCTCCCTCTCCAATGACTTTATTCTTCTAGCGTCATTGTTCAACCTCTCATTAAGCAACTTTATTTCTTCACGTTGACTACTATTAACTTCTTTTTGTTCACACAGACCACATTCCAATTCTTTAATGTAGGCCTCTTTCGTTGCAAGTGATGATTCAACCTCCTGCATGTGCAAACGAGGAAACCAAACAATGAACTTAAACAGAGATTCCTTGAATTAGAAATAGTAAAGAGAAGAAATTCTGTGACCTGAAGAAAAGTTTGACTGGCTGCTTCATCTCCAGCTTCATCATTCTTTGCCGACTTCAGTCCATTAAGGACATTTCTCAACTTATCTCTTTCCTCAGTAACCATAGAGAGCTGCATTTTAATACTTCCTTCAGCATACATTCTTAAAAGATAATTAGTATAGTTTTTCTCAACTTTCTTTTGGGACTGACTTGTACAAAAAATGGAATGTTAGAGCTCTTGATACGCTAGAATGATAATGCTTTTTTTTTTTCAACCACTTTTTCTGTACTTTTAAATATATAAATCTGAGTCCCAGCAGATTTTTGTATGACCTGGTGAGAAGTTAAAACACCTTGAATAACGACTTCACTTTTGAAAACATTGATCTATATTCTGTACTGCCTTTCGAAGTTGTTAGATTCATCAACTTACATTGCATTTGCTTGACAGGATGGTTAAACTCCTCCCCCCCCCCTCCCCGGCACAAAAAAAAAAAAAAAAAAAAAACCCCCTTCCCCCTCCCCCTCCCCCACAACACCAAGCCATAGTTACCTTGCATGTTCTACCAAACTCTTTTGCTCTTCGTTGAGAGAGCCAAGCTTTAATTAAATTTCCAAAACCCTTAATGTGAAAGGATACTAAACTAATGACCAATAGACTTAAAATTATTCATGCATAAATGAGAAAAGAAAAAGCTACACCGGTCACACATGAACCTTAATTTAGAGAATACAAAAGCAACCAGTGCAGAGCCAGAATGATGCAGGATGAAATAAAATTTGTATTTTAAGCATATCAATTACGCTTATTATATTTAGTATTACTTATTACAAAAGAAATGTAGGTGTTAATTACAAATCATTTAAAATCTAATTATTACAGTTTCCTGTCATATTATGACCCCTCAAATTGTCTATATAAAGAGACCCTACAATTATTGAGTTCAATCTCCAGGCATGTTGATTGAAATTATTATGAATTGGTTCAATTTACCCCAATTTTCTCTTTATTCTAGAATCTAGATAAACACTACAATTATAACCCTATATTGACACCAGGCCCTCCCTACACGCGCACACCCACCCAACCCCAAAAATAAAAAAAAAATTAATTAAAGCTTCTGAAGCAGAAACTTTGAGGGATTGTACAGCAGTAGGAGAATACAGAATAAGCTTAGCAACAGCCTGAGTGAAAAACTAAATAAATAAGAAAAAGATGGCATAAAAGTAAAACTACATGGTCACACGCTTACCATCAATTCAATGTGCTTAACCTCTGATTTTGATACATCGACCTTCTCTTTGGCCAGTGTAGCCTCTATTTCAGCATTTTGTTTATCAATTTTTGCAGCATCTAGAGCTACCTCCAATTGTTTCAAGGCAGCATTAGCCTCACCCACTTTCATCATGCTATCAATTACCTCTCTGCATTAAATGAAAAAAATGTTCATCAATGGGGACCGAAAAACATTTTGCACAAACAAATCTCAGATTAAATAACAAATAAGAAAATTTATTTTGCACTGTTTGGTGGGGATGATGAGGACAGAACTTGATAACCTAGACAGTACATATAAACACTACAACTACACAAACTTGAAACCCACGTTAACAGATCAAGCATAACTAGAAGAAAAAGAACGGAAAAATTCTCAGTCCTAACCTCACCGGCTCAACACCCCCCCCCCCACCCCCAAACACCACACCACACCACAAATAATATACAAAGTTGACAGGGCCATTTGAACCTTCCGCAATTGTTCCAAACACCAAACACCAAACAAACAAACAGACATGGTGTCATGGGGTGAAAACCAGAACACTGAAAGAAGACTAGAGATGATTTGAAGATTTCCAATCACTGAAATTAAGCACACGGTACCAGCTCATTCTAGACCATCTACTATGAAGTCTTCCTACTCGAACAATTATTCATAGTATCACGTTATGCATACATCACATAGTACCAGAAATCATCTACTTCCTAAGAAATGTATATAGCAGGTACAGTTATTCTAGGGTCTAAACAAAAGAGACGTACCCATGCAATACAATACACAGTTTTTAACATTTAGTTTTAAATGTTTAATATATTCAGCTCTGCTGGATTGCTGGGAAGTTATCCACCAATAAATTCCAATACCATTGATGTTGTACCAGATGTTCAATTTTAATCAACAACAACAACAAAGCCCTTTCCCACTTAAGTGGGGTCAGCTAAGATGTTCAATTTTAATCAACTAATAAAAAAGTCACACTAGGGCAATCCTGGCCGCCTAAACAAAAATAAACAGATAACAAAAAATAATGGAAGAAGAAGAATAAGAAGCATCAAGGAAAGCCTCACTGTTTAGGTCCATGATTTATGAGTTTATTAATTCTCCTAAATGATCTAACAATGCTGGTTCAAAGTACTGAAATGAGCTATTCCCATACTTTTGTAAGGCTGCAAATTTAACAGGTACATCCTCAGAACATGACACGCCTGGAATGTCTTGACTTATCAACTTCCAAGATGTCAATTCATCCTCCAACTTCTTCATACTAAGCTGTAATTCTTGTAGTTTGGATAACTCTGCCTCTGCCCTCTCTCTACGGCCCTTTTCTTCCAACAATTTTTCCTTCAATAACTCAACATTTTCATGAGCCAACTTCAGCTTTCTTGCTTCCCTCACTTCAGCATCCTAAGAATTTAGAAACAAAACGAGGGACAGTACTTCGTTATATAATAGTCAAGAAAAAGATATTAGTACACATCTAGAAAAGATGAAATCAGTTGTACACAACTCTCTTTCAAACGAGAGCTTCTCAAAATCCATTCAAAATTGAAACCAAAAATCCTAACAGCACAAGACGAAAATTCTCCGCCAAAGTATTTAAAAAATTTCTTTTTGTTCAGTATAATTTCTTTTATTCCAAATGATAAACTTTTGTTTTATTATTCTTCATCTTCTCTAATAATACAAAATCTATGATGAAAATATAAAAGGTTGATGAGGCAAAACTCAAACTACCACAGCTAGCATAACAATATACTCTTTAACCCCAAGGCCAAATGGCCAAATCACATTACCAAACAAACATTGCACTGACTAAGTATGAACCATTCAACATATACAGACAGATTGGCTGCCCGATCACTAATGTTTAGAATTTTATGAACTGAAGTCCAAACCAAAAATTAAACTTTCGAGGAGCTGAAGATTTTTGTGAAAAACTTCATGGAAAAATATTTAAGAATGATCATCAATCAACTTCATAGAGAGCCTGAAGATTCAATAGGAAGAAACAATTTTATTCATTAGAAAGAAAAGATCAACAATGAAAACTTACAAAGTTTCTAAGCTCTTCTTGCAGATGTTTAACTAGAATATTATTCTCCGTGGATTCAACTTCTTGAAAAGTAAAACTCGACAGTTTCTTCTCCATTTCGCTTTTTTGTTGCACGCACTGAAAAATAAAGATGAATTAAAAGAAAAATTGATCAACTCGTGGCAGTATAAGACAAATCCTAATATTATACAAAATGACAATTCAATATCAAGGCCAAGCTGACCCAACAAACAAATAAATTATAAAGGAAAAGGTATAACTGCAGTTGGCATTGCAAACGGACAGGTGATGATGTATGTATGAGAAAGATATTCCACAGAACATATCAACTGGTGTCTAGGAGCGATAGAAATAAGAGATCTACCTCGCTAAGTTGTTTCTTAATATCATCCAGCTGCTTTTTCAATAGCTCTGATTCTTTCTCAGCATTATGAGCTCTGCATTCCATTCGTTCAAGCTAAACAAGAATGGGGAAAGTTGAATGGTTGTTGATGTTCATAACTTCATACAGACTATAAAACTAAATCAATCAAAACCACCACTCACATCTGCAGTTATTCTAGACACAGAAAGCTTGGATTCTCCTTTCAGCTGGGAAAAATCGTTATTGAGACGCTTTTTTTCCCTCTCTATGCTTTCAGAAAGATGTCTCAGTTTCCCCTCTACAACACTTGCTTTCTCCTCAGCCAAAGCTGCTGAAGACTCAGCTTTCATGCGAAGGTTCATTTCATTTTGAAGCTTCACCTGATATTTGAAATGTGATATGCTGAGTGGGACAGAAAAAAACTGTTTGGAATTCCAAACAGGGAACAAAATAAAACTAGGAAGAAAAACAGAGAGAACAACTGAATCATTCTTTTGGGACAACCAAATGGTGGAGGAAGTACCCATCATGGATAAAGGTTCAAGCATACATATACCTCAAGTTCACCGTTTGATTGTAATTGTTTAGTCAATCTTTGATGAGAATCGTGCACCTCCTTCAAAAGCTGCTCCTGCAGAGCCTGTTCACGTCCCTTTGCAGCAGCAAGTTCTTGTTCCGCATACAAAAATTGATCCAGATATTTCTTCCTCTCAGATTCTGCAGCACATGTAACTAATGAGGGACACAAACAAAAAATGGATAATCTAAAGAGTTTCCAGATGGTTAGCTTTGCAAAAAACAAAGGAATTCTGATTTTAAGGAAAAGAACTTATCTTACCAATGCTATGAAATAAATTCACGTGCATACATGATAAAGCAGTTGCAAACAAGAAAGAAACTATCTTGTGTTGTATTGTTGGCGTTCTAGTAACGTCAATGAGTCCAGGACTTTTCTCTACTCTTAAGTTAGTCATCCATGATTGCCAATATTGTCTATTCTATCCTCAGTATGGAAAGAAAAGGTTTGATAGATTATATGCATCCTACTCTTAGAAAATAAGACTGAAACAAGGGAATTGAAATTTTTTCTGTTGGGTTACCACGACTAAGCTCTCCTCATGTGTTGACCTAAACGAAACACCCAAGATCTTCTTCAACCCTTAAACTTCATTCCTTGAAGCTTCTTTTAAACCCCAAGTTCGCTTAAGCCGCAATTTCTCATTCTTTGCAGTCCTAATCCTTTTTCTTACCAAATTAAAATTGTACAAATCCACAAGTATTTCCTACAAATTTTAGCACTCAAATAGCCTCCCGCACAGTTTCAAATCACAAAGTATTTCTGCTGCTTCAACCAGTTTCTTTGTTTTACCATCTTTATTTGTCTTTCATACTTCTTTTGAAGCTTAAGTTGTCCTACAAACCGTGAACTTCTTTCTTTACAACCATAACCCACTACACCACATGTTCATTTTGCTAAACGAAACCCACAACATAAGAAAATTTAGGCTAAGAAGGCCTGTCCCTACATGAAGACATACTCTGATCAAAATAAGAAAATTTAAAATTCATTAAGTTTGTCACTTGTTGATACGGAAATCTTTACATAGTTACGAAACCACCATATTACACCATTAGTTGATCCAATCAAGTAAAGAAATGTTTTTTTTCGAATATTTGTGCAACAATAACAGTGAGTTTGGAAACGAAAACTTTGCAATTCCTATTCAGCCTGCAAGAAGCGAACAGAAGTAGAGCATTGAACTGTGACTGTGAGAACCACAATTATGAAAAAAAATTGAGAAACTGAAGGGGAAAGAGCAATGTTGAGCAATGTAGTGGAAAATCAAATTCAAAGAACCCACCAACTCTGCAAAAGTTCTCATTTAAAGCTGCCAATTTAGATTGATAATCAGAAGCTTGCTTCTCCGCGTCGCTCAAGGCATCTATAAAGTCTGATTTAACCTGTGCCAAAGGAATGGAAAAGGGTTCCTCTTAGCAATAAATATGCAATAAAAGAGGAATACACTGCAGTAAGGTCTACAAGCAAGAGAAACAAAACACAGATGATCGTCCTAAATCCACATTTGAAAATAGCTTCCGGCCAATAGGACTCGTATATACTAGATTTAGCTGCCAGAATGAAATACTCAAATACAGCTATGGAAAATTGGATGAATCAATTACATTAAATATCATAGATTATCAGCAAACAATCATATAATTGATTCATTTGTTACGGATTGAAAGGGCAATTAGGCGGCACTGGCGAGAGAGAGAGAAGAGAGGGAAGCATTAATACCATTTGGCGGCATTGGTAGGTGCAGAGCAAGTGGTGGGAGGAGGAATCCGGAGGTGGAAGGGAAGAAGAAGGAGGAGGAGGGTCGTCCTCGAAGATGACGAGCGCGCCAGGGCCTGGGGCAGGCGGTGGGGTCTCCGTCTCCGGCGCCGCCGCCCGTTGCTTCTTCGTCGGGGGAGTTCTTACTATCATCTTCAACCGATCCTTAACCTAAACCCCTCTCTCTCTCTCTAGCAGCACAGCACAGAGAAGGAGAGAGAGTGGTGGGCTAATTTAAACGCAGAGGGCGAGGGCGCCCTTTCGTGCCACCGTCTTTTCTTTCTTTCTTCTTTTCAAGTTTGAAACTCAAACAAATTTTTCATTAAGATAGGAACACGAGTGTGGGATATCACTAATACAAGTAAAGGGAAATTTTATTTTTTAAGTTATTGATTTTTTATCACATATATCTTATTATTTATATATAATAATATGTGATATATCATTTCGTGTATCAATTTCAGTAAAAAATCTCTCCCGCAGCTGCAACTACAAATCTTCCTTAACACAATTGATCTTTTCATAATGAAATTCCCTTTTTCGCCTTGAAGGGACAAAGTTGGTGTTATTTTATTTTCATTTATTTTTCCTTTTTGTCCGCGGGCTTGGGCTTTCATACAAACTCGTTATTTTGCTTTGTTTTTAAGGAAAACTAACGGAAAAGGTTTGAAAATTTTGAGTTTTAATGATAAGTGCAAAATAAAGGGTAAAGTGAATAGTACTAAGATTGACTTTTTAGTGTACAAATATGATTTTTCGTTAAAATAAACAGTACCGTGGGCTTTTCGTTAAAACTTCCTTGTTTTTATACAAACAATAATACAGGAAGAAAGCAGAATTGGACGTGAGATCTAGGGGGCAAAAGAAATTGTTTTGAATTAACTAAGGGGGTGTATTCAATTGGGATTTTGAGAGATTTAATTCTTTTAATGAATCTAGTGGTATTCAATCAGGATTTTAAGTGATTCTCTGAAATTCAATGTGTAATCAATCAGGATTTTAAGATAGTTTATTAAAATCCTTATAAATCCGGGTGTATTCAATTAGAATTTTAAAGAAGTTTATAACATTCCATGTGTATTTAATTAGAATTAGAATTTAAAGAATTTGGGAAAATTGAGGAATTATAGGGAATTAGAGATATTTTGTAGTGTATTTTAAGCATCCACAGATCTCACCTCTTCCCATGAGATTTCGAGGGCATTGAATCAATATTTTACATGAAATCTCTACAAATTAGTTAAACACCATAAAAATCCATGAATTTATAAATCCATTAAAATTTCTCGAATTCCCAATTGAATACACCCCTAAGTTACAAGTCATCTTACTTCACTCCACCTTTCAAAATGAAGTGGTGATCAATGTGTTACCAAACACATTGAATTCATATAAATAGAATATTTCATTTATTTAGGCTTATTATATTAACACTTCACATACTTAATACACATCATATTTGCTTTTTCAATGAAAAATTATCTTAATACACTCGCGTACTTCCCCATAATATCCTCACACCTCATATTCTCAATATATACCTAATATTTGCTACATGTTCCCCACCACATTTCTCAAATCTTATAAAGCTTTTAATTTGGACAAAAAATGCCGACTGGAATTTTGACAAAAGATGTCGCCTCGGATTTAAAGCATATATGGGTTGTTTTCAATTCTACCATTAAAACTCATGTCGTCTGTTTTTAATATTTGGTACTAATTTTAGATGTTTAATTCTTCATGTAATCTATGTGATCCCTAAAAGATGAATACGAATATAAAAACTTGAATAACGCAGCAAAACGAAGATTAAATAATTATCGATGTCGTCAAAATCACTAAAACAATAAAAAGTATGAAGCCTTACCTCATTTGAAGCTTCTGAAAAATCAATTTCGTGTTTCATTCGTCAAAAATAATTTCTCAATCAACATGTTCGTAGTTTCATTGGTTATGATTTTATTCAACAATGGAGGGTTAAAGAGATTTTGATAGTTGAAGAAGATACATAATACATTAAAAATGATTTAGGGTGTATTTAGAATTTTTTTTAACCCTAATAAGGTCAAAATAATCATTGCATAGTAGTGTAAATAAATCATTTAATATTAAGTTTTAATGTGGGATGCATTCAATATTTTATGAGGTGCTAATTTAAAAAACCTTTATTTATTTATTTATTGACATTTCAACTGCCACATTATATACACGGAGCATTAAGGAAATAATATTGTAACCATCAACCAAACCAACCAAGAGTAATCCCTTTTGGTCTAATTTATTTGGGAAAATTAGAATGCTTTACATCTTTTTTTATAGTTGTCAGATTAAACATTCATCCCTTTTAAATATTTAATTAAGGTACTTTGATCAATTGTCACCTTAATAATTTAAAAAACGAGACGCCTATACCAAACCGTCATTTTTAGGTGCATTTCCTAGTAGGGTGTTAGACAGCAGCGGAAAAGGGAGGCAGGCGTACGTGGCAGGTGTATTTATGATAGCACCTGACGTGGTTGGTGTATGCGAACATGGGCCGGCCTGGCTTTGATGTAATTGGCGGGCCTTGGTCCCCCACATGAGCACAATTTTATGTTAAGCAGTGTTATCCCTTTCATCTGTGCTTCCTGACCAACAAATCCGAATCCTTGAAATTTAATTCAACGGTTAAAAACAGGATGTCCCATTAAAAGTTATAATAACTTTAGCCATTGGATCAAATTTCAAGAACCCAAATTTGTTGGTCATGAAGCTTAGGTGGAAAGGGATCCGGATCATATTTAGGGGTTGTTTTTCTCTGTAGGGTTAAAATTGTTAAATATTTATTATAGATACGGTATTATTTACATTGGGAGTGCGTGAGTTAGTTAAGGCTCACAATGGGTTAACTATAATAATTTAGTTTAAATTTATCTTTTGCAAAAATCAAACTAAAACATCTTACTTACAGATGAAGAAGAATATCACCATACCGTAGCACTAAGTGACAAATAATTAGTTGTTAGGGGAGGGACATCATGATGAACCCACAATGGAGTGCATAAACATGATTGCTTTCAACCATTACAGTAAAAGCATCATCATGTTGTTTTCTATCTTTTACGCGTCTTCACCCAAATGAGTGCATGGTTGAAGTAGCATTATTTTAGGCATACATTGGTTGTGCCAGCGTTTATGCTCCTCGTGTGCACCCAAATTTGAATCCTCCTTTGCGTACTTTAGAAATAGATACAACGTATTATAATAATGAATTTGTATTGGCGTTTTAGCTTTAATTGATGTGCAATGTGTAAATTGCTGAAGGTTGTGATGATTTCAAACCTGTGTAAGGGGTTCTTTGCAATCATGCGAAACTAACGACATGATCGACAACGGAACTGAGCGTTTGGGAGCAAAAAACGAATGTTGATCCATATACCAGCTTACATACAAACTGAGAACCGAAACAAAATCTAAGAAAAAGAAATGTAAGATTCATTACTTCAAAACATTTCACAAGCACAAAACAAATCCCGAATCATATGTTAAAACCTCCCTATGCAACCCTACGACTCAAGGGTAACTGCTGGATAGTCTTGGTAGCCCGTGACCGCTGTTATCCTTATGCGCGTATTGGGCTGGATGCATGACAAACGAGTTAAAACTAGACCATCATAACAGCAATATGCAATTCAGGATTTAGTGATGTGCATTACCAAACTCCCGGGGACATTAGATGAAGTCTATGCAGAAAACTATAAGGAAATATTGCTACCCCTGTTTCCTATCAACAATGATAAATCGAAACAATTGAGTTTGGTTGGGACACCGGCAAATTACATGTGATGATTCTGCAAGATTCAGTACCTTGTACTACAAAGATACATATGTTTCTTCATTTCATGCATAAATTATCCCGGAAAACCTTGTCAGGACAGTACAGCGTTCCCAAAGCCTCAAGCCTCATTGCTGTAAAATGCATGATGCATATAGCTGTATGCACTAACTTAGTTTCTACCAGCCATATTAACCCAAGGAAAAGAAAAAAAAGGAATAACAAGTTAAACAACTGAAACTTATTTTCTTTCCAAGTTTCAATATGTGAAATCAAGTCAACTGGAGTAACTAAACAGATAACACAAAGATAGTCATTGCACTTATGAATAAAATCAACTGTTCTCGTCGGTTCACAAAGAAATGAGGGTAATACCTGTCGGTGACCGATGTTTCTCCTATAATTTTTCTTCTTTTTATACTTGAAGACAACCACTTTGTCATTAAGTCCCTGCACAATGATATACGCAACAATAAGACAGAAAAAATATTAAACAGATACTAACTAAACGCAAACAAATTTACAATTATATCGACATTCTTTACAATGGTGAAAGGGAAAGGTTCATTATGGCATAATGAATTACCTGCTCCTCAACGACAGCGTGTACAGCGGCATTTGTCACCACTGGTTTTCCAATGTACGTACTTGTTTTAGTCCCCACCAGCAACACTTTGTTGAGCACAATCTGCATAGGATCAAAATTAAACACCTTGAGGACAAAGCAAGGGTAACTTCTTAGAGAATAAAAGATCCAATACTGATAACATTCACTGTTTTTATAAATAGAGAGAATAAATGATTTCAAAGCCTTTAAAGGCTAAATTAGAGGCGACCAGACACAGTATTCTCCAATTTTTCATGAAGTCTAGTACAGCAAAAGTACATTTATATAGAGTTAAAAGTACATATGTGCTGAAAGGGAAGTAGGTGAGGAACCGCTTGGCTTGGACAAAAACTAAACTCTTATTCAAGAAGTGATTGATAATTTGAGATCAGAATCCCAAGAATATTATTACGAAAAATTCCTTCATAACCAGCAAAACCAAGAATTTTTTTACAATTTGTCTTGAAACGACTTTTGTATGCATCATATCAACAATTTGTCTTGAAACGACTTATTGCAGCATTTCCAAACCACATTTTGTTCTAACAATGATTTCTAAATTTCATGATGTGCTGTAAGATTAGCAGGGAGTCACCTAATATCACAGGTTAACTCAACTGATGAGTCTAACATTGGAGACCTATCGCTGGAAATGGAATGTTTCTCATCCAACCCAAGAAGTAAAAGCATATGAACTTCAACAAGACCATTCCACTCTGGCGATTCTCGTAACAGTGATGCATAAAAATACAACTAAACTAGGTCTTGCACTAGAACTACAATTAACGGCTTGATGAATCCATACAACTAAAACTAAAGCCGAAATGGAGCATCAACGACAAGAATTTCAAGCAACGGATAGTGAAGAATGCGAAGAATATAATACCTTGTCGTTGACATTAGCGCCTTTCAGCCGCTGAGTATAGATAAATCGTCCAGGAATGACAATGTACTGGCGCCCACCGATCTATTAGACATCATACACAAGCAACCCAGTCGGCAGTCATAAGATTAACAACTTTCGAGCTGATTAGAGAACCGCATCTTCAATTTTTGCTCTTAAATGTAATTACAAATCAAAATATCACCTGGGTAAACTGGTAATCACCACTAAACCACCAAATTAACGACCAAAAACGAAATTTGGCAGCATTCAATCACAAATTCAATCAAAGACGTAAAATTGAATACATACCATAACAACAGCGAACAGCTGCTCGCGTTTTGGGGCCTCCGACGAAGGGGTTTCCACGACTTGCAAGGCCGCCGGCTCCGAATCATCGGGTCCAGCCTCCGGCTCGGGAGCTTGAAACTCGGCCTCGACAACCACGGCGGAATCCGACTCCGACGACTTGGTCAGAAGCGGGAACGTGGGTCGCCGTGAAGAGCAAGAAGACAGCTTGTGGGAAGAAGACAAAGAGAGAGACGGAAAGCTGAAATACGTTGACGGAGTTTGAAGATTTTGCGAGATTTTGCAATGGGTTGCGAACGAAGAGCATAACGAAAGAGTTGCAGTTGCAGAGGCCGCCATTGCTGCCGTCGTTTCTTTTCAGAGCTCACTCACTACTCGCACTCTGCGTCTCCGACTCACCAGCCAGACTTATCCTATCCGTTGGGGAATTCTATTTCGACCCAGAAATTTGCTACTTGTACCCTGCATCTGCAAACCCGAAAACCCAATTTTGCCCTCTCAGCAAATTTATAATAAAAACAAATTTGTTACTATTTCCCACTGCGCTGTAGGAATCCGTTTGAACCACGGAAAGGCATTACATCCCCTTCTTATAAATACTCCCCCTCTCCGCTCATCGTTTATGTTCCTTCTGTAATTCCTTTGAGATTACCTTCACAAAACCAACCAACAAGAAGAAGTAGACTACGACACGAAAAAGATGAAACCAACAAAAAGCGAATCGTTGGCATATCTAAGGGAGGTGAAGGAGGTATTTGCAAAGCAAGACAAGATCGAAAACTACCACCACTTTGTTCAGCTCCTCCAAGACTTCCGGACCCAAAAAACTGACACCGAGGCTCTCACTCGCGCCGTCAAACAACTCTTCCAAGGCCACCCTCATCTACTCTTAGTTTTCAATGCCTTCTTGCCCAAGGAACATCAAATTACCTCTCAACCCCGCCCTCATCCTCCTCTTGCCTTCCGAAAAGCCATTGATTTCGTCAACAAGGTCAAGACCAGACTGCTAGGCGAAGGCCGAGATGATGATATTGATGTTTATGAGTCTTTTATAAACGTTATGGCTAGTTACAGAACGGTCAGCCGGTCATCCAAACGAAAACGAAACGCTAGTTGTGGTACTAGTAGTTATGAATCCAGCGGCGATGACCGTGAGGCTAGTGAAGTAATTTACCACAAGGTTGCGGCTCTTTTCAAAGACCACCCAGATTTACTAGAAGAACTCACTCGCTTTCTGCCCCCTCTTCGTCAAGATTATCACAGTTACCCTGGACTAACAACAGCGGTAAAAGATAAAGGTAACTGCACGCCAAGCTATTGCTTGCTGCCAAAGAATTCCCCTTCAACACATCGTGATTCCAGAAGAAGAGGACTTGAGTCTCAAGTACTCAACGACAGTTGCGTACTATGCGTTACTACTACTACTTCCACTTCTGTGCCCAAATCAGAGTACGAACAAAGCCTTTTTCGCTATGAAGACGACATGTATGAGCTTGACATGTTTTTGCAGACGGTGAAATCAACCCGTAAACGTGCAGAACAGTTACTGGACAAGATCAACAACGAAACAGTTCATCAAATCCGTCTCGAAGATCACTTCGCAGCGATGAATCTGAGGTGCATTGAACGATTATACGATGACATGGGGCTTGAGGTGCTAGATGTGTTAAGGGAAAATGCTGCGGTGGCTTTGCCGGTTATAATAGCCCGGTTGAAGCAAAAGTGGGAAACATGTCCCGATTTTAATCGGTTTTGGGCTCAACAATCTCAAACGTTGTCAGCAAATTAATGGCTACGTATTTTGTAGTAAATATATAGGAACTATCATTTTTCATGAAGTTTGTGTGACAGTTCTGCAGCAGTGTTTCACGCGAAGAACAACAAAAGATCATCGGGAACCAAACATATGCATATCCATAGCACCTTTTGTATTTACTAATGTGTAGTAGGATCTTATATTTCAAAATAATAGTATCCCTCTTAAATGGGGCTTTATTCAATTGGAATTTTGAGAGACTTTGATGGAGTTTAATTGATTTGTAGAGATTTTATATAAAATTTAAGTGAGTACTCTCAAATTCTCATGAGAGAGATGAATTTTGAGAATGCTTAAAATATATTACGAAATATCTTTAATTCTCCAATTTTTTGAAATCCTTTAAAATCAATTTTTATTTAATACAACTAGAATATTATAAACTTCTTTAAAAAACATTTTTAGACTCTTTGAGAATCCCTTAAAACCTAATTAAATACTCTCGAATTTGTAAAAATAATTAAAATCTCTCAAAATCTCAATTAAATGGATCCCAAACTCTGTAAAGGTAACTAATAAATTTAGTATATTCTCAAATCAAAAGAAAAAAAAGAAAGAATACGGAATTAAGAATAATCAATAATAAGAAAACAAGTTCTTTTAATACTAACGATACTTTATACTAAAATAAACAGCTACTTAGGTTTAATGGTATTTATTTTCACTTATAAAGTGAGAAGTCATAAGTTTAATTCTCGCCAACAATGAATTTGAATCATATTATTGTTAACCTATTGTGAGATTTATATATTTAAATAATATCATATATTTAAAAAAAATTTGAAAACAAAATGTAAACCGACTAGTCAACTTCCTTCTTTTTCCCATCAGTATCGGATTAGGACCCATTAAAGAAGATCCCGGTAATCTCTAAGAAAAAAAAAAAAGAAAAATCAACCACTCGCTTGGAAAAAGAAGGTTGAATATGAAATAAAAAGTTGAAAGGGATGGGGAAAGAGACGGCAGGGGGTAAAGTTGTAGCAACTGTTGTAGGGATTTCAGGGTACCTTGAATTCCCTCATCCATCACCCGTGACTATATATTTTATCTTATTTTTTTATTTACGTATGAAACAATTTACAAAGAGCGTGCGCATTACGCACCCACTCAACCAACGTCTGTCAGTAAATCCATCGAGTTGTCAACAGCTTCGTCAGTCTCTTTCTCTCACTTCGTCTGCCGGTAGCCCGTTTCTTTGCCAACCTTGGACAAAACAACTAATTGTAATTAAAACATTAAATTATATAATAATTTATTATTTAAAAGGGATTGCTATTAGCATTTTAAAAATGAAAATGATCATTTTCTTAATGATCATCGCCGGATCATTTTCTTAATGATCATCGCCGGATCATTTTTCTAAAGATATTAGAAATTTCGTAATCATGATCGTTCATTGTACAGCATACGGTCAGTTTTTATTAGGTGCTATTTATATTTAATTTTAAAATAATTTTTTATTACACGATGTACGATTAACGGTCACGATCACAATATTCCTAGAATCATGAGGAAAAGAATTCGGCGGGAATAATTAAGATTATTGAAATGCTAATAACAATTCTTTATTTAAATAGTAAATGTAAAAGAATAAAATAAAAAAAATAGCCACGGAGTAAGAGAGAGAAAAGAGGGGCAGCGAAAGGGTGGTGTCGGCTTCGACCAAACACGACCTTAATCTTATCATCCTTCGATCCCAATTCCCAAATTCTCCCACTCCCACTCCCAAATCAAAACCCTAATTTACTTGTTTCAGGTCAGGAGGAGGATTCGTTTCAGCTGATCAGCTCTGCATCTGTTTCTCTGTGGTAAGGTACAATCTTATTACTGCTCACTAAATCTGTTTCTCTCAATTCTTCAGTTCTTTTTGTACTGGGATTCCAAATCTGTGAGAGATCCAGAGTTTGGGGATCTTAGTTTTGTTTGTGGGAAAATGGTCCAACTCATGATATTAACTGGTTTATTTTTTTTTTCCTTTTTTTTTGTTTTTTTTTTGTTTTTCAAAAGGGAAAAATATAGTGAAATTTTATTAGAGTTGAAGATGGTACTTAGTTGGGGGTTAAATGAAGTTGCGTTTTTGGATCCGAAAAATTGCGAAATCGATGCAAATGCATTTTAGATATTATACACAATCAAAATCTACAAACATAAAAAAGTGCATTTCATGGAATTTGCTCCGTTCTGGCTTTTCTTTCTTCAATTCTGCATTAAAGTGCGTTTCAAATTCTACTTTACTGAAAAAAATTGCCCTTTTTAGGCTAAGAAAGGTTAAGGATCCGAAAAGGTTAGTCATTTAATGCTTTATTGTTCACACAAGGCTAGCTGTTGGAATGGAAAGTGTGTAGATTTTAAGGCTTAATAACTACTAGGCGCTGAAGCTAGTTTTGCATTGATTATGGGTGATCATTAAGGGGATTTACTTAATGGGTTTGTCTTAGTTGGTAGTACTATTAGTTGGACAGCGTCGGGTGGCTTGTTTCTACTTTCTATACAAACAACTTGTTTAACACTTGGGTTTCCGCAGAAAAAAAGCTTCAGGGTTGGGAGAATATTTTCTCAGTTTTGTTATGGCATTCTCAGCTTCCAATCATCCCCAAGGCACTTCCAGGACAGGTTTGATTTTCTCATTTGGTGGAACCTCTTACTAAGTCGAAAGTTGTGTTTTGCTTGCTGTTAGTATGCTATACTTAATTAGAAGGTGAATTATTGATGAACCTTATGATCGTTAATTTTTACCAAAACATGAAGACATTACTGATTACCATTAAGACCATCTATACAAATCCAACTAAAGGTGGTTATCATATATGTTTTCATATTTTCTAGATCATAGGTGTTTTATCGGATGTCCCAAAGGGACAGATCACAGGTGTTTAATATGCAGAAGTTTTGCTTATACCTTGTTACTGATGCATTCGCGTGGAAACAAATCTTATTGAGGCCATGGCTTAGTTAGAATTTAGGGAGTAATCATTTTACAAATGCTTTTACTAAAAATGTTTTCTAAAAATGTTTTACCATAATTGTATTTTACTTTTCTAGAGAAGTTATGAATTCATTGTTGTGCTGGAATGTATTTGAGTTTTTATAGACCTAAGAACTGGCTCACTTTGTAAAAGATCTTTTTAGTTTAAGGATTACCACAGGTCATGACTAAGGGAATTGTTTCTCTTGTAATGTGATAGCCATATCATATGCTACCTAACAGGATACATCCAGGGCATTTATGTAGTTTAAAGTTAGGATGATAAGCTGACAACAAACCGTTGTATCATCTTATAAGCCAAGGAGAAAAGAATTGAAGGAACAACATCTATAGGATGCCTCTGTTACTGTAAATTTGTTTCCTGTTTTTAATACTTGTCTCTGAATTGTATTTTCTTACATCTTGATAATTAATAGATTTCTAATCGCTACAGTGGTTTTGAAGGGGCTAGAAGTATTTTCCTTTGTTTGAGTGGGTTTATTTGATGTCTTCATTTTGTGTCCATAGTACATCTTCCTTCTCCTCATTCGTGTGGCTAAACTTTGTTGATTTTATAGGGACACCTGGTGATGCTTTGTATAAGGAACTATGGCATGCTTGTGCTGGTCCCCTTGTCACCCTTCCATGTGAAGGGGAGCGAGTTTATTACTTTCCACAGGGTCATATGGAACAGGTATGTCCGAGCTTTAAGTTTATCTACAGGTAGCCAGTGGGTTGAATTGGTAACTGCATCTTTTGGAATGATGTTTTACTTAATAATGTCAGAAACCAATTTTAAATTATATAAGCAATCACCGTTTAATACAAATAGCTGTAGTCAATGGACAACCTATACAATGAAGAGATATATAGTGAGCTCTAAAGGGAGAGATGATTCTCCTTTACTACAGGTTTAAGGGTTGTTTTTTTTTTTTTTTTTTTTTTTTTTTTAATATTTATTTTATTTTATTAAAACGTCAAGAGAATTGAAGAGAGAAGACAGTAGCTTTAATTGTTCATGCCAAGATCATTCTCTCAATTTTAGTCTAGATTGCACTATAATGAACTTGGGTTTACTGCTCTAATCGAAAGTGAGGGTTCTATGTTCCAGTCAATTTGGGGTGGGGTATATTCTGGTTGTGACGTCAATTAACGGAGAGGGGACATTGGCACATTTTAAAGGTTTAGGGGGGATCCGAACCAAATGGAAAGTTAAGTGGGAAAACTGGAACAAGACGCATGCTTTTTCCCCTTTGAATTAATATTAAAATATTGAATAGCTAGTCGCTAGTACCCCACCTCTCTTTTTTTCACTTCTCTCTAAATTTGGAGCTGCGGTATAACATATGTTGTGTGGACTCAATCTGGTGTTGGATGTGCTTTGTGATCCTAGTGATGGTACTTACCAAAGTGTTTCCAAGAACTTGGAGTCCCTAATATCCATGTAATGTGGTGTTGCTGTTGTCAATTAGTATGATTGCAAGGTCCAGGTTTTGATTGCCTTTGGTTGGATGCTTTAGATTGTCTTTACATGGGATGTGGGTTGTTATATGGTTTGTAGATATTGTGCGTTTTAGGTAAGGTTTTGATTGGTGGGCCTTGGGTCTTTTAGTATGTGAACTGTACTCCAGTGCCACCTATGTTATATCGGTACTATGAACTTTAGTCCAAAGTTTTATTTTAAAGCTTAGTTCAACCATGCAACTCGCTTTAGATTGTGTATTCTGCTTGGCTTTCATATAATATGTTTTAGTGCATAATTTTAGAATTTTATATTACTTTTGTCTTCCATTTTTGTTTTCTTAATTTTTCAGTTTTACAATTTTTTTCTTGCTCTCATAGATGTCAATTAGTTGATTTTCTTAATCACCTTTTTCTATAAGAATAATACGTTGTTACTTTTGCTGTTTGGGCCGAATATGACAACTGTATGTTCATCGTTATAAAATAAACTGATCTAGAATAGTTTAATTTGCTCTATATGATCTTTGTCTATCTTATTGACTTTACATGTATTTTTCTTTATAATAGCTTGAAGCATCAATGCATCAAGGGTCGGAGCAGCAAATGCCTTCATTCAATCTTCCATCCAAAATTCTATGTAAAGTTGTTAATGTTCAGCTTCGGGTGGGTGACCATTTTTTAAGTTTGTTATAGTATTTTTTTTCTTTTTCTTCTTATCGTGCATCAGTTGGCTCTAGTTTGTAGTTGTGTGATTTTTACTTAACCTGAATGTAGGCTGAACCTGAAACAGATGAGGTTTATGCACAAGTTACCCTCCTACCGGAAGCAGATGTGAGTTGTCTTCCCTTAACCTGTAAAAGAATAATTAACCAATTTTGATGAAGTATTTTTCTTTGTAGTTTCTGTTTGTACCTAGATTTATAATTGATTGCAGCCCTTGGCTTCCCCTTTTGCATTTGTGTTGTTTTCCTTAATTTAATTCTTCTTCATGGATCAGCAAAGTGAGGTAACAAGCCCAGATCCTCCACTCCCAGAAACTCCACGGTGTACAGTACATTCATTCTGCAAGACACTTACTGCTTCTGACACCAGCACACATGGTGGATTCTCCGTCCTTCGTAGGCATGCTGATGATTGTCTGCCACCACTGGTTAGTTAATTTTTTAACGAACTTTTAATATTTTTGAGTTTCTACCTTATTTATACCATATGTTTGCTTGTCTTTTTCTCCTATCCTATGCCTTGGGGTGGCCTGGTAGGGGTTGGCTTGTTTCTCTATGCATTGCCTGAATTTCAAATTTTTCAGGATATGTCCCAGCAACCTCCATGGCAAGAATTGGTTGCAACTGATTTGCATGGAAATGAATGGCATTTTCGGCACATATTTCGAGGTTGGCTATATTTTTTGAATGGTTTACTGCATACTTGTGTTTCTTATTGTAACTGCTTTAGCCAGGAATCTTCCTAAAATTGCATTTTGTCTATGTCACATTCATTATGCATTGAACCACTTTTATGTTTGTAACTTTGTTTTAGTAATTAGTTAATATTTTTTATTTTGAATGGTGAGTGGGTAGCATACGTGTGCTTGCATAAGTTTTGTTATTTTGGTTGGTCTGGTTGGCAATGCTTTGGACTGGCTTCCCCTTTTTCTCTTGTGGCTCGGCGTTCTTTTATCTATTTGCTATACTTCAACATCTTTTTATCTTTTTATTGTACTCATTTCTTCCAAAATAGTGCAATACCATGTAGTTTCTCCTTTTCTTGTCTGTGAAACTCATGACTTCAGATCCAGCATCATGTTGTGGAATATTTGTATCCATATATTAGTCATGCTGGCTGGCATTATATGATTTTGTGTTGTTTTGTTGCCTTAATTTTATGCTGTTATCAGCATGATAGTGAGACCCTACGCTTTTATATTTTTCTACATTTTTCCTCTTCTAAAACAAACCAGGGCAACCAAGGCGCCACTTGCTCACAACTGGATGGAGTGTTTTTGTGAGTTCTAAGAAATTAGTAGCTGGGGATGCATTTATATTCCTAAGGCAAGTCTGTAGTCAATAAAGAGGACTAATTATCTTTTCTTTGTTACCTTAACATTAAGTTGGTGTATTGTTTGCTTATATGTCGTTTTACATGTATGTTCCAGAGGTGAAAATGGAGAGCTGCGTGTTGGAGTAAGGAGACTCATGAGACAACCAAGCAATATGCCGTCTTCTGTTATTTCTAGTCACAGCATGCATCTTGGAGTTTTGGCGACTGCATCTCATGCCATTGCAACTGGGACACTATTTTCTGTATTCTACAAGCCAAGGTCTTGTCTCCTTTGCTTTATATGGAGTCGAATAAGTTCTTATCATATCTTATTTGTTACCAATGCCCTTCTAGTCTTATTATGTGTAATTTCTCAGACTATTTCTTATATTTTGCACTCTGATTTTGTATGAGTGAATAATGGTGTTTAGACTAAAATCCTATTTGATAACCATTTCATTTTTAGTTTTCACTTTTTGTGCTTGAGATATGGGGAAAGTGTATGGAGAAAGGATGGATAAGAAGGATGGATAAGGAGGGAGGGAAAGCAAAAAGAAGAATGAATGAAAACAAAATCTTGAAAGTAAAAACATCTTAAATCAGTTTTTGATTTAGTTTTCATTCTGTATAACCATCCGTATACATTTCTCCCGCATATGTCCCTCCTTCCTTTCTTCCTCCATTCTTCTATATCTGTCATTCTCTCTTGTATATGCCCTCTATCTAACACAAAAAATGAAAACTAAAAACTAAAAAATGAAATAGCTATCAAACTGTCCCTAAATATGTTGAAGAGTTTTGTTATTGGTGCTGGCATAATCATTTCTTTTATAGTATATTTAAAAAAGGTTGGCAGCCTATTTGGTTGGGTTATTTCATCTCTTGATGTTACTCTATTAGAATATACTTACCTTATTGGAGGAATGAGACATCTCTTGATAAGTTAATGGGTAGCTGGGTCATTTGTTTTATTTCTCAAATTTATCCTGATTCCTGACAAAATATTATTTGCTGGGTCCATTTGTGCCAGAACAAGTCGGTCTGAGTTCCTTGTAAGTGTCAACAAGTACATTGAAGCTCGCAGTCAGAAGCTGTCTGTTGGGATGAGGTTTAAGATGAGATTTGAGGGTGAGGAAGTTCCTGAAAGAAGGTATGTTTTCCCTGCTTGGTTTTTCTGAATGGAGTCATTAGCAGTCTGACCTAACCATTTTTTACCACACTACAGGTTCAGTGGTACAATTGTTGGAGTTGGAGATAATACAGCACCTGGATGGGCGAATTCTGAGTGGAGATCACTAAAGGTATTTTTTCCAATGATGTTTCTAAATTGAGTTTTGAGTCAGTCCTACAAGAATATATTGATTGTGGCCATAGACATTTGGAGATAAATCACACTATGGTTTTTTAATTTTTTTGATAACATCACACTATGGTTTTGTGATGGGGAACCACATCTAGAGGCTTTATAATCTAGTTTTTTTTTTTTTTTTTTCAAGACAAATAACTTTTTCTTTAAGGTGTGTCACAAGATTTAAGTCTCGTCAGTTGAAGATGAACTATATAGCAAAGATTTATTTATTTGTCGGGTTGTTTAACTTTTCAGGTCCAATGGGATGAGCCCTCATCAATATTGCGACCAGATCGAGTATCACCATGGGATTTGGAGCCCCTGGTGGCAACTGCTCCCCAAAACTCCCAACCTGCACTGAGGAATAAGCGGGCTCGGCCTCCTGTTTTACCTTCGCCATCCCCAGACCTTACTGCGCTGGGTATGTTTGTTTACATAGTGACGTGTGGTTCCTAATCTGTTTTGACTTTTTTATTCTAAATTCTTGTATGTTCTTTGTTTACTAGGTGAATGGAAATCCAAAGCTGAGTCTCCTTCGGCTTTCTCCTATAGTGACTCACAGCGTGGGCGAGACATTTATCCATCCCCGAAGTATAATTCTGCTTCAAAACCCAATTCTCTGTGCTTTACTGGGAACAATTCTCTTGCTGCCGTTTCTGGGAACACAATGTTTTGGCCTAATCGAGTTGATGGTGTAACCGAGCCTTTTTCACCTGTTATGAACAAAGATTGTGGGGAAAGGAGACAAAGCACTGGGAATGGCTGTAGGCTGTTTGGAATTCAGCTACTTGAAAATTCTAATTTAGAAGAGACTTCTCCTGTGCTTACGGTGTCTGGAAAGTTGGGGGATACTCTACCAGTTTCATCATTTGATGCGGAATCTGACCAACATTCGGAACCATCAAATCTCAATCGATCTGATCTTCCTTCAGGAAGTTGTGATGCTGAGAAGTCATGTCTGAGATCACCACAGGAATCTCAAAGCAGGCAAATCCGGAGCTGCACAAAGGTAGTTCACGTCGTTTTTGTCCCTCAAGCTAATAATATTTTCCACCCTTTTACTGCTTTTGTTGCAGTTTCTGGCTCTGTATGGTCTGAACTTGTAAATATCAATGTCTAAATATGACCACGTATTTCTTTTCTGTAGTGCGTTTATTATTACGTTACTTTTTGAATTGGACATTGCACTGGTTCATGCCACTTTATTCCTTCTTTTAAGAAGTCATTGGGCCTTAGGTGTTGGTGGTGACTATCTGACTGAGCTTTTCTTTCTTTTTTAAATGTCTTAGGTTCACATGCAAGGGATTGCTGTTGGAAGGGCTGTAGATTTGACACGGTTTGAGCGGTACGAGGATCTGCTTAAGAAACTAGAAGAGATGTTCGATATTGAAGGTGAACTCTGTGGATCTACAAAGAAATGGCAGGTTGTCTACACCGATGATGAAGATGACATGATGATGGTTGGGGATGATCCATGGCAGTAAGTTCATTTGACCAATTCTTTAATTCCTCATTTGAGTCTCAAACTTGAAAATTAACTGTTTTAAAGTGCTTCAATTGTATCTTATCGTGAATCTAAGAACTAGTAGCAGTCGGCATTAGGAGACCACTGTTCTTAAAAGATACTTAATGATTAGATGGTGTCGGGACAATATAACTGAGGATTCCTTTTTATTTACATAATTTTTGGGTATCCTTCCCCTTTATGATATTGACCAGAAATAATTAGGATAATGAATCTAAACTTTGTTTGCTCCACGGTTCCTTGTTTGCTCTTGAAAATGAATTTAATTGCTGCAATCTGGTCTATGGATTACAATTTCTTTATCATTTATGTTTTGCCCCTGCGGATTTTTGTCCTGTAAATTCTATGCATCATATTGCAGTGAGTTCTGCAGCATGGTAAGGAAGATTTTTATCTACACATTAGAGGAAGTAAAGAGGTTGTCGCCCAAGATAAAACTTCCGCTGAATGAGGTCAAAGCTGGCCAGCCGGATTCTGAAGCAGCAGTCAACACTGAAGACCGATCATCTATAGTTGGAGCTGCATACTGATCTGCTCCCTGCATAAAGAAAAATTGGAAGAAAAAGAAGATGAAATTGGAAGATGGAACTTGACCGTCGCAAGAGACTCTGAAAAATTGATGCTGAGCCGGCTATGACAAACTAGTCATGCTGGAACACATTGTGTAGTTTCCCTGCATGCTGAAATGGAGCGGGGCAGTAGTCTCTAATGCACATGCAATCCGAAGAATCATTGCTTGCGGCAGAGTTTGGGTGTTGTGGTTATTGTTTGTTCTTTTGTCGATAGCTCATAGTGCTTGCTTGTTTGGGACCCAACTGGGCTACCAGAGTTTTCTACTGTGTACGGCGGGGTACATGCTGTTCATCTTCTTTTTTTTTTTTTTTTTTTTTTTTTTAAATTTATTATTTACTTTTTGAACTTGTTGAGACATGTTGGATTGAGCTTTTGTACATAAATATATAGCCTTTATCTCTTGCTTGCAAGTGAATTGCGCCGAGTATTTCGTATGTAAGAAGCTTTTCGTTTTCGGTGTTTACAGCCTTCTTTGTCTCTCATCAAAAGATGTGGAAATAGAAGGTTTTTATACTAGTTGCATTTTTTTTTTTTTTAATTGTGAACAAACGATATTATCTACCTTAAGAGAGTGGGAAAGTGAGTTAAGCTTCAAAATGAGCTAGCAATTATGTGGCTCAAATTTACCTTGGACGAGAATCGAACTTAAATCTCTTACAAGTGAAGGAGAATACTATTAAACCGTCCGGAGTAATAGTTGCTATACCAATTGCATTTGCCCACAAAAAATGTGCTGTACCAATTGCATTTGAACCAAAATAACATTTTGGTTTATCCAAACCCAACCACAAAAAATGATTGGATTGAGGTCGGGTTAGTTTGGACTAATTTCAGCGAGTCCAATTAGGTTAAAAATTGGATCGAATTTAGGAAGGTTCAGGTTAACCCAACCTAAGTTGCACCCCTCACGCTCATCAAGGAAGTTGTATTTCCACGTGACGTCTAAGATGTATCTATCAACCGGGTCGATGATGTCATGTCGGGTTTTTAAGTTGGAGATCCGATGCTGATTAGCTACTAGACGACAAAATCAGAGCGCCATGAATGAATGATGAGTTTGGTTTGAGTGGAAAGACAACGGTAACAAGGTTTGAAAATTAAAAAGCAAACCGAAAGCGAATCCAATGCAATGCAATTCAAAAGCAAATATCTTATAAACATATCAACTCCTCCTGCTCAAGCTGCTGCTCTCACATCACATCTCTCACCCGTTTCTCCGGAATCCCGACTTCTACCAGCCTTCAACTGCTTCCAGTCCAAAGAGAACATGATCAAAGCTGTTAAGAAGCTCAAGTTTTGGCCAAGAAAGAAGAAGAAAAGGAAGACTCACCACCAACCCTATTGTCCTCATCCGCCACCTCAACGACCGCCGCCACCACCACCCCGCCACTATTACTACTCATTTTCCTCGTCCTCCTCCTCAACTCAGCCCTCGGCTCCACCTTTACCACCATGGCTGGATACCGAGTACACCTACGAGACTCCCTTGGCACCTCCATTCCAGCCTGCTCCAGAATTTTCCTATCATCATCATCATGATCCGGTTCCAAGCCAACAAGAAACTGCTTTCAACGGCGGCAGCAGCAGCACAGAGTATCCCTATCCAATTCCGACCGCATCTTATCAGCAATATACGGATCCAAATCCTGTGTATGGAGTACCAGTTATACAAACACAAACACAAACGCCCAGAGCAACAACGAAGGAGAGATGTTATGCTGCCGCCTCCGCCACTCGTGTCTTGAATTGCGTGGTTGACTGGGGCATCCGTTTGTTTCACTGCATCTGCCCCTGTCTTCGCATTCGTGAAGTGGACATCCAGTAGTGTAATATCTTACTTGAAGGCAGTGTATGTCAATTTCTGGTACACAATAATGATTCTGCTCATACATGTATGTGAACTTAGAATTATACATGTCACAGAAAGCTCCAGCATAAATTTATATCAGATAATGTTTCGGTCTTGGCAACAATTTTTGTAAGTTTTCCTACTGTCGTTACACATCCTCGTACAATAACATAAACAAAATGATGATCATGAGAGACTATGCTATGTTGGAAATAATATGTACATCTTCAGGCCAAAATTTTGTTTGATGCTCGTTCCAGGACTTAATCGCCAATCGCCATCTCATCTCTCGCTTGGAAAATGAAATGCATCCACTTGCAGATCAACCGACAGTATCCTGTATGAACCTTTCGAACCCCACCTTCGACGTCTAAATTCCCTTACTAGCATAAAAAATTACAAGTATAGGGAAGCTGCAAAGACAATGTCCCTCTTGATCTTCAAAACGGCCTCCTCAAATTTTGACTCAAGCTCGGTTTCTCCAATAGACTTGGCTGCTTGAATAAGTTGCTGAAGGACTTCCTCTAATCTCCTAATTGCCCTGATCAAGCTGCCCTCAAAAACAGGCGTAGCTGACATGATCTCGTAGAATTTGGACCCCTTTGCCCAAGCATACACAGCCTCCATAATATCAGGCCGAAAAGAACTCACAAAGCTGTCAACATCAATTTCGACCTGCAGTGTATATAATGCAAAAACATTTCAACGGAAGGAAAAAATCATCTATATAACAATAGTGTAAACAAATCCAAGCACACAGATGTTCGACGAACAGTTTGGCCAATTTAGACCAATGTACCCAGCGGACCAATCAATATATGGACACTGAGCAATGACCATGGATATTTGTATTATTCTTGTCCATAGGCAATAACAATTTCACGTTGTCAATGAATCATAATCTCTTGGTAGGTTAAATGATACTTTACAAAGAAACGAATCTCAGCGTCTCACACAATTTTACTGCAGAATACGCATGCATATAATATAATGTCTTTGGAAATTTTGCACTCATTCTACTTTAAGGAGAAGACGAATTTCTGGTATACTGATGATATACAAGCTTTATCTGATATTCTGATCAAGTTGATCATAGAAAGACGACTGACTATTCTCAGAGGCTATCAGATCATAATCAAAAGTTCATTAAACTCCTATCCGAATGATACTATGATAGGATATTCCAGTTCCCATAGTAGGTACTTATGCTGCAAAATAGCAATTTGGTCAGGGTTCACAGTTCAGGATAACAAAATGGCAGAATGGGACTATGGATATGAACCTTAAGCTCTGGACAAGGTATAAGATGTCACTTTTCTACATGAACATTATTCAAATGCTTCGCAAAAATACTTTAGGGGCTTCTTGTGTCACATATTCTTCAAAAAAATATTGTTCAATCTTTATGGGTCCTGCGTGACTGCATCACCAGACTAGTTTGGTAAAGTAGTTAGCATTAACTTATGACTGCAATCGGGAAGGGCCAACATAAAATAGGTTTGCCACTTTTTTCGGGCCGTTCTTTATGTTACACAAGTGAACATGCACTCAACTTTTCTTTGACTATGACTTCCAAGTTCCAAGTAAGAAACATTTACGTACGAAATAATGTTCTGTTGTCCACAGTTGATGGAAGTTTCAAATAAATATTCAACTGTACCAGAAAGGAAGTTTTTTACCTTGCACTCAAGCTGAACCTCAGCAACCCTCCGAGCTGTATCTTGTAATTGTGAAAATAGCAGGTCAAGCTCTTCCCTTGGTTTTGTAGCTTCCTTAAGCTTCTCCTGCCACACAAAACATGAGAGAAGAGAAACCATCTCTTCCACGTTTATGTCCTTGAAAGCCCCATTGAACATGAGCTCAGTCAGGGTCAACTCTTCTGCACTACTGATTTCACAAGCAACTTTACCCTTCAACTCCACAACACCATCATTTGTAACATATCTGCATTCCAATCATTTCTAAGGCATCAAAGTGATGGAATTCCCAGTTTAAAACTAAAAGATAGAAAAGAACCATATGGTTAAAATAGAAAATGACGGAAGGCCAGAAACAGTGAGATGAAAAATAACGAGAATTCATTACCCTAGCCTCCGAAGGACCCGTTTTCTTGCCTTCAGTTCATCTTTAAAAGCTAATGCAGTGGAAGAGCGCATTGTTTTCTTGATTGACTTGATCTTGGCAGCCAAATCCTGCTTCATATGAAAAACCTTAAGCTTTTGCTCAATAAGTGGAGTTCTAGCAACTTCATGCCTGTCAAACAGGTTCTCTAAAGCCTCGATCCTACGAGACACCTTTTTGTATGAACTACTTTCAATCTGAAGAACAGCAAAGTGCACTTGAAATTAGTGACACAGAATTTTAAAAAGAAAGTAATAAAATAAAAACTAAAAGGTCAAATTGCAGTAGCATACCTTCATATCTTCTTCTGGATCGAGAAGAGGAATCTTTCCTTTATCAAATCTTGACAGAGTTTCAAGAACTCTCTTCAGTGTGTTTTCTCGAGCTGGTAGTGGCAAAAGATCCTTAGGAATGACCACACAAAGTCCACTCATACTATTTATCTGTTCAGAAAACATAAGTTAGCAAAATAAGAAGCTTTTGGGTAAGTGATAAACAATTAATACTTTACATAGCACAGAATGGAAAATGATCCCTTAAAGAATTGCCAAAATGACTTGTACACAAACTTAAACCCTATCATCAGTGAATCACTGCATCAGCAACCTAAGGAACATTGGTTACAGTTCATAATTTTGATGGTTCTCCTGGTAGGGCATTTACCTGAGATATGGAAATGGAGACAACAGCAGGTTCTCCTGCCTCTTTGAGAGGGATAATTTTGATGGTTTTCTTAGCAACTTCATCTGTACTTACCCTGCACCTTGTCAGAACATCCACTGTGTAGTTTGAATCTTCGGGTTTTCTACTTGCATCATCTGGACAACAGAATGGATTGTTTAGCAATTCGAAAACTCAAATCAGAATAAAGACTCTAAGCAATTCAGCATCCTCACCTTCTGAAGCAGTTTTCACCCGTTGAAAATTTAGTATCACTCCCCATGTGACCAGGTCCTCAATTGAAAAAGAAGGGGAACTTTCATCACTTTTAGCACATTGGATTGAGACAAGCCTACCAGGTTTCAGAAATGGTAAGCAGTACTTTGGAGAAAGCACAATATCACGAAGTTCCTGTTTCAAACTCTTGTATTGCTGTAACAGATTGTAATAATTCTTTACACTATCTTCTTCTTCAATTATAATTGAATCCCTCTCTTTCTCAAGATCCTTTGCTTGCTTCTGCAACAATAACATAATTCACAAATCAGAAACACAACAGAAGTGATCGTATATGTAATGTCTTAATAGATTTCTTTAGATTGTGAAGACACTTTCTGAAACACAAATCCCAACCAAGATACGAATAAAAGGCAGTCCAACTGCAATTACAAAATCACTATCCTCTATGGTAGCCAACTAACCTCAAGACTGGGGATGGCACGATCAGCTTGAAATTGATAGAACGAGTTACGAAGCAAATTTTCTGGATTACCATCTTCGCTGCGTAATTGATTCAGAAGCATGTTGTAGCTCAAATGAAAAGCACTGCAAAGCAAGAGAACAAAGGTCAATAGGAGAAAAACCTAACAAAACTAAAAGAGGAAATCTTCTCATTGTTCAAAATATATATTTTTTTAATAGAAGTTCAGAGTAAAAGCATAGGGGATACACCTGTTCAAACAATCAGCACTTCCTTTAAGCATCATTTTAGCAGTAGATGGTTCCAGCTTCTCATCTACCATAAGTATACATATTCCACGCTTATCAATACCACGGCGACCAGCACGGCCACTCATTTGTATATACTCTCCACTGGATAGCCATCTGAACTTATCACCATCAAATTTCCGGACATTGGTAAACACAACAGTTTTTGCAGGCATGTTCAATCCTATGCTGAAGGTCTCTGTGGCAAATAAACACTAAAGAAATACAGTTCAATTTTTATACCACTTTCTTAAAAGAAAATATAAGCATAGATATACATAAAAATGTATGTAATTTGGCTGCAAATGCGAGAAAATGAATGAAAATACAACTTATTGAAAAGGCTTTCTAGGCCAATATGTCTGCAACAGTTTGTCACCAGAAGAAATAGACCAATCTGGAGGTCGCTAAAAGTGGTCATAGTAGTCTAGCCAGAACAAAATCAAGATTTTTGTATGAAAAAAAGGGCCAATTGGCCGGTCAAGATTTGAACACATTGATTGGGATCACATATAAGTCACAACCAAAGCAATAGTAGCCAATCAAATTTAAAGATTAAGCTTACAACAAAAATAGATGAAATAGAATTTAGACCCAACCTTGATTAGGCCTTCCTGAAATAATATCTCAATCACTTCCTTTAGAATTGGAAGCAAGCCAGAATGATGCACACCAATTCCACGCTTCAAAAGGGGTAGCATATGTGAAACCTGTTTAAGCAGTATGCTAAGGAATGAATATCACTACGAAATAAAGCAAAATTCTGAGCAGCAGTGGGCACATATATAAAAAAAATAGAAACATTATTTCAGATAAAATTAAACATCAAGTTATATGAATATCTACTGAGCAAGTAATATTAAGTAACTTCATTGCAACTTTTTTGTTATTCTATTTGACGTTAACCGGAAGAACCCAACCATTAAATGTGTATTAGTTCCACTATGCTTTAACTAAACTGTCAAACCTCCACCTTGCTTACTCAACTTCAAAGTAGTCACGAGATAACACAAATACATGGAGGAAAAGAAAGACACACACACACATACAAAGTCTAACTCGTGAACGCTTAAACATAGAAAAAAGTTACATCTGGTGTAATACTTGAAAGAGTGTAACACTACTTCATGCAAACCAAACACAATGCTTAAACAGACATGCCAGCTCAGAAAGGAAGAAACGAAAGCTTGCCTGAGGTAACTTTTTATCATCATCAGAAAGCATATCCATAGCACTCCAGAAGATGGTTTCTACATTTGCTTTCTCATTGTCCCCATTTAGATCCATTTTTGCCATCTGTGACACCAAAAAGAAAACAAAAAATTGGAACCAAAAAACTGGTGCTGACAAAAAGATAAAGGAACTAAAAAATTACAACAAAAATATTTCTATCAAAACATTCAAATCAACAGTCAGACACAGCCACATTTAATTGAAACATAGTCCACAAGGATTCCCAACCAAGTAGTATCGTTTCTGAATGAATAACTAATACATGTATATTATACTTAATCTTTCATCCAAAAGGTTGACAAGGGTATTGAACAGATACTCAAAACATAGCTCACAATGTCTGAACAACATAGGTAACAGGGTGCAAAAGGTTCACTCTACATTAGACTAACCAATAGTAGTAAGGAAATACATTGGGCGGGAGCTTGGTAGCAGCCAACCTCATTTAAGAAGTATATTTTAAAACAGATAGGTACGTACCTGCATTGCAAGAGATTCGCACTCCCTTTTGCTAAAGCTAAAAAGTATTACAGGATCATACTGACGCTGAATTATCATTTTGACCATCTTGAAGATATCACTTTCCTCAGCAGCCCTGCCCATGATCAAACCCTTTTGCCACTTGCCATTTTCCTTCTTCTTAGCACTATCGGCAGCGGGAGCAAGAGCATTAAGAGCTTTCTGAAAGCTGTCTTCGCGAAATTTCCCTTTTTCATCTACTACCAAGTACAATCCATTCCCTCCAGAGGGAAAAATATAATGCTGCAGAGGAGTTGGCCTATAATCAGTATAGACAATGTGACAAGGCTGACGGTGAGTCTTTGCAAGCCAATCAGCAAATTCCTTAGCATTTGGCACAGTTGCTGAGAGGAACACAAACCGAGCATTCTTTGGAGCCATAACAATGCTCTCTTCCCACACCACACCTCTCTCCCTATCACGCATATAGTGCACCTCATCAAAGATAATCCACGCCACCTCACGCGTTATCTCTGACCCTTTGTACTGCATGCTACGCCAGATTTCTGTGGTCATAACCTGAATGAAATTCAAAAGTATCATCACCAAAAACCCAAAAGGATAAACACCCGAAAATCAAACAAAAAAGAAAAGGCGCGCATTGCATACCAAGCAGGAAGCATTGGGGTCGATAGTTACATCGCCAGTCATCAAGCCAACGTCGGAAAACTCCTCTTTGAACTCCCTATACTTTTGGTTGCTCAGTGCTTTGATTGGTGAAGTGTATATCACTCGCTGCTTGTTTCTTAGAGACATTGCAATCGCATACGATGCCACCACAGTTTTCCCAGCCGACGTATGAGCAGACACCTATCATAGCATACATTGAATTCAAAAAATGCACCAATTCACAAGTCAAAAACTTTCAATTAAAATAAACTCAATGCTAAAAGTTTCAATTGAAAGAAAGAAAAAAAAACCAGCAACAAATTTACATACCATGACGGACTCGGCTTTTTCGAGGCAGTTTATGGCCTCAGACTGAAAAGGGTCGAGAGGGAAGGGGAATTTCTTGGCAGGCTCAGAAGCTTCTGCTGCAGCTGAAGAAGAAGAAGAAGGGGGAGGAACGACATAGCCCTCAGGATACGACACGTCGTGCAAGCAGGCCACCGCTTCGTCGTCGACGCTTGCCCAACCGTTGTCCCTCTTTTGTTGTTTCTGTGGAGCTTCTTCCAACTCGGCCTCTCCCTCCGACTTCCTCTTCAGGGATGCCGCTTCCGTTTCCATGTTGGGAACCAAAACGCTGCGTTCAGAGGCGTCCTGCTGCTAATTCCTGAAGAATCGCTAGGGTTTGCAGCGTTCTGCTTCGTCTCCGGCGGCGGCTGTGAACTTGGAGTCCCTAATAGCCAATGTAATGTGCGTTTTAGGCGAGGTTTTGGTTGGTGGGCCCACACATCCAACGTGACTTGCTCACGTGACTTTCTACTATTCACATGTACAAGTCCCGTCCGCTTCACATTTTACAGAGAAGAAAGAAAGAGGCCACTCGCTGCCGAAACCGATAGACAGAGAAGAAAGTGCAGAGAGGGATGAACGTGGCGAGCAAGGGAGGCGGAGGAGGCATGGCGGCGTCGCGGATCGTAGTCATAACGGGAGTGAGCAAAGGGCTGGGGCGAGCGCTGGCGGTGGAGATGGCGAAGAGGGGCCACACCGTAATCGGCTGCTCCCGTTCCCAAGATAAGCTCAACGCCCTCCAATCCGAGCTCTCCTCCGACAAACACCTCTTCCTCAACGCCGACGTCGTGAGTTTTCATTTTATTCGTTTAATTCTCTTACTTTAAATAATTACGGTTTCAGTATTATTTATCAGTAATTTGCATGATTTGTTTGGTCTTCTGGTGTGCAAATTGTGAATTGGTTTGCTCCGTCTTTCTGCAAAATTATTTTATTTGATATTTAATTTGGAGAAATTTCCATTAGATATTTAACTTGGATTGTTTCATGGTAACAACAATTATCTAAATACTAGACAAGTATCTGGAAAATCACGAAATCAATCACGATTATACTAAGGCATGTTTAATCTCTACTGTTGGATTGGAATGGATAACCAGCGGATAACCCACTACGCTGAAGGTATATTTAAGAAGGGGCAACCCCAAGCCAACAAGCTCCCCACTTTGCGAGGGTCTGGGTTGGGGTGGGGGGGGGGGCGTCTATTGTACGCAACCTTACCCTTACTTTGCAAAGAGACTGTTTCCACGACTAGACCCGTGACCTTTCATTCACAAAGAAGCAACCTTTCTGTTGCACATGGCTCTTTAAGAAGAAATGAAAATTTGTGTCAAACTTGAAGGTAGAAGATGGATTATTTATTAAGGAATCCCAATCCCCCCCGAAATGGAGGATTGAAAGGGACAAATTTCCTTCATGTCTAATCCCCTTCTTATTCCCGCAAATTGAAAATTCATTCTCCTGCACCTTTAATATACCTTGAATTGGACAAGTTATCCATCCCAATCCAATCCTAGAGACCAAACAAGGCCTAAAATCATCCATGACAAGACCACTGCTCAAAGTTCTGAAGCTACAAGCACCTGACAAATAACAGAAAGTATGCCCTCAACAAGAATAAATAAATGAATTAAGAGTAAACGAATGAAAGAATTGATGAAACCTTACTCAACACATGGGAGCAAGGCTAGAAATTGGGGTTGCAAAAAATTCACTATGAGCAACTTATTCCTCAATGCTATTGCTCCGTTTTTAAAGTCTGAGTTTTCTGTTTCTTGATTATTATAATCTATGCGTTAGTTGATACTCTAGATCCTTTGACGAAAATACATGTCCAACACATGTTATCTCTTTATTCGATTGACGAGTACTTCTTTATTTTTCCTTTTGCTTCTTTTGTGATTGCTTTATTCTGACGGACTTTCCTTAAGTTCCATCGCATGTTAGTGATTTTGTAGTCTATGCATTGATTCATTGATATATGCAAATTTGAGAGTAATGTTGTTCCTTATTAGCAGACTAACTTTGTGTTAGTGGACATTAGACACTATCCTGTAAAGTATTAAGCTGAACGTCCATGGTATCTGTGGAGGTTTCTCTTAAGTGCTAAAAAAGTTATACTGTATTTTATTTGTATGCTTATAGGTATTGCGTTGTGGTTGAACTTTGAGGATGTGTAACGGCATTTAGATATGATTGTGCTTAGGGAGAATTCAAGGCATAATAAATAAAATGACTAGTTGGTTTGGAAGTTTATTTCTTTTCGTAGGCCTCTTGCAAGCAAGGCTTTCATCTTGTGATATTAAAAATTTGTGTCAAGTGAGATTATTGGTTGGATTTTAATCTATCATTTGAAGGTTTCACAGTAATTTTTACATGGAAGATTATTTCAATTCCTTTGCGTTTTCTTTTAATCCGGGGAATTTGGTTCTGATTTTTTTCAATGATATTATTGGCAGAGGTCTAATAACAGCATTGCTGATCTGGCGCGAGTTGTTATGGAAAAGAGGGGAATCCCAGATATTGTAGTGAACAATGCAGGCATGATCAACGACAACAAGAAGCTTTGGGAGGTTCCGGTGGAAGAATTCGACAGCGTGATAGATACCAACGTTAAAGGAGTCGCTAACGTGTTGCGCCACTTCATTCCACTGATGCTGTCGCGGAATGAGGGGAAGAACCCATCCGGAATCATAGTAAACATCTCCTCCGGGTGGGGTCGATCGGGTGCAGCGCACGTGGCACCATACTGTGCGTCAAAATGGGCGGTGGAGGGGTTGACCCGATCAGTGGCGAGGGAGGTACCGAGTGAGATGGCGGTTCTTGCGCTCAGCCCGGGTGTGATACACACGGACATGCTTGAGTCGTGTTTTGGGGAGTCTAGTATGAAGAATTATCCGAAACCTGATGCATGGGCCGTCAGGGCTGCTACCATGATTTTGAATCTTACGGCGGCCGACAACGGCGCTTCTCTTAACGTATGACATGACAACTCCGTTACATAGATGAATCTAGACATTCCTGTGGGATGGAATGGAGGAGTAGTTTTAGTATTAGTGCATGAATGAACAAAACTGAGTCTATTTGACTGTTGTTTAAATGATGCAGTATTATTTCAGTTTCGCTCAAATCTCTCTGCTTATGGATTCAATCCACATTTGCTATGATCGATTTGAATCCGAAATCCAAAAAATCTGAAGAGTAAAAAAAAATGGGATAGTAATTATGCTATTTTGAGTCTCTGTTCTATTTGATGTATTTTGAATGATGTATGAATCTATAAAAATTGGTTCATTTGAGTTAAATGTAGGATAGTGTTATCCACACGCTCGTTTTTACCTCTCACACACTTCTTGTTAATTTATGTTTTTTTTATCTTTTTCAATTTATTTGATTTGATGGTCGAAAATTCAGAGAGGTGTGTGAGTAAAAAAAAAAAAGGTAGATAACATCAAATGCATTGTGTACCAAAAACTTCAAAAGTAATCTGATTTCAAAATTTTCCAATATGGGCTTTGTTACGCAGGAAACTTGAAGTTGAAACTAGTTCAAGTTTTGTAGAATGCTCCCATCGAATATCTAGGATCCGACAAATGAATAGCAAACGTGACACATAAATTATGTATTACAATTTTGACTATTTAGTTTGCATGCACAGATGTTCTGATGTCAATTTTGTTCTAACCTATTTTATCTGACACTTGATAAGGGGAAGGGGACCGATGGCAAGGGTAGAGAGATTGAGATAGAGATGTCTTTGTAAAATTGTAGGGGAATTATGTTTAGAATCTGTTATTCTTTTACGCATTGTCTTTATTTATAGAAGTAAAAAGGAGAGAAGAAATCCTTCATTCTCGAGAAAGACAAGTCTATATAGAAAAAAATAGTTATAATTAAATCAAATCTAGAATTTAGTGGGAAAGTTCACAACAAATTTTAATTTTTTTTGGGTTTTTCTTTAATATTGAAAATAAAATTTTGCAACGTGTCATGCAAAAGACCGTTTGCTCCTGAGGTTATCAGAACTTGAGACACAGTGCTTGAGAACTCAAGTGCGCGGGCGGGGGTCAGCCAGCCATGGCAGTCGCTGCAATGAGCTACTGCAGGCCTTCCCCATTTCTGGGCAAATACCCACCTCATTTTCACTTGGTAAGTCACCTTTCTTTCTGTCTCCCAATTTCCTTTTTTTTTTTTCTGTTTTTTTTTTGGGTTTTTGTATGCAATCATCATCTGGTTGGATTATTTTTGGTTTAATGTTCTGAATCAGTGTGAGGTGACAACTTGGGGTTTCTAGTTTACTGATCAAACCTTGTTAAAATTACATTTGAGCTTCTGGGTTTTTGTTATTTTCTGCAGTCTTTCACTTTGTAGTTCAAGTATTGGTTGATGGATTGATTTTGCGATAAGATTATTTGATATTCTTGAATTCTTGGTTTTTTTTTTTCTTTGTTGGAATTGAATTTTAGGGAAAATCGCAACCCCTGAAAGCTGGTCAGGCATCGAGAATTAGTGCACTATTTTGGGGAGCCAGGAAATCTGCAGAGCCACAAGAAATAGAGATAAGTCTTTCACTTGGGGATTTCACTTTGACAGCTCCAGGTTCACAGAAAGAGGTGTTTGTTTGTATTCTCTCTTCATTTCGATTGATTAACTTCAAGTGTGCAAGTAATTTAATCATGTGATATCATTGATGAATCTATGTTTGTTGGTTATATTTGCAGGGAATCTCAGGAGTGAAACCGAAAAAGATATCAGTTTCGGTCATTTCATCAATCTCTGAGGTCTCATCCACTGAGTGGGATGCATGCGCTCTCGATGTTACAGGCCCTGAAAAATTTAATCCATTTCTTACTCATGCTTTTCTTTCAAGCTTGGAAGAGTCTGCATCCGCCGTCAGGGTTAGGAATTGAGCTCTTCCCTTCCGTTTGTATTATAAGCTAATACATAATACCATTGTTTGTTTAGATTTTCTATTGTATAAGCAATTGAGATTTCTGGTTCTTTAGCTGTCATGAAGAGTGTCTATCAGTTTCAATGAGCCTGGACTTCCAATATTTTCCAGGAAACCGGATGGACTCCACGCCATGTCATTGCTAAGGATGAAAGTGAAAGTATTGTAGGTGTTGTTCCACTCTATCTTAAAAGGTTTAGAATCTTCTGAGCTCTTCAGATGCAAGCTCTATTGTCATTTCTCCTAAATTATGTACAAAGGCTTTGACTTCTACTGTTTTTTTTTTTTTTTTTGCTGTGGTCTGACCTTTTTTATTTGGTGTGCAGTCATTCCTATGGTGAATTTGTTTTTGATCATTCTTGGGCTGATGCATATTATAGTTTTGGGGGGAGGTATTATCCAAAATTGCAGTCTTGTGTACCTTTTACTCCAGTAACTGGCCCCAGGATTTTAATTCGTAATACGTCATTCAAAGATCAAGTTTTTGACATCATAGTATCCGCTTTGAAGGAGCTGACTGCCAAGGTATGCAAGTAATCAAATAGTCTTTCTTGTAGCATTTATGACCCTTTTGATCCTCTTGAAATTACTATGCTTGTTACTTAGTCCTAGAGGAGCTGTGTATTTGACCGGGCAATTTTTCATATAAATGCATAACTGAGATGTATAAAAGTCAACATTCATATAAAAGAAATGATTAGATGTATAATTTTAAGAATTTTCTTTTGTTATGCCTTTTGCTTATAATGCCTTCATCTTATGGATATAAGATTGGAGTTAAGTGAGTTTCACGGACAGACTGGAATCTGTAAACTTCTGGTGTCAAAATCAAAATGGCATAAGCATGACTGGTCCTTGAAGCCAAAAGAAGATTCCTTGAGGGAAGAGTTGAATGAACTCTTAGAATGCTATTGCAGTTTTTGTCAGTTGAATGAACTCTTAGAATGCTATTGCAGTTTTTGTCATTTTGTTCATTTATAATTTCCAAAGTAGTTAGTGGAAGGAAGGAACTTGCCTTTTCAGATTAATATTGAGGTATTATTTTAGAGTAATATTAAAGTGTTTTAAAGATAATGAAACTTAATTAGCTATGAGGCTGTTGTTATTTTTCATGTTACTTGTCTTGACCATTGGTTCTCTTTTCTGACCTTTTCTTGTTAAGAAGAATAAGACTTGACCTTTTCTGAATGGCAGTGCCCTTACTACTTATTCTGACTTGTCTGTTTTGACAGTACCGGCTCTCATCACTGCACATTACCTTCCCATCTGAAACGGAGTGGAACAAACTGAGTGAAAGAGGTTTTCTTCAGAGAACTGGAATGCAGTACCATTGGAAAAACCACAACTACAAAAAGTGAGTAATGCATAACCTTTTTCTTATTTACTGGATTAATGTCAAATGTGGAGTATGTTCACATCCGTTGAAGATATAATTTTGATGGCAATTACATTTGTAATGTATATGTGATAGAAAAGTAATATGTATTTCATAGTTTACTGTCAAGAAAACAGTTTAGTATAGATTGAAATGGCAATTCTTATGTATATGCTGTGGTGAATAAATATGTATTTAATGTTCTAAGCCTTTATAAACCGCTGGAATATACCAGCTTTGTACATATATGTGTATCTGTTTGTGCGTGCCTGGGAATGTATGTTTGTGCACTTGTATACAAATTGTTCGTTATATTTGAGGAACTTATTACCCATCATTGAAGGCTAACACAAGCTACCCTCTGAAACATATTTAAGCAGTAAGGAGGTTCATCATTAGTTTCCAAACCATATTAGACTAATACATTTGAAGCATAATTAGACTACTCTCATTTTGTGATTGAAAATTTGAATAGTTGAACTTGAATCTAGAAAATTCCTTTATTTGTGATACAGTTTTGACGAGTTCTTGATGGACATGAAGCAAAGTAAAAGGAAAAATATCCGTCAAGAGCGCAAAAAGGTTGGCCCTTTAAAACATGCTGTCATATATTCCAATTGATATTCAGTTTATCTAGAAATGAGAAACTAAGTCGTAGAAAATTTTATTTTCTGTAAAATGGATTTCCTGTTAGATTGTTTCATGACAAAAATTCTTTAAACAGAACAATGATGTGGTGTTGCTTGGAACCAAGAAAAGGTTCACGAATACAACAGAAATACCAGAAAAATCACAAAATCAACTAAGATAATGCTAAGGAACAAATGAATGTGTGGAAAATGAGAAGTTGTTCTCTATAAGAACAAATGAATGAATATAGGTGAAAGCCATGACTTAAAGAATGGGAGAAACATTGGTCAACTCATGGGAGCAAGACTCCCTAAACCCTAAACCCTAAGTAAATATTGAACCTCTTGTATGTATATGGAAACTCAAACCATGGAACGGTCTACATTTGACGAATTTCCTTAAGGAACATATTCCTTGATGTTTTGTGTATGACCTCTTCATAATGCCTCCTTCAGTGATCAGTATAATCTTTGAGTTTTTTTTTTTTTTTTTTTTTTGACAAATGATAAAATATCTACATTAAACTACGGCGAGGAGATTTGAACATGGGTGCTCGCGTTCAAGGCGAAGCCTCTTAACCAGTTGAGCTACAAGCCATTTGCAGTATAATCTTTGAGTTGGCCGGCAGTGTAATGTTTGGCAAAAAGTACTTATAGAATACCTGATTCTCTTTATTTGATTAATGAATACTTCCATTATCTTCTTCTTGCCTCTTGTGAGATTATTTTCTTATGATTGAGTTTATGTTCCATCATCCTCTCTCTCTCTCTCTCTATTTGCTGGGTTAAGTCAGGTGGTTTATTATTTTTCTTTTTTTGAGACATGAGGTACCGGTTTTCTAATTGAACACTTGATTTGCAGATTGTGCAGCAGAATTTGACTATGAAACGGCTGCGGGGTAATGAAATAAAGGTATTTGACCATGTTTCTTCTAATAATTGATTAGCTATGATTGTTAATGATTTTTTCCACTTATATGTGATTATACACTCCTTTCAGTTGCTTTTTGCGCTGTTTTACATGATGAATCATCATTTGATATGGCTCAATCCATCAGCGATTCATGTTCTATAAGAACTTCATTCATTTTCAAAACAAATGGGGCCTGCTGAAAGATTTCTTTGGTTAAAATATCTAGTGATACTTGTACAAGTATCTGTTATTTGTGGATCTTTACAGACTCCAGTATGTGTAGTGCTTCCAATGCTACGATAAACTTCTCAAGCAATAGAATCTTGCAAGGCTTGCTGTCTTCTGTTAAGAAATTCTAGTTGGTTTATGACACTTTATGCTACAGAACAGTTAGAACATAAGCCTGACCATCCTCTTCTTTAATGATATTCTGTTGGCAGGCTAGGCACTGGGATTCGTTCTATAACTTCTACCGGAACACCACTGATAACAAGTTGGTTCCTCATAGATCTCTTTCTTAGCCATTTCCTGATGTTTCTGAGTTTGAGATATATGCCATAAATTATATTTTCATACTATAAATTATTGTGAAAACTTTTGAACAGAGAAGCTTGAGTCATTTCTTTTTGTTGTGAAGTTGCGTAAAATTTCACTCATATCCACAGGTGGGGTACTCCATACCTGACCAGGGAGTTTTTTCACCAAATGGGCGAAAAGATGGGAGACCAGGTACTACTTGTTGTTGCTGAAGAAGGGGATGAGCTAGTTGCTGGAGCTCTGAATTTTATAGGAGGAGATACGTTATTTGGACGCCTATGGGGAAGTCATCCAAGAGCTTACTATCCAAGTTTGCATTTTGAAGCATGCTATTACCAGGTCTAGTTATATTTATTTTTATTTTTCATTCCTTCTGTCATTTTATTAGCAAATATTTAGACTTTCAACTCTTTATATTTAGCAGACAAATGTTTTAATTGACATATCTATAATATTTGTAAACGTGGAAGCAATTTGAAATGCTGTCATATGCCCTATATGATTAAGTAATTAGGGGCCATATTTTCTGCCCAGTGTCTCTGTACTTCCTTGAATTCCTTGATGGGAAACCGCATCTAAATTTAGATTTGTTCTGTTTTTATTGATTGCACCAAAGAGTAGATGAGCATAAAACTATAAATCAGCACTGTTAAAGGAAATATATACAGCAAATATTCATTTCTTATGGTTTTATGACATCGCAGGCAATAGAAGCTGCAATCGAACTTAATCTAAACACAGTAGAGGCAGGAGCTCAGGGCGAACATAAGATTCAGAGAGGTTATCTGCCTGTGACAACATATAGCTGTCATTACCTGATGGACGAAGGTTTCAGGAAGGCCATAGAGAACTTTGTAGGGCGTGAATCAACTCAGGTGATTGCATTTATAATTTCTGTATTTATGTGGCAATGGCATCCTGAACTAATTCTTTTTTTCTGAGGAGTCATTTGTTACTTTGTTACGCCGACTTATTTGTTCTTTGTAATCGTTCTAGTAATTTACCCCGTTGTGTCTTTTTAATTCTATTTTTCACCTCATTTCATTTCATAATAAGTACGTACTTGTTACATGCAGGTTGAGCTCGTCATGAAACTAGTACATGATTCTGGTCCTTTCAAGGAAGGTATACAATAATTTATTGGCAGAATGCCCTTCTAGACTACGAGTAGAAGCAGATTGATTTTTTGTAAATTGTGGATGTCATATTTTTTCCTTTTTGTAAATTAAACCTGTGAAGTTTTACTTGAAAAGTATGTACATAATTACAATTACATAGTAAACTTTATAGCAGAAAATTTCATGTATAATTTGTGAAAATAGCGTGTTCGTGGATCCTTCAAACAAATCAACGGATGAAATGAAACGCTCGGAAACGTTCGATATGGCCTCTCGTTGGCCGTTTCTAAACCATTAACCGATTGTTGATGATCCGTGTGTGTACCCTTCAAATATTGTGGCAATGCATGATGTGTGAATCTGAGTTGAACTATGCCACAGAAATTTCTTTAGCTCAAAGGACAAGGCCTGATCCATGAATGTTGAAGCAGGAGGGCAGTAGTGGCCAAAGAGGAAGGGTATCAGTCTCCTAATCTAAATACATCTTCACGTCCCATTGCAACCACCATCATTATCTCCACCACCCCCACCACCCCACCATTTCCAGTATCACCGCTGTCGCCATCATCTCCCACCACCACCACTTCCATCGACTCCGCCACCCTCACCCCTACCACCTCGCAATCACCATGGCCACTCACCGCTATCATCAGCATCTCCATTGTCACTCCAACCACCATTGTCACAACGACTGCCACTATTATTGCTGCCACACCATCCCCTCCCCCCCCCCCCCCCCCTCCTCTTTCCCTCCTCCCCCACCACCACCACCACCACCACCATTGTCACTACTAACACCTTCACCACTGTCGCTGCCACCCAACTCCTCCAAGCTAGTCAGGGGACGAGTTAGAACCTAGTGTGGGTCTAAGTGAAATTCAAGTAAATTTATTGCATGTCCAATAAATAAGTGCCATTTACATTAAAAAAAAAATAAAAACATATATGTGCACCTCCTCACCAACCCCAACTATTTACCTGGGTTGAAACACCATGGAAATAATGAAGAAATAATGATTCACTAGATACATGACTATACAAATTTAGAAGAGAGAAGTAATATCTTGAGGGATGGAGGAAGATTGTTACTCTTCTCTGATGAACGTGAAAAGAAATCAGGGGGGAGGATTGGATTCTTGATAACATTTGTTTTGTATACCGCTCACCATCAAATCCATCAAAATCTCCCACCTATTAAAATCCTAACACATCTTTGGTATTTTTACCACACCTAGACATGTGCGGACTTTTTAAAAATTGTAATTGACTACCCTGGATTTTGATGTATTATTTAAAATCCTAAATCCTAAATCCTAATTTGACTACACTATGATATTAAAATCTTATTAATTAACTAGTATTCCTCTTCATTTGTAAGTGAGAGGTCTTAGGTTAAATTCTCGCCAAAGGCGAATTTGAACAATATTATTATTAGCCCATTATGAAGCTAAGTCATTCCTCCTTTCTTTTAGTGTAGATAATATCGTTTTTTAAAAAGAAAAATCTTATTAATTAACTATATCTGTACCTTAAAGTCTATTCAAATCCAATAAAATCCTAATTTAAATGCACCTATTAATTTTTAAAAGAATAGTGTTATTCACGCTTCCTTTTTATTTCCCACACAACCTTGTTAGATTTTATCAATTAATATTCTTCAATTCACTCGATACGGCGGTAAAAATTTTAGAGGAATGTGTGAGAGATAAAAATAAATGGGCTTTTTAACCGAAATGGTTCATGGATTTGCATTACTCATTACTTTGGTCTCTAAGATTTAAAATCGATCGAATTGGTCCCTGAGTTTGTCTACAATCAATCATTTTGGTCCTTCGTGAAAAATTTTCATAAAATAAGGACAAAATGACAAAAATACCCTCAACTTTTGTCAACTCATTTTGGCCTATTATTTATTACATTGAGGGTAATTTTGTCATTTGAATCTTTATTTAACATAATTTTTCACCTAATGACCAAAATGATTGATGATGAACAATCTCAAGAACTACTTCTATTGATTTCATATCTTATAGAATAAAGTGAAGAGTTAAGCAAATCTCAATAACCATTTTGGCTAAAAAGTTAAATAAATGTGCAGATAACACCACCTTTTTAAGGAAAGAGATCCTCCTCGGATGTTTTCCACCAAGGCCACCGGATCAAGTGATTCGGGCTTTTGAAATTTCATCCAACAGCCCATTTGTTTTGATCATTTAAAAGTTATAATAATTTTTTACCGTTGGATGAAATTTTAAAAACCCAGATCACATGATCCTTTGGCCTTGGTGGAAGAAATCGCAGTCCAAATCTTTAAATGCTAAAAAAAAAAAAAGTTGTCTAAACCCTAAAACCCCCGTTGAGTGAAGAGAAAAACTTCATCTTTCAGCTTTAGCTTCCCTGAAGCTCTCCTCTCTCTCGCCAATGGCGGTAAGTAATTTATTTTCCATCTGTTTTTCTGGGTCATTTTTTTGTAACTTCTAGCTAATTAGGGCGCATACTCTAAAATTTTCTAGTTTCTCTTTAAAATTACGATCTCGACGAGTATTTGTTCGTGCTTTAAATTTCTTCTGTTGGGGGTTTCGGTGCAAGATTTTAACAAGGGGGTTGCGTTTTCCTTTTCTGCAACGAAAAGGTCAAAATCTTCCTTCCCTGATTTAATTTTGGTCAATATTTGGAGATCTGTTAGGATACTGGATTCTGGATTTTTCTAAACTTTTCGAATGCAACAATATATTTGGGCTAAAAGCTTAGTAGTTGATGAATAACTTCTGAGCTTTCAATGGTTGATTTGATGGTAGATGTAAATTCAGCTGTTGAATAGATTAGATGGAGTTCTCTGAATTGTAATACTTTTGTTTTTGTGCAAAATGCAGACAATACCAGTTAACCCCAAACCTTTCTTGAACAATCTGACTGGAAAGACTGTCATTGTGAAACTTAAATGGGGAATGGAGTACAAAGGTATATTTTTATTTACGTTTCCGGGAGAAAAAAAAGTTGACTCCTGTGCTTCAAAAATTTATTAACATGCCATTGGTGCATTTCTGATCCTCTTTGATCGTGCATCTTTTCAGGCTTCCTTGTCTCAACAGATGCCTATATGAACTTGCAGGTACTACTTTCAAATTTGAACTCTTTTTCTATACAAATTGTGAACAATTATCTTAGCTTCCTTTTTACCTTATTTTTTTTTCGCGAAGAAAAATTCTGGTATAATGTTTAATGTATGAAATCTTATATGCATAGCTGGCCAACACCGAAGAATATATTGATGGACAATCCACTGGAAATCTGGGAGAGATTTTGATCAGGTGAGTTCTCAGGAATTCTTTGAACCACTTAACTGTAATTTTCCTTTAGAATTCTATTGTTGGAATGTGCCTTATATTTTTCTTTTCATTTACTTTTGCTAGTTTTTTTCTGACACATTTATAAGTTTTTGATTTTCTCGGAAAAGATATATCCCAACTAATGTCTAGGATCTACATATGGCGTCAGGAGCAAAGTTTTGGGTAAATGTTGTTCTGTGTACTAAAGAGTCTACTGAGATAACTGTGAGCACCCTGGAATTAGGAAGTTGTGACCATATGATGATAGGATATAATGCTATGGAAAAATTTAGGTCGCGTTTGGCTTTGTTTTTTGCAGAAGTGGTTTTACTCATTTTGACTTTGGCTTTTTTAAAGTTTCACTGAAGGCCTAAGTGATTCTGTTGTATTTCAAATAAAAATCACTTCCAAGGAGAAGCACCTATCATTATTAGTTTTAAACTTTTTCTACACTCTCTAGAAGTGACTTTGGCCCGCCATAATCACTCATAAATGAGCCCCTAACGGGTTCACTCTGACAAAGTTGAGGACCAGCGATTACCGTTTGTAGTTAACCATGGCCCTGAAAAGGTGCAAAAGCCTGGACCCCGTCATTTATTTTTCTAAGGTGATAATATAGATATATAACCAGCGCAACTTGGGCTAAAAGCCTAGAATTTACGAATTTTCAATGCTACTAGAATGTGTTTACTTCTTGGCGCATATGTTGTATAGCTGCAAATGAACTGAATATATAGTATAAATTGGGAACAGCTCCTCGATGGATGCATGCTTTATATGCTATCTTCTCTATGTCATATTGGAGATTTCTGATTTTTAATTCTTCCTTTTTACTGGGTGGAACTTTTGTGAGTTTGGCAACGAGCCGCCACACATCAATACACAACAGATTATTCAAGTTCACAGTTTTTCTCTAGTCAATACAATCTGTTTCCTTTCATAAGTTTTTTTTATGTTTTGTTGCATAGAAAAATGTTCCAAGCATCACATACCAATGATACCATGTAAACAAACGATGCATTCATTAAGGTAAAATACGAAGCTAACACTTCACCTGCTCTCTTCTGCAGGTGTAACAACGTTCTGTATCTTCGTGGGGTGCCAGAGGATGAAGAAATTGAAGACGCTGAACGGGACTGAGACGAGCAGTAAGGTTTGGTTATGAAAACAGATATTTAAGTAATCAAGATTTTATCTCTGCTATTGTTGTTTAGGTGCATTGTATGGAGTGGTAATGCCGGATGTTTGATTTTTGACATATGGTTCGTAAAAGTTGAATGAACCATTCGTTTCATGTAACAAGGCTCGTATCGTTGGAAGTTGGAAATGAAAAACCTTTTTAGTGATTTACTGCACCCAACTGGCGCATTTGGTCGTGTTGATGTTCAGACTAGCATTAAAATGGCATAATCCACTCTCTTCTTTCTTTGGATTGGAGATGAAGATTCATCCATTAGCAAGAGTGCATCATGGCAGGACAACTACCATTCCAATTAGGGACGGAAATTTAACCGTTAAACCCGTTCCGCGGTAGCTGCCCAGAATGGGACAGCTCCCGTAAAGTGGAAATGGTTATCTCCACCAAACAACGTTTCCCATGCTTGTGGACCAAACATTGTGAAAAAATCGCATGCTTGCTTGCTGCTCAAGATATATTCCGAAAAACAAATGTCACCCTATCGCCTTTGTTTTGAAAACTGTTAGTCGTTGATGCACGTGGAATCCAAAACACTTGGAAAGAAATATCATCGATCATTCCAACTTCCTATCGAAAATCAAACTTTACTTCCCTGATATTAGGTTATTGATTGAACCAAATTTTCTAGCCAACAAGAATCTTTGCGTTTTGCAAGCGTCCCCAGCAACATCTTACGGAGGCCGAACATTTTTATTCAGTGCCATCCAAGTGCGCTTTCAGAAGGCAACATCGTATTACAATCCGTAAGGAGTTGATATTACACAATAGTTATCAAGCTTCTTGCTTGTCTGTGAGGACTATCTGAATACGTACCTCCAGGTTTGCTTGGTAACGTTGGCGAAAGATGACCTGGTCTGAACTCTGAAACGACGCGCAGATTTTTGAGATTGCAAAATGCCGGTGATACTTGGACGTTGTTTGAAGGAGTTTTCGTAACTAGTAAAGAATTACCTGCATTTCCCAGCTTCAGAAACTCAGAGATCTTACATCCTAATGGCAAACTTGTGTATCACAGTAATCCATAAATGAAAATACGATTGACTCTTAAAGGTTAAAACTTGATCAAACAAGGATTTGTATACATAAAATAGAAACAGTAATTGCCTAATACAGCATTGCATTAAAAAACAAGAATTTATGAAAGTTTCAGATTGCTTACGCGGATTGTTACTTTTATTCGTGAGGATTCAACTGCGGAAAAAGTTCCAATATGTGCTCCGGCATGAAATCGTGCCTTGTCAAGATCCCAACAATTGGAGGCCTCTGCAAAATGTAAATGATTTAGAACAATGTTACGACATTATAGGGGAAGCTATGAGTAAGTTGGCATTTCACCTTCTTTTCGCATTAGAAGCAGAAATGGTATGTCAGAAGAATACATATCAGAGAGACAGAGAGAGAGATGGAGATTTACCCCTGGTGTCTTAGGCACCACCAGCAAGTGCCTGAGGCCAGGCGCCCGAAAGAAAATAGCAGCTTTAGCAAGGGACATTGTTTCAACTACGGTGTATGGGGAGGTATTAGTAATGGGATGGAGGTCAAGATACAGTTCCATCTCTTCCTCCTGAATGTCCAAATCCTCCAGCTTGATTCCCTTGCCTAATCCTGCCTTTCCAAAATCATGTGCTCTGAACCTACTCGTAACATCTGACCCAATCAACACCCTTTGCTTTGTAAAATTCTTTCGTTTAAGCAATACAAGCAAATGCGATCTCAAAACCAGCCCACACAAGTCTGCAGAATTTGAGAAAGGTGGTTCATCAATCACGGGGAACCCATTATGCGCTGTTGTTTTGAGCTCGTGTAATATATTCCCCACTTTCTCAACCCTGGAAAATGAAATTAAGGGCCAAGAAACAACATCACTTGCAACCAAGTTTCTCATGTATGGTTCTGCATGCGCCTCCATGTACGGTAATCCCTTCATTCTTATAATTTGGTCATAGACACCCTTGTTGAAACAATCCGCCACAGATTTCGAAATAAGCAGAACTAGCATCATCAGTGGAAGCATTAGAAGATTATTTGTAAGCTCAAGAAGTATGACACAGAGAGAAACAGTCATTCTCATGGTGCCACCAAGGAAGGATGCCGCTCCAAGGAGTGCAAAGAAACCCCCATCAAGATCAGAGTGAGAACCAAGGAGGGTCCCGACTACACGCCCATAGGATGACCCAGCAAGTATAACAGGGATGAAGAGCCCAGAGGGAACAGCAATACCATAAGTAACAATGCCCAGGCAGTACACGGTAACAAAGAAAACAATGAGAGTGGAAAGCCGGAACTCCCCATCAGAGCTAGAGCTTAAAAGGTTGCGGATAGCATTATCATTGGTATTGAAGAAGAGTGAAGCAAGGCCATTGTAGTGGTTAGGTGGACACTGAAAATTCTTGTAGTTTCCAGAGCGACCTATGGTGGGGCACTTGTCCTCCAGGTGATGGGGACAAGGAATGCAGTGTGAAAGCCATGGGAGGCCGTAAGAGCAACAAGAAGTCAAAAAGGAAATGGCAACGGCGAGCAGAATTTTACTTGAAGGACCACTCCTGCATATCATTTGCAGTAATCAGAAACAGTAGAAACTACATTTTCATCATTTTAGGTGCATGTAAAGTTCCATCCTATAAAAATATTTGAACAAGTTTGAAAGCTAACATATGTAGCACTAAGGAGAAGACAAAATGCAAACCTTTGGGTTATACAAGACGAAATTGCTTTGCGCGTAACTTTCTATGTCAGTGAGTTGCTATAGTGTTGTATAGTAAGAAATTTGACGATCTTATAAATTGAGTTTTTAGAGCCTACTTGTTTATGATGCGATAAGTTTGAAGGACTTTGTCCACAAGGAAATTGTAAAGGCTTCCAAATATGCCTCCGATAACTCCAAGGGATATGATTGCCAGCAGATCGCCGCTGCTATAACTGACCTTTGCTGAATTGACATCAAACATTATAAGACCTCCTTCCCCGAATAGCCCACATTTTCCACCCTTGCATAACTGTATGAAGCCTCTTAACAGTACCGCTACTACAGCTGTTGTGAAAAATGCCCTCCACAGAAGAGCACTCCTCCACCTAAAAGTTTTTCATATAAGAAACAAAATTTACTCCTCAACAGAAGGATGAAGAAAACATCAAGTTTTCTACTGAATATATGTATATGAATATTTTATCTATACACACACACACACACACACACACATATATGTACATATGAGAGAGAGAGAGAGAGAGAGAGAGAGAGAGAGAGTTAACCATGAAGCTGCTTCTTCTAGTGCAAAAAGGACCCCACCAACTGGGGCACGGAAGGCAGCTGCAACACCAGCAGCAGCACCGCAGGTAATCAGATCCCTTCGGTCACGGTCATTTTTGTAGAACCTGAGACATTTCCAGGTAAGGTGATACTTGCGAGAGCCACCCTGTCCGAGCAAAGAGGCTATGCAAGCGCCAGAGTGAACCATAGGTCCTTCCTTACCCAAAATAAATCCAGCAGCTACTCCAAATATAGAACCAAAAATCTGCCAAGTTGAGACTAAGTACTTATTACAAAATATAATACCTAAACCATTAGTAAAATTTTACTTTTATTGCATCACATAAAAACAATAACGGATTTAGAAGTAGCTCTCCTTCTGGGTTTCGGTTCACTTCACCAAGAACTTCATATTTGTCCTAGTGATAAAAGAAAGTAGAACATCGCTCTGAGTAGGTAGAACATCTCTCTCATCTTCTAACATTACAAATCCTATATCCACAAGAACATTCTACACATGAGTAACGCTAAAGATGGAATCCATTTTGCAAAACCAAATCCCAGATTTTGGTACCAAATAACGTAGTAGTGTCTCATTCACCACATCATTTGATGAGCAAAACTTGGGAAACATTTTGGTAACTAGTTATATCGTTTACATTCTATGAAATGCACTCACACAAACCTTTATCTATCTATTGGATGTAAAAACTGCATCGTAGTGTGAGTGAGAGATTAAAAGAAAGAGCGAAAGAGAGCTGCTTTCAGTCTGCCACTCACCTTTACAAAGAGGGTACTTGGAGCCAATATAGAATGAGCATCGACTCCATTTAGATATGCTTTAACCTCAGGTATGCCAGAGCCTGCTGCTGCCGGGGCAATGTAAGCACAAAGAGCTGCAGCACCAGCAGCCAAGGTCATGTTACAACAAACGAATGCTGCAAATGCCTGATAATACCTGCACTGGAGTTCACATAAAAACGTAGTTACTCAGATATATAAAACATGTATGGAATATCACACACATCAATAAGGCAAGTAATCAGCAAAAGAAACATAAAAATAAACGTAAAGGATGCATTTCAGCAGTAACAAATTATGTGAACATTGTCAGGGTCAGATTAACCACAATTAGGGTATCCCAAAAAAAACCCTATAGATAGGCGCACCTGGAACGATATAAAGACTCTTTTGCAACGAAAAGCAAAAAAAAGGAGGGGGATGGGAGTGTGTGAACTCAAATAGTAATCGGGTGAGTAGAAGCCAGGCTTACTTGTCCTGAAGCATGAGGTTGTTGGTAAGCAGAAGTTTGAAACCAGCTATATTCTCGACAGCTAGGTTATTGAAGAAGCCGACTAACCCAGTGCTTAAACCAATAAGCAGCACAAGTGCCCATTTGAGGCAAACGTACTGAAATATCTCACCCTTCGTTCTAGACCTCCAGTCCTGCTTAAAAAGATCATTCTCAATAATCCTACAAGAGTGCGAAGATAAATAAGTGAGGCTCCTCGAGAATATACGATAATTTCAACAATTATGTTTTCAACAAGCCTTTAAAATCCACAAATAAGCTCCAACGCAATTTAGTATGGCGTACGTCTATAAAGTTTTAAATGTGAACGAACTAGCACCGTGGCTGACAGGAAACTGTTCTTTGATGAGATGCAAAACGGTTCTTATGGTTGGCACGATGTTTTAATTAATTTAACAAAAACTTCCAGGTGAAATTGAGAACTTCATGCAATTGTTCTTACTTTCACAGTTTCTAGTTTACATACACACTCCAACATACACTGATGTGCTACATTTTCACATCCCTTTCTTTGAAGGTGATCAGCATCGGCATCGTATATTATTTCTTTCATTAATTGGTCATATTTTCAAAACCAACACCAACACCAACATGGCTCAAAACGAGAATTTTCTGTCTTCTGCCAAGTGCCAACCAACAAAACATGATGAATGAATGTCACCAAAATAAACAAATAAATATATTATGTACAAGTGAAAACGGCAATATATCCCAAAACAGAAGATAACATTGAAAAAAACACAATCCAACTCTATTTGGTTTGTGTTTCGAAACCCGAAACAACGCACAAAAAACATGTAAGATTCAAAGTTTGCTTCTTTCCCCTTCTGGAGATTATTTCCTGTCCATTTTCTCCCCTCCTTAACTAATAAAAAATTCTTATTTCCAGAAAACAGAAAGAGAAAGAGAAAGTAAAAAGATTAAAAGAACTCACTCGTAGTCAAGGCTTTCAATGGGAGAGAGATTGGCACCAACAATGGCAAGCTGAGAGGTCGTGTTTCTCCTCCTATTCCTCTCAAGCAGTGGCTCCCTCAACCCCCCTCGTTCTATTTCTATACTCTTTTCCTCCTCCAATTCCATCCTCTCTCTCTCTCTTGATGTTATGTGCAGTTCATCAGCTCTCTCTCTCTCTCTCTCTCTTCGAACAAGAAATCTCTCTGAGAAATGAAAATACTAGATTTTCTCGAAAATTTGATTAGATTTTGTCACGTAAACATAAGAAATTGTTAACGTAAACAGACATCCAACATTGATGAAGATAAGGACAAGGTTTTATGAGGTAACCACGGGACAGCAATGCTATTCCGTCTTTGTCATGGAGTTGCCAACCCTATCTTCTCTCTATATTTTTTTCATCCGTTTCATTATGGACTGCATGAATCCATTGGCCCACGGAACCGGTGTTTCGTATTAGAATAGTCAAAACATATGAATTTGACAGTCATTGCCGGGATATTACTTGTTATTCTACCGGTGAATTTGTTCGACATATATGAATGACTAAACACTCATTAAATTGAGTAAATTTTTTTTAAATGATGTTAAAAATAATGAACGACAATGATTATCATGTTTGTCAAATAAAATGATGTCAAGTCGTTGTTATAAAGAGAAATGGCTCAAGCCGTTGCCTAATTAAACGATTGTCCTTTATATTAATTTTACTGCATCTAGTGCAATTCAATTTTTCTATCATTCATATCACAATGAAGGTTGATATGAAATGATGTCAAATCAAAAGTGATATGTAACGCTATTTTTTTCACCCAAAATTTTGTCACACGCAAGTATTTTATTTTATTTTTTTTAACAAACGATATTATTTACATTAATGAGTGGGGGAGTGGGCTAAGCCTCACAATGGGCTAATACTAATATGATTCAAATTCTACACATTACTTGAAATGCACGGCCACCTCGAATATGAGTACCCCCAATTTATTTGCTTCTCCCTTTATTCTCTTCTTTTTCCTTTGCTTCGGAAAAGGGTATTCTTTGTCCCCAGAATCAAAGTTTCCCTATACTTACATATTTGAAGTTCGCAATCAATTAAAACAACATTCATTTCCGTCCCAACCTAAAACGCTAACCGCGGCAATCTTTGTTGGTGGATTGTTCATTTTGGTGTGACCAAGCTATGGCAGAAGAAGAAGTCAACAGCTCTTTAGAGTATGAGCCGACATGGGTGGTTGCATTTGTTTGCTTTGTCATTGTTCTGCTCTCTCTTTGTGCCGAGCGTGCTCTTCATAAACTCGGAAAGGTATCCAAACATTGTTCCCTCCTCTCTTATCATATTTGCAATCATTATAACACTTGAAATCTTTCTGTTTTTTCTCCCTCCCATGCTGGAAAATGCTTTCCACTCCCCATTCCCCCCGGCGTGCCACCTCATCTGAACTGTTCACAACAAATCTAACATCACCAACAGTTCCTGAAACTATATTAGCAAATACAATCATTAACAAATCTGATAACTGAATTAGCCTAGATCCTTTAGTATTGGGATCAGTTTGATCACAAGGTTCATGATGATGATGATGATTCAGAAGTAGTGCTAACATCACCTACGTAAAAAGCTCAACATTGCTAGAATTCTACAAGTATTGACAGCTTGAACCAGGACCCTGGGTAAGGAACATAGGTAATGGGTCAAAAGAAGTAATAGAACGATGATAAATTAGATTTAACTTAAGTGATCCCTAGCAGTAGCGGTGGATGGAGTTTGTCTTTCATTGTTCCCTCATCGGTACTTGGAGAAAAATAACCTTTTGTCATCGGTTCCACAATAATAAGTAATAACAGTAGGCTAGTTCTTCATCGTCTTCAGTCATCACCATACTGCTTCTTATTCAATCTATAGAATTCTTAGCAGCTGGTGAATATGGAAATATGTGAATAAGCAGGAATGTATTGACAGGTGATAAATGCAATGCATATACGGAGGGCGGGAACTTATTTAATCGATAAATATTTGTCACAAAAGATGCACGTAGCATTGATAAGCTGCGAGACATGTCCAAAATCTTGAAAAGTGATGTTTTTCCTACTTTCAAATTATTGACAGACAGAGTCACAGAGTACTCTTAGCTCTGTTTTTGGAAAGTTGAACTTATCTATAGGACAATTCTTCAAGGGGTTATTTGGGCACATCAAAAAAATTTCAACTAGTTTGCTGTTTGCTGTTTGTTTTAATGTTTTTATTTATTTATTTATTTTTGTCTGGAAATTCAGTACTTAAAGCATGAGAAACAAGATGCGCTGTTTGAAGCCCTACAGAAACTAAAAGAAGGTCTCTCTCTCTCTCTCTCTCTCTCTCCCTCCCAACATATCATTTCATTCTTGTATCTTGACCAATTAGATGGATGGATCATAAATTAAGAATGCCTATATACTTTACTAACACTAATCATTGTGTTTCCTATCGTTGAAACAGAGTTGATGCTTTTAGGGTTCATTTCCCTTCTACTAACTGTATCTCAGCGTTCCATAATCCGCATATGCATCCCTTCTAATCTAGCAAATCACATGCTTCCATGCAAGAGGGAAACTTCTGAGGGAAACAATAATGCACATTACTCTCTTGATCAATCTATAAACAATCGGCGGCGGCTTTTGTCTGCAGATACAAATTCAGACCATTGTCTGCAAAAGGTACTGTATTGTTAGTGCCTTATACATTTTACCACCACTTTTAATGCTTGTAATATGAGTTCGGTGTATGCGCGCGCGCATTCCGCTTTGTTGACAGAGAAAGTTACAGGACAATGCATGCTTTTTTCTTTTTCCTTAGGGGAAGGTTCCGTTGTTATCATTGGAAGCACTACATCATCTACACATCTTCATCTTTGTATTGGCAGTTGTGCATGTGATCTTTTGTGTCACAACTATGGTTCTTGGAGGGGCAAGGGTAATGCTTCTTTCAGAATCTTTTTACTATTTGGATGATTATCTAAATGTGCTTGATACAACATGGTGTCCTATTCCAGCTCTTTATGGTTTGGGACCTTTCAGTTTGTATAGTGCTGCAATGGATATGGTTTGTATCTCTGCGTTGTAACACATACGGTTTACCATATGTAGGTACGTCAATGGAAGCACTGGGAGGATTCTGTTAGGCAGGATACTAGAAAATCTGGTAAGGGTAATTATGAAATTGGATTTCCAAGTATATTTTAGCCAATCCAAGTGCTTGTATCCGCTTTGTATGATTGAATATACGCTACCCTATGCAGATCCAACTAGTCATGAAAATGTGCATGCTCAACGCCAACAGCAAGAATTCTTCAGTAAACGAGGAGTAGGATATTGGCGAAGAGCAGCTATCATAGGTTGGGTGGTGAGTTTGCTATAGTTTTGTTGTTGGAGATTATGGACTCTTTATGCATGGTTCTCAACATTCCTTGTTGCCTTATATTATTTCCTATATAATATGAAGGATTAAGATACCTGATAACACTCAATTTAATGTACTTTCCTAGATATCATTCTTCAAACAATTTTATGGTTCTGTCACCAAGTCGGACTACATTGCATTGCGACAAGGGTTTATCAAGGTTAATATCTCCTTCTTGTTTCCATGTGGTTCACATATCAAGGTTAAAGTTTCTCCCGTGGGCATGTCATTACGAAAAATGTATGGGACTGACTTGGTTTCGTTTCAGGAGCACTTCCCTAAGAATCCTCGATTTGATTTTCACAAATACATGATGCGGACACTTGAAATTGATTTTAGAAAAATTGTTGGGATAAGGTAATGCCTGGCTGTTGAGGTTTTGTTGTTGTTCTTGTTAAGCAGCTCAGCTGCGTATATAGATGAAGATCCTTTCGTGGCCGGAGCTGTGTATTAAGATTAGGTGGAATTTGATTGTCGACTAATATAGTAATACATATTCACTCAACCGTATGTATGTGTGTATGTATGTAGCTGGTACCTATGGCTCTTCGTTGTGCTATTTTTGTTGCTGAACGTGGAAGGTAAGCTCTTGTAATAAAATCTCAATTTGAGCTGAATTAAATATCTGAGTGAAGTACTTGACAATCTATATCTTCGAATGTGCAGGATGGCATACCTATTTTTGGTTAGCGTTTTTGCCGCTGATTGTGAGTATTGCCTTAAGGTCCCTTAATTTTAAGTGGAACTGGAAATCAATAATTTCCTATTAATCTTGTTGAGTGACTTGGAGGAGATGATCGCATGTAAAATGATTAATGTTTGATATGGGATGACAGCTTCTGCTTCTTGTGGGCGCTAAGCTGGAGCACATAATTATCCGTTTGGCTCAGGAGGTTACGCAAGGGACGACAACACAGGGTGATCATGAAGCAGCCGCAAGAGTGAAGCCTTCAGACAAACACTTTTGGTTTAACAACCCTCGCATTGTTCTGAATTTGATCCACTTCATATTGTTCCAGAATTCATTTGAGATTGCATTCTTCTTCTGGATCTGGGTATGTGTGCACTATGCAATGCATATATCTTACAATTCTTCCAGATTTGGATCTGCGTATGACTGACAGTCAAGATTCACTTGTTTGCAGACCACGTATGGATTTCATTCATGCATCATGGAGAAGTTGGGGTACATCGTGCCGAGACTTATTATGGGGTAATGGAATTCTGTAAGGAAACAATTCGACATAATATAGCAACTTGTGTACTTAATTACTCTCATCTCATGGTTCCATCACCGTATGCAGTGTGATTGTTCAAGTGCTTTGCAGTTACAGCACACTACCCTTGTATGCAATTGTCAGCCAGGTAAGCTCTCTCTCCGTCTCTCTCTCACTGCTTGTTTTGTTTTTCCTTGTCTTTTTCATTTCATTTGTACAGTAAATAATATCTTCCGTTTGGATGATTCAGATGGGTAGCATGTACAAGGAAGGAATGTTTGATCAAAATGTACAACAATCTATTGGTTCGTGGTTGGAAGATGCAAAAGACAAGCAAAACAAAACAGACAACGACGAATCTCTATCACAGAGAACACAAATGCACAACATGATGAATACAAAGTTATCTCAAATTGATATTGTACAACAAGAAACAGCTGCTAACGAAACAACTACAACTTTGCCAGTTTCATCCTCTCAACTTTGTTCATGATTTTTTTTTTAATTGCCTCTTTTGTTCATTTAATTTGCATGTAACCATATACTTAACTATGTGTACAAACAACATATTTCATTGTCGAAATTTACTTCTACGTACAAATTCAAACCAAAAAAATGTAAATTAGTATTTCTAGCATTAAACTGATCAAAGAGAAAACTAAAAGCATATTCCTTCAACCTTACAACGGCAATCTCACTATGCTAAAACAACCATCAATTTCTTGAATAATGTCCATAGTGCATACCGAGAGAATTGAACTATAGAACCTGGGACATTTGATTAATTTCATCTGTGAAAACAAATCTTTCTTTGATTAATAAATATACCAATGATAAGTCAATAGTCAAAATCCTCATATCATAATTTTTCATTGATAATAAGCCAAAAGATAGATACTCAAACGTATAATGAGCAGAAAAGTGAGTAAAAAATATCCAAACCTCAAGAATAGAATTGTATTACACCAAAGATGCATGCTTAATTAAAAGTCCTGCCAAAGGAAAGTCAAAAACTAAAAGTTGAAATTTAACAAAAGATTTAGTGCTCAAAGAAGTAACGAATACAATTAACCTATTTTATAAGAGTGCATTTTTGCTCACCACCATTTAGTGTGGTGTATGCTCGTCACCATATTTATCATTATTAGATGAGTTTGAATTTTGAGATTTGTGCTTATCAACTATACGAATCTCGAAATTCAAATTCATCTAACGGTGTAAATAAGGTGGTGAGCATACACCACACTAAATGGTGGTGAGTAAAAATGCTCCCATTTTATAATGAATCCAATTCATAAATATTTGGAGGGTAGGTTCTTCCCAACGGATCAGGATCCTCTCCTGATCTAAGGATGAGGATCCTCCTGACCAAGGAGTGTGAGCCGTTGGATGAAAATTTAACGGCTATAAACAGGGGGTCATTTTAAAGTTAAAATAATTATAACCGTTGGATTTTCATCCAACGGCCCACACTCCTTGATCATGAGGATCCTCACCCTTAGATCAGAAGAGGATCCTGATCCCTTCCCAACAACACATCCAAAATATATTCTTTAATAGATTTAATTCATTCCATACATAATCGTGCTAGAATTATTGTGTTGTCCTCTTTGTGTTTTTCTTCTCCGAATAAATATGGAACCAAACCTATATATGAACTGTCAATCCAATTCAATACACAAAAACCAAATTAAAAATCAAGAAGTACAAACCAAGCATTATCAAAATGGGTAAAACTTGGACATTGCTCATATGCAGAGCAAAGTACAATTTGCCCTACCAACTTGTCGAACACAAAAATACACAGATTTGAACTTTTACCTCGACGAAAGTGAAAAATCTGAACAATCTGCAGCAGAATGAATAGGGCCAGCGACGGAGAAAACCCAGTTGAGAGAGAAAGACTACATAAATACCGCTAAGAAAACCATAATATTTTCAGATAGTCCATTAGCTAGAAAAATCATAACACTCATGGCAGACAAACCCAGAAAAATACATATTAATGAGTTATACCAGAATTACTAAAACTTGACAGTAAAAGATTTTATTTACATGGACAGTTTGTATCCGGAAACTATATAACTTTAAGTATGTTTTAGAAGGTCAATTTTTGTTCTTATCCATAATGTAGTACAATGTTTGAAATCTCGATGTGAAATTTTATCTGGGCATGTAATCACAAATTTTATAGCCAAACAGCATATATAAAAACAAAAAAGTGCAGAAATTTTGAATGACACCACATCTAATTCAATTATAATAGCCTTGCATCTCAAATGATTCAGGTATGGCTTGCCACCTCTAATTCGATTGTAATAGCCCAGCATCTCAAATGATTCGTGTATGGCTCACCACGTCTACCCAAAGTGTTCATACATTTATATACTTGTAATGTAATTCCAAGCCAAAAAAAAAAAGTAATAAAATAGCAGCAGATAGAGAATATAATGTCCAGATCTCTCAATGGTCTGCATAGCTGGTAGAGCCTTCAGCGACAAAGTGTTTAGATTTCTGCGTACAATCCAATAATATCAATCAATTTTTCTTCTGTATTTAAAGTAATTTCATCCCAAAAAGCAACATAGCGAACCTGCATCCATACCGTCGTACTCGTAAGAATATATAACTTCTGTAGCTAATTAGTAATACGGCTACCATTTAAGGAACAAAAATGAAATTTTTTTCTCACGTAAGGGACCATACCAGCACCCGAATAAATCGAGGGTTTTTACAAATCCAAAACTATAAAAAATGAGAAATAAATTAAAAGTTGAGATCGATGAACACCGTACCTTGAAAACGGTAAACATGCAGAACTCTTCGAGACCGATCCCAATTCGCTGGCCGTAGACTAACGACACAGAAGAACATAACCTTCCATCCTAGTTTTATAAGTTTCTCAGTAAACAAAAAAGGCAAAAAGATTGAAAGAATCGTCATATGTCAGGTATCTTTCCTTTGAGATACAAATAATTGACATTAGCAAAAGAAAAATGGACTTGCAAAAATATAAACCTTCTTGAGCTGGGGTGACATTCTTGATTTTCTCTTGATGACTTGCACGTCCAAAAATCAGGGGTCCGGAAAACCTTCAAAATGATAAATAAAAAAAATTATGTCCTCCATATCATATCATATAACGTAGTAACAAAAGAAGCAATGCAAAACAGTCTCTAAGAACCAAGTTAGCATCCATAGGCACACCTCAACAGTCTCAAGAATTTTGTTCCAAGTATAGTGTACCTCAAGTCTAGTTGAGAAGACCAATGAACTTAACGAAACTGTAATGAGCCAGTAAGTTTACCTCAAGTCTAGTTGCAGCATTGGATATTTTGATTTAAAATTTGATATTATGAAGACACTGTCCTAAAAATATTAAAACCAAAGTTACATTTAGGTCTGTTAAGATAAATAACCGGAGCAATTATATTTTCCATGAAAAACTGTACTGAATTTAAGTCAGAAGCATGTACTTTTCTTCCTTCGTCGATTTTTACTTCGACTTTACTCTCGCAACTGTTTCCAGTACCGCCTAATCCACACAGAGATAGGTAAACAATGAAATTAGAAAGAATTACAACATATCGCATTTGAGACCGAATCAAGTATGCATCAAAACATTAGATCGCACTATATGTGCGCTAGCAACCCATGAATTACGATAAGAAATGGTTCAACGTAAAGGTTTCAAATTCCTTAAATAAAACTGAATCAAATCTTAAGAAATGGTTCAATGCCAAATAAAATTTGCTTAGTATTCAACTGCTGGCCAGCGACGCTGTAATTGAAACTTCCAGGATCAGTATAAGCCAAATTACCCTCCTAACGTTTCATAATTACCCTCCCAACCCAACTCCATGTGGTTGGCATTGTTGTAAATAAGATGAAATTGAATGACAAAGTTTTGACTGTAGCTAAGCTACAGTCAAATCATTCCTCAATTTTAGAATAGACGAGAAAATATGCCCGCGCGTTGCTGCGAGAACCTGTTGTTTCAGGTGTAATCGGATGAATAAAACACATTTAAGTTGAATAAATCCAACACAATTATCAACAAATAGGTTTTTTTTTTATGTACATTCAAGTGAGCTGGCATATAAACACATTGTACAATGAGTGGGAAGAAACTGAACGTCTCTGATTAGAAAGAGATGGTTTCCAAAAAAGTTATGTTTCCTTAAGAAACAGAAGAAACATTAGTTCACACAAAATTTCAGTTACCAAATCCAAAAAAGAAACAAAAAAACAAAAATGTGACTCTCTATATGGCTTTCTTACTACTCAAAAATATCCCTTAGTTAAAGCATGCCACACATCATCACATTGCTATTATATGAAGTATATTCCTCAGTGGCAAGTAATATACTCTCCTTAGCATGACCTCTCAATCCCCTATATCTCCCTAGAATCGTACAACCCATAAATACAGTGCCCCTTTAAAATCCAAGCATACATTAAAAATTCAACAATACAGTTACAAAATCTCTATAAATGAACATACCTCAAAAAGCCAACGGCCCAAGTGACACATTGCATGCACTCACATACACTGCGTGCACATACGCTCACACACACTGAAGAATGAACGCATTACATTCAGTTAGCACCATTCAACTTTAAAAGCAGTGAGACCTTCCAAAGGCACATCCTAACTGGCCTCGGTTCACATAACCAAATTGAGAACAGTTGAATTTTAGAAAAGTTGTAACCACAACTGAAAAACAAAATCAAAATGAACAGAATAAAATATCAGCAGAGCTTGAACACTAACATCCTTTGAAAACATGTGTTGGTTACATATAATATATATGCGCATAAATTAAGAAAATGACTTGAGTGCCCTAGCAGTAGTCTGCACGTTGAACCAAATCACTATTAGGTTAATTGTATTGATTCACGCATCTTTTATGTGCTAAATCTCTACTAAATTGCCCTACGAAGATGACATAAAACTAATTAAATTCCCAATATATCTGAGATATACAACTTTTAAAAGTGTGACAATATATGCAGCACCAGGATGTTGCAGAACTCACTGCCCCAATTTAAGATTCGGGTTTTATCCAATGTATCTATAAGCTTTAGATACATCTGAGAATTTTCTTTTCACAGTTGTTACTCTCATCATCTTTTGAGAGAGATAGATACAAAGGTTAAGATTACAATGGGGAAGAGTTACGAATCCCTCTAAAATACTAAAGAAAAACATACCTACAACGGAGTAAACAACTGTTTGTCTCCATAGCAGTTTCTCAGAGCATTTATGCTGTCAGAAAGATAGTGCTCCACTCCAGAAGGATGGACAAATTTACCAGATGGAAACTGACCCAAAGAAAACATAATTAAAAGTTAGCATCTGACGAACAATTAAGGTGATGCAAAAGGGCAACACGTGATGTGAAATTATTATACCAAAATATCCAAGGTCTGTTAATCTAATCACCCAATAAAACAGAATAGAAATTAAGCACAACAATATTAAAATTAAAAGGAAGGAATAATATGAAACCTTGTGCATAGAACGTTCGTGAGAATGAATCACAACAATCAGGGATGGACAAATCACAAAAGTGACAATTAAAGGGCACCTAACGGACACTCCCATCTCTCTCTCTGCAATCGCAGAAATCCCTCAGGTTTCAGGAAGCAAATGGAAAACGAAATGCCTCTTTACCTTCACAGAAAATCCTCTCATCTCTCTCTCACACTTGTCCCATCTCTCTGTCTGCAAATTGCAGAAAAGAAACCCTAAACAAATCCCTGAAATCTCTCGCCTAAATCCTCTCACATTTCTTTCCGACACCCCCTATCTCTTTCTCTCTTTGCAAAACCTAAACCAGATCTCCTAAATCCTATCTCAGACACCCGACATACAGCTAATAAGCCAAGATATTAAAGCAATCTCTACATAATACTTTGGAACAAATTAAGCAGAGAAATCAGTTTATAATCCCTATATACTGGAAAGAAGGAATCTTTGAAAGGGAGGCTTCCGGGTGGCATACAGAGATTTTTATTATAAGAAAAATGTAACCCTAATCCCATGTTAAGCAGAGAAATCACTTCATAATCCCTAAATGCTGGAAAGAAGGAATTTTTGAAAAGGAAGCTCACCACTGCAATCATAAGGCGTGACCAAAGACGGCTTCGAAGGCTGCAAAAAAAGGCCCAAAGAACAAAAAACCAGGGTCTCCCGAAACTGAAAACAGAACTAAATTAAACCACCACATGTAGAATCGCAGGCTACAAACTGGCATGGTTATGGTTCATCTGCTGCTACAATGACTTGGTTCATTTACTGCCACAATCGCAGTACCAGTTTCTATTGGTAGAATTATAGTAACAGTATATAGAAACAAAGAAATTATCTTTGCATCTTGCATATCAACAATCATAAAATGCATTAACCAATAAACTAAAAAATAAAAAACAAAAACAAAAAAACGTATGCTTTCCATTCAACAGAAAAAGTCTGCATAAAGATAAATTGGAATGATAAACATACAAAACTTCATTTTTCACTTCACAGAATTTGTTTGAAATCACTAATTACCATTAGAACAACTTCATAATGAAAAAAGATTACACTAAAATTTTAGAAATTGTTGCTTACCTATCTTCAGAAGCATCTTTTATGATTTCTAAACATTTTTCCAAAAAAAGTGGAAAGATGAATACAAACCTCCTCGGATGGACATGCTAATAGGATCATCCAGTTGACCATCAAATACTTCCAAAGATAATGACAGAAGTGGTGTCTCCATTACATGCTTCTCCGAGAGCCCCCTGTGAGAAAAAAGAAAAATAAAAATCAAAACTTGCCTTTGTCAAATAGGAAAACCCTTACAAACCACACAATCAGAAAAATTAAATACTTTTTTTCTAAAATTAGGACAGGAAAATAGAATGAGAGTGGAAAATCCTAAAAAATAAGAAAGAAAAAAAAAGCCAAAATTATAGATCTAGAGAAAAAATTACCCAAAGTTTCACTCAACACAAACATAAGGGCCAATGTGAAGGTGAGCATAGAGCCCTGCCTTCTGCATGGTCTTGAGAAACCTCACCAGATTATACCTCCCTTTAAAATTGTACTAAAGCCCAGCATAAACCCAGAAGGTGAAATTAACTACAAAACCAAATATACAAAAGTATTCGTTTCAGATCTAAATTCATACCCCTTTATACTGGCTCCAAGGTGGTTTTTGTCGTAGCTATGTCCAAGACAATGCACCCAAGACTCCATACATCTGCAGCAAGGTTTGCACCAACTGAGTTCTGTATAACCTGGGCAAGGAACCAAAATGAAGACTTAAGTAAAAGTAAAACCATCAAGAAGCATGCCACGAAGCAGAAAAATACAGTAAAAAAAAAAAAAAAAAAAAAAACTCACCCTCACAAACTTATCCTGTGAAGCTCCATTTGATTGCTCTAATCTTCATTAAGAAGATTGGTACCTGTCCAGATACATTACAAACTTCATTTAATTAAAGAAAACAAAAGCCAAAAATGTAGAAATTCAACACAATTAACGTAAAGAGAAGCATATGAAATCATTAAAATAACATACTAATACTACAATGTAATCAAACAATGATTATTCGACATTAAAACTAAGCCAGAAACAAAAACCTTTGTGCATAAAGCACACATGTTGTCTTAACTGTACAAACACTATTAACAACCTAAACGATAATTAACTGACAATTTAGTTCCATCAATATGATAGACATACCAAACTGTCAACAGACTAACAAAAGTAAACATAAACCCTCCCTAGAAATAGCCCAATGGTAGGATTATGTAGTCCAACTATGCTGAACTAAATAAGAAAAAATTGAAGTGATCAAAGCTAATCTAGAGCTTTCTCCTTTCCCAAACACAGAAAGAATCAGAATGTGCGTCGTCAATTTCAAGAAATTCACAGAAAGAGAGAAAGAAAGGGATAGAGTAGCACAAACCTCAGATCGAATGGCCTCGATCCTCTGGATTCCCTCATTATCGTAGCAGAAATCGACAAAAGCATATATACAATGACATTTTATCAGCCACTGGTTGGACCACATTTATGCCATAAATGGAGAAACAATTTGGTATAAGAATCTGATAAGAATCTCATTCCACAAAACTTCTTCAGTTCGGGCCTAAACAACTGCAAGCAAAAAAATCTCCAAGATGCATACTTTCATCCAGATCATCCACCGCCAATAACAAAACCACACCCTATATCTTCATTTAGCTAATAAGATTAAAAGAGTGAACTTATCACCCAAATAAAATAGGTAGATTAACGAATATAAGTTAAAAAGTGGAGGAAAGCAACAAAACCAATCAAACAACGAATTGTCAATAGAATAAAACAACAAATATAGATATCTGAGTCAAAGTTTTTATTTTTTATTTTTTAATTTTTTAATTTTTTAATTTTTTTAATTTTTGTCAAATGAAGACTTAAATGTTACTCAACATTGTTTCTAATTGCAGCTTCCTCTCTACCTGTAAAAGCATGGTTGTCTTAGCCAAACATACATTTTGATCATGCAAAATCAAGATGGAGACGTTATCTTCTGACAACAGAAATGGAAGTTCAAAATATTATTGAATCATCAAATGTTGAAATTACCAATCAAATACAGATAAACCACCACCAACAACCAAAACAGTTTTTTTTTTAATGAAATTATACACCTTTCACCCAAGCAGCAACCAGTTCTTTTGCACTGAGCGTTTGTAAAATACATGAGTACGGATATATTATAGAGAGCAACAATCACTAAATTTCTAAAATCACCGGCATTCACAACATTAAGTATGTAGGGAAACTATTTCATTTCATTTTAATTTTAGGTGACACAACTGATGCAAGAAAGGGTCGCGCAAGTAGCATGGCATCAAGAATAAAGGAAGATATTTAGGATGGAACAATTAAAAGTTTCTACAAATCATTAAATTTATGCTTACATAAAATATACATGCATACTTAATTTTTCAGACAATTATACTTCACAACATAAATTGCAAGTTGGGCCTATTTGGTTGACTCAAAAGAAATTGATGGGTTAGAAAAAGCACCAAAAAAAAAAAATATATATATATATATAAAGACGAATGTTCTTATGTTGTTCTCCTCTTACATCGACAAAACACACACCTGTGGTTTAATGCTCCAATATTCAATGAGAAGGCACCAGGCAAGAAGAAGCTCAAGGCTGGAAAGAAGCTTCCAAAAAGAACAATCTATAAAGCAGACCACAAAAATTAGACAAAACCCAAAAACTAAACAGTAAAAAAAACCCCTAAAATGAAAAGAAAAAAAAAAACTGAATTTGCAGAAATGTCATAGCTTGTACCCTATCTTATCCAAGTTGTCGTACATCCTCGAGCCTTTGCGTTCATATATGCTTCCTCAATTTTAGTGTAAACCCCCAAAATAAACTGCAAATATTATAGAAATGGTAAAATGAACTGCAAACCCATCAATCATTTCCCAAAATAAACTGCAAATCACAAAATTACCTACTCCAAATCGGCTGGAGAACTCACCAGGAAACCAAGGCTTTTATGGGCTTAAAACTTCCTTCGAAGTGGGACTAAATTCAAGGTTTTTCAGCAAGAGGTCGTTGTGCTTCGTAGTTTCTGAGAGAGAATCGAAGAGATTTCTAACGGCTTGGTGGTTTTTAAGCTCGTTGGTGATTTCTGAGAGAGAAGGCGAGGAGAGAAAATGGAGATGGAAGCAGAGTCGAGGCTATGTCGTAGCTGAATCGCTGGCTTCCACGATCATCAAGCATGACCGCACACGCACAACACCCTACCTAGAGAAGGGAGACAGCGGCGGCTGGAGGATAGGATGGAGGCGAGACCGTGGTTCTCGCAGGGTCTGCGAGACGGAAGAAGGCAATGAGGGTTTGAGAAGGAAATGGAAAAGGCCAGCTTGACCATCGTTCTTCCCTTCCCACGATCATCAACACGTGTGCATCAAGATTAGCGTCAGAGAGAGCCTGGCAGAGCACGTTCCCAAATATCTCTCTCACTCAGTCCAAACCCATAGCTCCCATCTCTCTCCAATATGTCAGGCTCTGTGTCTCCCTCCTCTGTAGTCGCTCTATCCCCCCTCTCTCCGCTCGCCAGAGGCACACCCAGCTGTCTCCGAGTCAAAAATGGGAGCGATTGTCTCTCTCCAATTTGTCAGGCGTGATGTCCCTCTCCCCTCTCCGTCACCGAGTCAAACGTCAAATGCAGCCAACGGCTGAAAATAGGTTTTTAAGCCTGAGTGGCAATTTTGTAAATTAAGTGAAAGGTGGTTAAAAGCATCCGAGTGGCAATCTTGTAAATAAACTGAAATGTGGTTCAAAACACTGTTCATTTGTACAGTGCAATTGAAAAGCCTTCTTTAGACTAAAGTAATAATGTAATTCGATTTTTCTATCATCCATGTCACGATAAAGGTTGATATGCAATGATGTCAAATCAAAAATGATTTGTAACGTAATTTTTTCTACCCAAAATTTTGTCACATGCAAATATTTTTTTTAACAAATGATATTATATATACTAAGAGGTGGGGAAATGAGTTCAGTTTCACAATAAACTAACAATAATATGATTCAAATTCACATTTGAAAAAATCGAACCTAAATTCACCTTTGTCACACACAATTTTCTTTAAGAAATATTTATCGGGGCCTACTAAATTAGCGCACTACGACTAACTTGATGTTTTCACAACTAATTAAAAGGCTTTATGTCTTGACAGATAAGATTGAAGAGGCGAGACACGCTTTTTTTTCTTTCTTGGTGCTGTTTTTCATGGGCACGTCATGAAAACATGAGTATCCTACGACCGTGTCGTGTCCAAGTTTCCACCTTCCTGGTGCTGTTTTTCTTTCTTTTAACTGTAAACAGAAGCACTCCACTTTATATGCAAATAACAACAAACAAACAAACAAAGCACTCGGATTCAGACAGAGTCAGCCCACAAAGTACAATCTCTCTCTCTCTCTCTCTCTCTCTCTCTCTCTCTCTCTCAACACGCTCACCACAAACCGACGTACCCACAAACATTCTCTCTCTCTCTTCTCCCAATCAAAACGCATCACCGACCCCACTTTGTATATTCTTTGATTTGTAAGGTTCTTGTCTCCAAACTCCCTCGCATCTTCCTTCTAAACCACTCTGTATGTTCCTCTCATCACCAAATCGAATCTCTCTGCTTTATTTACTTCTTCCCCAGAATTTTCCGAGCAAGTTTATAACTTTTGGATGATATCTTCATCATCCATCATTCATCGATTGAGTTAGAGGTACCCAAATGACTCTGATTTATGTTAAATTCATTTGAGTTTCTAATTATGATTTGAGGCACTATTTGTTCACAGTTTGAGTAATAATGGTGCAAGTATTTGTTAGAATTAAGTAATTAATCAGTGCTGATTCTCCAGAATTGAAGTGTTTGTGTGTTCATATATAAATGGTAGTGTGAATTTAGACTTGGAATTTGGATTTGAATTTGATTTTCTGGAATCTGGAAAGCCATGGCAAGAGGCAGAGAAGACTATGAGAAGCACCCGGGTTTGCTCAAACTCTTGCAGATTCTCTCATTCTTGGTAGTTTTCGTTGTGGGGGTCGTTATAGGATTAGCAACGAGCGCCCATATTAACCGGCATTTTGGTTCACAAACTGAGATTTATTCGTTTATCAATCACTTCTCCGCCAATAAGCCGCACAAGGAGAAGAATTGTACTGCTGTGCAAGTTAGTGACAAGGTTGATTGTAGAAGCATGGAGACGTTTCTTCAGCCGAAGAATTTGACGCACGGTCTGTCTGATGATGAGCTCTTTTGGAGAGCTTCAATGGTGCCGCAGAAGCCAGAGTTTCCATTCGAGAGAGTGCCTAAAGTGGCTTTCATGTTTTTGACTAGAGGACCTTTGCCCTTGTTGCCATTGTGGGAGAGGTTCTTCCATGGCCATGACAAGTATTTCTCAATTTACGTCCATGTAATTCCGGGTTATGAGCTCACTGTTTCTACCACCTCTCCTTTTTATCAACGCCAAATCCCCAGTCAGGTACAAGGCATGTTTTATGACATTCTATTCTTTTTTCTTGTCACTGATGCTCTACTGCTTCAATATTTCTCGTTGTTTCTCTTTTGATTTATACGATTATGTCATTGCGTACTTGTAGCTTCGTATCAATGTTGTGAGGGAGATTGGCATGAAAAAAGATTATCTAAGTTTGTGGGGGAGGGAAGTGAACTGAATTTCGTAGCTATGATAATTTTATTTGGCGTGTAATTGTTTATTTGTTTTTCTTCGCTTAAGAGATCAGAAACTTGTATTGTATCAAGGGAAGTAGGGTAATTATCATGGACTCTTTGGCTTGGTGTCCGGCAAGATTAATGTTTTCTGAAGATGTTTCCTACCACCACCTAATTTAATCTCTAGATCCTTTACTTTTCAAGATCCAAGTTATCAAAGTTTTTTTTTCCTTCCTTCATCACGCTGACTTAAACTTAGGTACTCATGAACTAATTTTAAGATTGCTTTATCATTAGCAGCAATTTTTGCGTTGGCCATTGTTTCTGTAGACCCGTAACATCCTCTTATATATTGAAATTTCACGGATATGCTTTGTCGTTAAGTTAGGTAACTGATTGCAGTAGCTTCTTGTAAAATCAGACGTAAGGCAATTGCTAAGTGCTGCTCAATTTGGAAGAAATACAGATCAGTAGCCTCACTGGAAGTGAAATAATCATTATTGCTTTGGTGCAAAACTTCTTTTCCTGAATTCGGGTCTTGCTATTTCCTCTTCGTGGTCCTTACAGTAGATTTGTTGTCTGTCATCGCAACACTAGGTTTTAGCATGGAACCAATTTTGAAGATTTGTTAGGCATTGTTGTTTATCATGTGCCATGTAAACTGTATTTCTTTTTTTCTTAATAAACCATGGTTGAAGAAATCTACGCTACATGTTTGCGTATGGTGTTGTAATTCCTTCTTCTTAGCTTAAGAGAATTGCAATAAGCGTTATGTCCATATATCAATTAGGTAGTGCTATCCGGTATTGTTAGATCACTTAGATTTTGTCTTAAACTTGTATCACGAGTGTGTTCTGAATTATCGAGTAATCTGAGATGAAAAAAAGACCCGAGAGGTGTGTGCATCTATCATTCATGAAGATAATATGGTCTTCGTTCTTAATGAATTACGTAATGCTTACCCTTAAAAATTTTCTTCTCTGCAGCCTGTTTCATGGGGGACAGTAACATTGGTTGATGCAGAGAGGCGGCTTCTAGCGAATGCCTTGCTTGACTTCTCAAATGAGCGCTTTGTTCTTCTCTCTGAGAGCTGCATCCCGATCTATAATTTCCCTACTGTCTACAAGTATCTCATCGGTTCAAACCATAGCTATGTTGAGTCATACGATAATCCTGGGCGTTATGGGCGTGGGCGTTACAGCCGCGAAATGTTTCCTGATATTCAACTGTATCAGTGGAGGAAAGGGTCTCAGTGGTTTGAACTTAGCCGTGCGTTGTCCGTGTATATAGTGTCGGAAACAAGGTATTACACAATCTTCAGCAAATATTGTTTGCCTGCATGCTACCCGGATGAGCATTACCTGCCTACTTACTTCAACATGTTCCATGGATGGCTGAATTCGAATAGGACTGTGACGTGGGTAGACTGGTCACTGGGAGGTCCGCACCCTGCAACGTACGGAGGAGACAATATTACGGAAGATTTCGTACGGTCTATAAGGAACAATGGAGCGCTGTGTCAGTACAATGCGGAGATGACATCCATATGTTACCTATTTGCTAGGAAGTTTGCACCAACTGCACTGGGGCCTCTGCTCGAGTTCGCCGCATCGGTGATGGAATATTGACAATTTCCGATCTTTTGAGCACAGAATTTTGGTATCAATTTCTTCCCAAATACGAAGATGTAGAGGGAGGTAGTTTTGGATAGAGAGACGTTATTGAGTTGGTTCTCTGTGTCATTGAGTTGAGAGAATGAGTTGGTTCTTAAAATAAATCGTGGAATCAGCAAAGTCCTTCGAAGAAGGATACTCACCAATATATTATACAAAAGTTCAATTTAGAGAATTTCAATGAAAAACTCTTGGTACTGTTTACTTTGACGAAAAATCATATTTTTACACTAAAAAGTCAATCATGATACTATTCACTTTACCATTTATTTTGTCCTTATCGTTAAAACTTAAAGTTTTTAAACCCTTTTCATTAGTTTTCTTTTTAATTTATTGACGGCTCCGAAATCTTTTTGTCATATGTATTTGATCTAACTGCTCTTGTCGTAATGAGTACTTAAACGTGCACTTTGGAGAAATCCTCGCGTTTGGCTTGTGTTGTCGAGGTGAAATCAAACAGCAACCAATGAGCCGCTAAGTGAGATATTTGTGAAACAGAGACTACAAACGTAATTTGGCTTATTTTTATGGGAGTTTTAACGAAAAACCTACGGTACTGTTCACTTTAACAAAAAACTATATTTTTACACTAAAAAGTCAATCTAGTACTATTCACTTTACCCTTTATTTTGTCCTTATCATTAAAATTCAAAGTTTTCAAGCCCTTTTCATTAGTTTTCCTTATTTTTATTCACTTGTACGCACACAAAATTAACACACTTAATAACACACTCAAACAAAATTGTATATGAATCGTTGAATCAAAATTGCATATGATTCATATACCATTTGAAACACATAAGCAATGCGAGGAAAATTGATTTCAACCGAACCAACGACACAGCACCATCTGCCGAATCGGCCCCAAATTACAATGAATCCGTCGTCCCCTAGCCACCACAAGGAACCAGTCCAAAGAACAACAATCAAAGTACTAAACTGAACCATTCACCAGGATGTATTCACCTACCGTACAACTTACGGAAGTCAGAAACTATAGGCCCCTACGAATTCATCTCATATATTTAACATGCACAAAACTTGATAATTGATTGGTAATTCTATTGTAAGTCATAGTAATCTTCATCAACCATGCAGATGGACGTGCACAAGAATAAGTAACTTATCATATTAATCGCTATAGAAAATATCAAAGAGAATTCAGTCACAAGAGCCCCTTATACACCCAATTGAACGCCTTAAGCTTGCGGCATGGAGAGACACTTAGCATACGTTCAATGTAGCATTGGCCAACTTAAAAATCAAGACAGAAAATTGACGGCGTCTCAATCACTTGATATAAGGATCAAGCAGCTGCTACCTGTTCTGTAATTTGAGCGGGTTCTGATGGTGATTGGTCAGATCCTGTCCCTTCAGCAGGTCCTGACAGAGGGTACTGTGGTCCTATGCTTTGAAAATCTTCAGATGGCATGTACGAAGCTGTCACATGAGGGAGTCTGGACGGAGGGTGGTGTGGTACTGCCGTTTGGGGGGCTCCTGATGGAGTGTAATATTGTCCAGCCATTTGAGGGGATTGAGCTGTGGGGTGCTGGCTTGTAGCCATATGTGGAGGTCTTGGTGGTGATTGGTAAGTTCCAGTCATTTGATAGGGTCCAGAAGGCAGCTGATTGGTTCCAGATGGTGGCTGATAGGTTCCGGATGGTGGCTGATAGGGTCCAGAAGGCGGCTGATTGGTTCCGGATGGCGGCCCATAGGTTCCAGAAGGCGGCTGATAGGGGCCAGAAGGCGGCTGATAGGTTTCGGATGGTGGCTGATAGGTTCCAGATGGTGGCTGATAGGGTCCAGAAGGCAGCTGATAGGTTCCAGATGGTGGCTGATAGGTTCCAGATGGTGGCTGATAGGGTCCAGAAGGCGGCTGATTGGTTCCAGATGGTGGCTGATAGTGATAGGTTCCAGATGGTGGCTGATAGGGTCCAGATGGTGGCTGATTGGTTCCAGATGGTGGCTGATAGGGTCCAGATGGTGGCTGATATTGTCCAGTCATTTGGGGCGGTGCTGACGACGGACGATATTGTCCTGCCATTTGAGGCGATCTTGGTTGGAATTGCTGAGGTGGTGCCTCTCTAGGTAGTGATCGGTATCCCCACCTATTCGTATTTAATACTCTCTGAATCTCTTCGCCACGCCCAGCTTCTCCAAAAACCTCATTTACAAATTGCTGCAATTCTGGAGGAACACCAATGCCATATCTCACCATCTCTTCCAGTAAATCACAGCCTGTATCAAGCACACCTTCATTGCAAACCCCCTTGATCACAGCATCATAAAAACTGGCATCTGGTTTTGGATCTTTTTCCCCCATTTTCTTCAAAATCTGTGCACAGTCTACTGCCTTCCCGTTCTTAATCAATTCATCGAACACCCTTTTACCAAGACTAGCAACCACTCGCAGACCAACCTCCACCATCCTGCTAAATATCTTAAGAGCATCATCTATCCTCTCTACTTTCAAATATGCATCAATCAGAGTCCTATGAGTCATGACATCCGGGGTCAATGACTTTGAGGACAATTCTGCAAACAGTGTCTCAGCCTCCGGTAACATCCCATTCTCACAATACCTCGCAATGATATTGTTATACCCCGCAACGTCCATAGAAAACGGCCTTGAATTCACCTTTGTCCCCACCTTCTTAAAGGTGGCAATTGCCTCATCGCACTTTCCAAGCTTAAAACACTCGTTAACCATAATGTTAAATGTTTCTGAATTCACAGCCTGGAAATTTGGCGGGGTGTGATTATCCAACATCTGATCAAACAAATCCCAGGCTTCCTTCTTCTTCCCATGCTTAAGCAGTACCTCCAAGAGAACATTACAAGTTGCCGGGACCATCCTAAACTGCCTATCAAGCAAGGACTTGTATGACTCCATCGCCTCTTTCTCTTTCCCCTGGTTGAAAAACCAATCCATAAAGGTTGAATTCACAACCCCATCATAAACCAAACATCTCTCTTTAAGCTCATCAAACAGCTCAACAGCCTTATCCATATTCTCCAAATGTAAGAATCCCTTAATCAAATTATTAAAAACCAAAGAATCCGCTCCGTGGCCCTTATTCAACATCTCCCTCAACAAGTCCACACCCTCACCTATCCTCCCAGCATCAACCAACCCTTTAGTCAAATGCCGGTATGTCACTGGCGAGGGACTGTAGGGGCAATTTGCAATTATATGCCGATAAATCTCCAGTCCCACATCGACACGGCCCTCATCGCAATGAGTATTAATCAAATTATTATAAGATACAATGTTAGGAACAATGTTTGATTGATTGAAGAAGAAGTGGAAAAGGGCAATAGCGTCATTGTACCTCTTGGCGCGATACATTGCAGCCACAATGGCGTTGCAGGTGAAGACGGTGGGGCGAGTGTTGGAGAAAACCGAGTGACGCGCAACCTCGGACGCGGCGTCCAAGTCTCCGGCTCGGATGAGCGACTGGACGCGGTTGTGGAGGTTAAGGCGGGGGCCGACGAGGGCGGAGGTGGTATCAGGTAGGCGGGGGGCGTTCGGGTCCCGTGGGGGAGGGGGGCGTGAGTCCCGACGGAGGGCGTTGAGCGGGGGCTCGATTCGGAGGCGGCGCTTGCGACGTCTGCGCTCAGCGGCGGCTTCTTCGGCGGAGGAGAAAGCGAAGGTGCGGGTGGGGGTGGTGAGATGGAGAGGAATGTTTGGGTTAGAGCAGTGGAGGTGGAGGGAGGTGAGGGATTGGGTTATGGGTAGGGTTGTTGTGGTAGAAGGGCGGCGGAGAGAGCGGAGGAGCAGGCGGTAGAAAGACATGGCTGTGAGACTGTGACTGAGAGAGAGGTGAAAATGCTTAAACCCTAGCAACTCGGGAAATGAAGGTGGAAGAAGGAAGAAGGGTTTTGGTGGATAACTGCTTTGCTCTGCCTGCTTATGTTCCGACCAAAAAAAGTAAAATCTGTTTCACGTTTGGGCCGGGCCAGACCATTAGACATAGACTTGTTGGGTTGGATTGGAAACTCGCCCACTAAGCCCAGATGCTTTTTATTTTACTTATTTTTTGGCGAAATGATGTCTTTTTCCAAATTAACGTCATTTCAAAGCGTCCCCACAAATGGACGATGATGTTTTAGGTGTTTCTAGGCCTTGTGCCATCTTGTGTATTCGTGACACCGAGTATGCTACCGCAAACGTAAACTTGAAGTCGATTGAGTAGAGAGAAACGTATATTATTAGAAAAAGCTTTTAACTGAGGTTAACATGCATAATACAGTCTACAAGCATCACATAATGCTGTGCAGAAGCCGCAAGTACATACAAGAATAGTTCCACCCAATTTTGGCCAATAGTCGAACATCAATGTACATGTTACGCCAAAAAACCTCGTCAATCAAGCACAAGCTCATAGCAAAATTGATTGGATGTACAGTTTCATACGATCGCAACAAGATAAAAGGCAGGACACGGGTGAACCAATCAAGGGCGAACTTTCTCCTACGCATTTCCATTCGGCATCGTTGCAGTTGCAGCTCTTTTCTGTAAGTTCGATTCATAATGTTGAAAAGCCGCATCAAGTGCCTGTACCAAAATGGTCTTTGTCCATCAGTACCAGCCATCGTTAAGAAATTTCTGTTCCCGTTTCCTTTAACTAAGATGAAAAGCCTATAGATAAGTCATAAGTCCACTGATCGCAACAAAAACAATCGAATACAAACGCTGAAGTAAGCAGCTTAGCACAAGTGGACACCAAACAGAGAGCGCACTTGGCTGACAGAACAAGCAGCAGAGCATGTTACAAGAGGTTCATCAGCATAAAGTACCATACAGTTTCAAACTTAATTGGTCATCCATAACATTATTGTAAAAATCCTTAAAACATAAGAGATACGTTTCTTGACATTAAGATTAAGATGAATTAATCCTTTCAATTAAACTGAAAATTGAATAGAGGTATTGACCTGATGCATTGGCCGAACAAGGAGAGAAACCTGGTGCCGGAAGTCTGATTCCTTTATCTCCTGGAAAATTTCAATCGATACGTGAACAAAGTAGATCCTAAACCCTCTTCCAAAACAATTAAACCCAATTAATATGGGGTTTAAAACATGAAGAAATCAATATTGCATATATGAAAACAGAAAAAAAGAGTTTTGAGAAGATGACCAAATGACATTTTCTGTTTTTCCAAATTTCATGAAACAGAATTAAGGTGGATGTTGAACTGCAAAGGTGGAGCACTAGCTAAGAATCTTTAGACAGTCAAAGCAGTAGATAAAAATATGCATCAAATCCTCCAATAAGAAACCAATGTCTCTCTCGTCTCCAAACCTCTTCCCATCACTCCACTCCAATGAAGATCCACCACACACAGGTTGCCACAAACAAGGCAGTTTGATATAAGATACATTCACAGAAAATCCCCAATGGATTGTCATAAAGCTATATGGCGACCAGATTTTAATAAAGGACTATGTTAGCAATGAGGCAAAGAAGGCACCAGGAGCACAACTACTTTTGAGGTGAAAGAACCTCGAATTGATGAGGCAGACAACACTACTGGGCTGTTTTCAGCACTTCTTATAAATTACTCCACATTCCACATGAAAAATTTAAAACAGCTCAACATCAATAATGACACTATGAAGGAGACCAAAAATCAGTTATAATTTTGAGCTTTTGACAACTATTTTTATAAAACACAATATGGTGTTTCATATGCTTAGAAAATGCATGTGGAGTATCTTAAAATAGCCCAGAAAACAAATGAGAAAAAGATAAAGTAGCAGGACTGATACCTCTAGCTGTCGATAGATTTGTGACATGGCATCCTTCAGTTTGCCTACCTGCGTGAATAATTTAGTGAAATCACAGAATAAAAATAATTTTTTTTAGAATAAAGAAAACCATGTTGAAGAGATTCAAATAGTGATGTTAATGAGTAATGATTTTCATATAGCATAAAGGAAACAAAGCTAACCTTTGTAGAAAGATAAGCTGTGGTAATTGGATATGTAGACCAAAAATGCCTCAGTAATTCTTGAATGGACATCGAATGCTGGAATAAAAAACATATCCCTAAAGTCAAAAGAACTGTGAAGTAAACAAAACCTAATGCAACTTGATCAACTCTATGTCAATGAGAACTGAGCAGCAGTAATTAACTTTTTCTATATTATTTATTTATTTTACTTACAAAGCAGCTAATAGTATCTAGAAAGTAAACAGACGAGTTGTTATTCACTCACATGCAGCAGTTCCTCTTTCATTTTGTTTGGCAAACTGTCCAGAATACCCTCCCGAGGATTCTTTCCGAGTTGATACTTGGTACTAGAAATATTCTGAGTCAGTCCATTAAGAACCTATACCACAGAAATGGGTAGTAAAACTTTCTGGCAATTGAAGTATACAGTTTTATAACTATACATATCATATCTAGAAAAAAGACCTGCCAGTAAGACCATATTACCATAAGAGCAATTTCTGGTGCAACTGTGGAATTTTTCAATCCAATGCTCTTAATTTTAGATATAGACTCCTTCAAGGAGCCATATGCTTCCTCAGTGGTCATGCTGCATTTTTTTTGTTCAGTTCCTATTCGTGATTCATCCAAAGCTTTAAGTGCATTAGCTTGTTGCGTGTCAAAGTAGTCTCGAGGATCCTGTATTCATGACACATGAAAAATCTCCAGCGTCAGAAGAAAACAAAAGGAGTGTGCACCTTCTGCATTAAACTGTTGGACTTTTGGAAGAATGATATCAAAGTGAACCTTAATACATAATTGAGCAACAGGATGATCGTGAGGTTCTCGAAGGTCATCTATCTCATTCATCCGAGCAATCCTATCAAGTCTCTCCTGCACAGCACTCTCATCAGGCTCTGCCAAAACATCCGGCGAAAGTTAAGCACAGATCCTGACTTGCCATTGGACAAAAGAGGAAATATTGAGGGGAGGAAATCCCAATGGATAAACCAAAGGGGGAAACAAAGGACAATGCTAACCCTGTCTTGACCGCATAAGTGCTTCTGCAACATTATTTGGATCTTCTAAATCCCCATCTGAAGTCAGGTTCACAAATCAAAGTTATCTACTAAATTATAGATGAAATATAGCTCAGCCGGTTCATCAAAAAACATCAAAATCACTATAATAATATATAAGTAGATAGAAGCAGCTTACGACATTTATTAATCATAGGAAAGAAAATAGAATAGATTCAGGAGAAACTCTAACCAACAGTTCTTCCTTGAAGAACAACAGCCCCTTGCCTGTTAAGGTCTTGTGATAAAGTCCTCCTGTATTGCTCATTCTGTAGTTCAGTGATGTCCTTGCCACCATCACGAAAGATCCCATGATCCTGATTTTTAAAACGTATCAACCAGATCAGAAACGGTTAAAATGAAATCAACTTTATGGCATCCCTAGAGACGTTAAGCATGATAATTAAAAAAAATTCATTGTGGATCAAAGGCATAAGTGGGTATCCAGAATATCAGAATATAAAATACAGGAACCACTGAGGAATGTTTCTCCAACGTGCCATATCTATAACTGCAAATCATCTGATAACCACCCTTAAATTTGGGGGTATCAGGAAAATTAGAAGACTGCTTTTAGGATAAGATAGAGGCTACTAGAATAAAAGACTCAAGATCGGTTCTAGAAAACATACAGGAAGATGTGTATAATCATCCCCTTGGTCAGCTTCCATATCCAAAGTTGGATCAACCCGTCGAATCTGCCAAAAAAAGGCATAAAAATAAGAATATAAACATATGCACCGGAAGCATCCAGGGTATACCAAAACTTATAGGGTGAAGAAAACAATTTTTTTAAGAGCACCTTCTGACGAGCTTCCCTTGCCAATATTTCATCCTCCTTTAAAAAAATTGCCAGTTCCTCATCCTCAGCAGCTTCTGCCGCAATTGCAGCAGCATTCTTGGTACTGTGAAGGAATTCAGCTCTGAAATATTTTGTCCAGAAGTCTTTTGCTGTCATCTGGAATTATAAACAGGGAAAGCTAGAAAAACATGATTTGCGCGAAGTAAGAAAGCAAATAGCAAACTTCTCAATTCTCAACTTATCACTAACATGGAAAAGTGTCTGATTATGTAAGGAATTGTTTGGATATCCTCACTACCTTACTGGGCACTAGTTCAAGAAATGCCTGGTGAACAGCTGGTTTGAGAGCAAAGATCTGAAAAGGAGTGTAACAAAACTTAAGCATAAGCGCCAAAGAAAGCTTTCCAAGATGGATAACCAAACTCTCGTTCAGAGTACTTGCATTTGTTGAAAATGAAATGAGTATTATCTCAAAGAAGAAGTGAAAAGTGGAGAAATATGCCTGATATTTAATCTCTGGAGTGAAATTAAACGTAACCTTGTTCATCTAGACAATTCCCAAAACAAAAAACAAAAAAATTTAGTTTCCGACCCACTAAGTTGATGAGATAAAAAAGTTATGGATAAGTAAAGGAATCCTTTAAGATCCACAAAATAGTTTTATTAAATGTCATCAAGGAGGTGCCAACTCTACAAGCAACCAAAGTAACTATTGGCAAGAAGAAACAAATGAATCATAAGATCAGAGAGAGAGAGAGAGAGAGTTCAATGTTCTACCCGACCGTCACTTGTAGGTTTGGTGTCCAAAATCATTGAATTTTTAAAACCAACCCGTTGTTTTGGCTTTGTACGGCTATCTCCATCAAGCAACTTCTGCAATAAATTTCAGAAGGCAGACATGTCACAATAACAACTATACACTTTCGGTTAAAATTTGTTTCAATTGTCAGTGTAGCACTATGGGTGGGGAGGGGAACCAACACTATGTATAGGCTTGCCGTTGAAAAGAAAAAGTAAACACAACTTTCCAAACATGATCAAGAATCTGTCTTCATTACGGTATCTAACCTTCCTAGTTGCCCAGAACTCAGATTCTGTCAAAACACCACTGATTACAAACTGCATATGAAGGTTCTGCAGTTCACTGTGAAGAGTAAAATTAAGTGACATAAAACAGCAGTTATATACGGAAAGCTCAGAAGCAAACAATCTAGTAACAAGAAATAGCAAGTAACTCACCTTCTCAAAACCTCAGCTCATCATAAACATAAATTACAAAACTATGATTACCATCCAAATTTCCACCTAGAAAACAAAGGCAAAAGAAAATAACTTGTAGACAAAACAAGGCAGCATGATAGTTGGGTATTTTTGTTTATGCAGAGTTGCTTTTGTTGTTTTTTTATGTTTTATTTTTCTGGTTTTTTTGGTGGACTGCTTGTACCAGGAAATGGCAGTACAGAACACCACGGCACCAAATTGTTGGCAGAAAAGACAAGAAAGCAACCAAATGTTTGAATTCAGCAATCTGATACTGAAAAAGGAAGGGACTGAAGCACTTTGAAAGTGGAGGCCGTCCAGATTTGGTCTTTGTGTGAGTATGAGTTGTACATATCAATGCTAGGAATCAAACTAATCAGAATCTGCATTCAATTATGTCAACATTAACTGTTATTAATTCATTTTAGGGGAATGCATATGACTAGAAAAACAGGTGGGAACTTACAATCCACAAGTTGTTGGTGTGTGCTTTTGTTATTCTTCACTGGCTTTTATTAGATTTATTTCAATATTTTTCATTAAAAGTTGATTCTAGGGGAAGGTTATTACTAGGAAAACGTAAAAATTATCAATTATCATAGAAGTACATAGAGTATTAAAACAAGCGGCAAACTTGATGGTGAGTATTGTCCTGATTCTTAAATAACTATCATTAGACTTTGTCATTCACAATCTTTACTAGTTTATTCTGGGCAAAAGTCTACAACTAGAAAAATATAATACGTACTATGGTATGAATAGAAAATAAAAACATGTGAACTTGTAGAACGGGTGTGGTATCCTGATTCTTTCCTGCTGAGAGTTGCATTAAGATGAAAGTTAAAACCCAAATTATAGTTCAACCAAGAAATATTAAAAATAATACATCTCCATAAGGAAACAAAAATTGATTTTAAACTATTCCAAGGAGCTACAAAATGTGAAATGCTGATGTTAGCTATCTGATAGGGAGGAGACAAAGTAACCTGTCTTCTTGCAGTAGCTTCATACGGAGCTCCATTTCTGCTGCACTGAGTTGTTCATCAGGCAATGTAACTCCATCTTTCTTAGGAGCAGTTTTTGCAGCTTCTGCAGCCTTAGATAGGGCATTGCCTATTCAAACACACCAAAGAGCACAATCTAAGAGAAAATAATTAACTAAAACACGCAAGACAAAAGTCTAATAATTTAAAAAAAAAATACAATTTAAATAAAATTTTAGTGCAACAAAGCTTGTAAGGAAAGCAGTGGCACAAAAAAACAACGGTTGGCACTAAATGTTATTTAGAATCTTGTAGATAACTGAAAAGGTAAAGGCATTAAAACACCCCTCACACGATCACAGCTACAAGCAGTATTTGAATGGAAAACTCTCAAAATTCAACTAAAAAAGAAGTCGAATTATATCAGCAGAATGTTAGATTTGTAGACAATGAGTAATCAAGTGGTTTCTAAAGAAATACAGTGGCTACTGGCTGTCTCTTACGATGCAGTCCATTCCAGTAAAGGCGGTCCACATGAAACATTTATACCAACAGCAAGCAATATAGAGCAAAAGAAGAATGTGAAAATAAGCCTTTGAACACAATGAACATAGAATTTCATACATGTTCTGGATATGAATGAGATTTACCTACAAAATCTCGGCATTCATGAAGATCGGGAAAACTTTGAAACTCAAAAATGTAACTTTTAACCTGGGGCATCACAGTTGCAGAAATCCAGTCAATAAAGAATAAGAAGCTGGATTAGACTAGCTCTAAACTAGTGGTAGGATGTAACATAAATTACAACTAAAAGAAAACCTCACGACTGCTGCTGAGATTAAGCAAAGGTGCTTGCTTGGATCCCTCCTTGGTGTTTTTGTGACCTGAAAGTTCATGAGCAAGAATAAAAAAAAAAGGGGGGAATTATATATATAACTCGAACAGGGAGCACGTAATCCAGAGAAATTGAATCGTTGAATATCAAGATTAGTAAAGATATGGTCTTTTAGTTTGGCTTACTAAGACTTTTTGAAGGAAACAGGTAAAAATGATAAACAAGGTGCTTACTTCAAAGAAATGAATCCGTTGCCAATATAAGGAGTACCTTTAATATGTCTAAACTCCACATCAAGGGTTTGGGTAGACGTGGGATCGTTTGGCTTGAACACAAACTTGTCCTCAACCTGCCCATACCAACACATTCGCAAAAACAACATTACACAAATGCAATCCAGCAGTCGCATATTTAAGGAATTTGACATACAGATCCCCGAAAAAGACTTTGACTTAGCTCAAAACTTGTAGCAAATTTATCCTTACAACCAATGACAAAACTCATTAATACAAACCAACTGTTGGTGCATGATTTGCAAGCTATCCACATGAACTATGTCCTTGATTGTTAAAGAAAGTTTGAACTATGTCCTTAATCCCATAAATCTTACCGATAACCGCAAATTAGCAATTGTAGAATATACAAAATGTTTGCAGAATACTTTGTTCATACACGAAAAGCAATGGAATTGAATGAGGGAAAAATGGAAGAAATAAGCAAATGTTGGGTACCATAGTTAAAACGCCGGGAATGCCAGGGTTCTTTAATCTTGCCGCATCCTTGTATTGTGCACGCTTCACCACTCGCCTCGACGACGAGGATGATGAAGAAGACATCTTCTTCTTCTTGTTCGCGATTGGTGGGCACACGATTTCTCAAAAAATAAAAAGAATTTCGAATCGATCAATCAAAATTGTCAAAATCTAATAAATCGGATTAGATTAGGGGGGTTAGAGTTGTTGTTAGGGTTTTAGGATTGTTGCAGATACAAACGGCGCGCATTTGTACGGACCGAGGGAGAGGCTCACTCTCTCCCAAGCTCCTTCCTCTTTTCTTTGGGTCTGTGTGAGCGACTGTTCTCCTACTGAAGAAGGAAGAGCAAGGTCCTACTCGTTTGGATGCGTTATTGAAATGCTTGAACGTTTTCGGTGAAAATATTTTTAAAAACAATACGTAAAGAACAAATCTTCGCTGCCAAGATTGGGACTTGAGCGTGTAAATGGAAATGAAATATTTGCAGGATTTTCCGAACTTTTGGTAGTGACAATAGTGGCAGACTTGTAATTATTGGTATTATTAGATCTCTTTTGTTATAGGTGGCAGGAGAGTCGTCAACCAAACTGTCCCTTTCGTCAGAAGCAGAGAGAGAGCAGAAACGAAGTGAGAGAGATGGTGTCGTTGGTCACCAAGAACAACCCACACAACAAAATCAAAGTTTGAAATTCAGGAGAGAGAGAGAGAGAGAGGAAGCAGAAGCACCAGCAGCAGGAAGAGCTATGAAGTTGTTGAAAGGAGAGGTGGGATTTCTGGTTCTCTACGCAGCTGCTTTCTACGCCTTCATCATCCATCGATCGCTCCAAATCTCTCGCGGTATCATCCATTTCTTAATCTCTTTTCTTTCTTCTTTTTCCTTTTGATATTTATTTATTTGTTTATTTATTTATTTATGTATTAATTGAAAATTGAATGTCCATTTTTCTGATACGCAGATCATCATGCTAAGCTTTTCGGTTTGCGTCCTGGATGGCTCATTCCTCCTCGCCTCAATGTGTGTTTCTTCTTTCAATTTCATTCATTTCTTTTTTCTCTTTATAAATTCAGTTTTATTTCAATGATAACACGCGAAATTCTAGTGTAGATAGTTGGGACAACGCTCTGCTGTTGTTAACTGTGTGTGTGTATTTGTAAATTCCGAAGCGGACTTTGACACGCTGCTGTCTTACTTCAGTGTTTTAAGTTTTCGATTCGTTGTTTTATGGTGTGGAGTCAGGTTCTAGGGATTAGCATTCAGCTCTTGAGTTTTGAGCTGGCTAAACATGGGAGTTTGACAAAATTTAGTGTGTTGCCCGAAGGGCTAGTGATGGCATTCAAATGGCATGGTGTTTGAAGATATATGTGTATATGATGCACGTATGTATGTAAATTCTATTCCTTCACAATTATCATAGAAAATAATGGTTTGGAAAATGGGGGATAAGAGCAGATTAATGCTGAAAATGTGAATTAGATTGAGGCAGAAGTTATCACTAACGGAATTGTAGTGACTTAAAATGTGTATCTGATGGCAGAAGTTATCATTTAAATACTAGAAACATTGCTCCGTTTCTATATGTCACTCTTGTTTGTGTGTTGAGTTACTGCAGTGCCATGGTGTGAAAAACATTGGATGTACTGAAAACTCAAAAAACTATACAAATTCTGTTCTCTGATATACCTGTTCTTACCTGAAAAGCACCTGTCTTTTTCTGCTTAGGATGTTTCTGATGCTCAATGGAGAAACTTTCGAGGAAATTTACCAATTCTTACCGTTGTTTTCACAATGTTCACGTTGATCGCTAATTTTTTGAGGACAAGCTTTCATTTAAAAGCGAGAGGGATGTCCATTATTTGGATTTTGATTTCTTTCACATACCTAGCATATCTGCATGGAGCCTGGTATGTCTTACCTTCATAACAATACTTGGATTTTATGCTTTTTCTGAGGAGGTGCTATTCTCTGACTTTCATTGTTTCTGCAAGCATTCTATTTATCCTCTCAATCGCTTCAATGAATTTTCTCTTGGTTAAGGTGAGCTCCATTCTTGCTTGGATGCATAATGCAATGCATTTTCTTTTAGGGAATTGTTAGTGGCACTCCAAAAATCTAAATGTGCACTTCAAACTTTCTATATTTAGAAAGAAAAATACTCTTACGAGGAGTTCACAGTTAGATTTTTGGAGTGCCAATTATAGTTGCCTTCTTTTATCACCATTATCATTAGTGTTTTTCTGTTTATATTTATGTTGCAGTATTTTCCTTCAGTTAGGTTGGTTTTCTGATATATACAGGTCCTATATGAACCTTTAGTCTTAAAGTATGTGTTATGATACGTAAAGAATATTGGCCAGCTTCCGAAACAACATGATTTCATGTGAAGAATTTGTTTTGTAACATATTTAGACTTAAGAAGGGCAAAACTTGATTTCTATGTATTGTTGGCGTAGCAGTTGATAGTTTGTGCACTTTATTCCACCATACACTTTGTGCTTCTAGGAGTTAAAAGTTCTGTATTGTCCCTAATTGCGTTTCAAATGTTAACTGTTTATGCATGTGAAATTAATGGTGCAGGGTAACTTTGACAGTTAGGTTGGATGAAAATATTCTAATCCCCCCACCACACACCCCCCCCCCCCCCCCGCCGGCCCCGCCGCCCCTAAAATTTGATTTTATAATTGCAAACTGTGTTATTGTATGCTTTATCAGATTAATCATATGGGCTACTGTTTTGAGTCTATTCAAAGAGTTCCTTTTGTTTCTTTCTTTGTCAGAGTTTTGCGCTACACTTTTGAATTCTTGCCATACATTACTGGACTTGTGTTTTTGCAGATATTTGCACGAACAAAATATTTCCCTTTTGTATTATGGATTTTCAACATATTCTTTCTTCTGTGCAATCGTGTTTATGAAGGATATTCATTCTCCATAATTGGGTGAGTTTTGTTGGCTAGGCTAGGCTAGGCTAGTTAGTGCTTCTTTGGGTACTTAACAAATGAATTGTGATATATCTGCTTACTGGTTCTGCATATTATTATGTAGGCAACGCTGGGCATATTTGGACAACTTTCGGGGCACCTTTAGATGGCACATTTGCTTTAACTTTGGTATTGTGCTTTCCTCATTATTGGTTTGACGGATTAATTCCAGTTATCATACTTCCATGATTAAGCTTTAATTATATGTGAATATATATATATGACATTTCGTCAAATACTTGCATACCTATGTAGACACAAATCTATATATGCAATCCTACAAAATACCCAGATGGGTTTACCAGTATGATCTGTGAGACAGAACAAGCAGCCAACTTTCTGAGAATCGAATGACATACCAAAAGAACCCATCTCTACAGTATGAGAATCCTCTAATAGTTGAATAATCTTAGATATTAAAAGATGGACATGAAATAAGTTGGCTGCTTGGAACAGCTTGGAAGTGGGTTCTCAGACTGCAGAGACGGGTTTGCATAATTACCAAATACAGCCAACTTATTTCATGATTACTGCAGCTTGGAGCAGACCCACAATGCCACAGATTGGAGCTTTGTGGATGATAGGTCAACGGTGTGTAAGGAATAAGGATTGTTATATGAGAACCAAAATGGTGGATGAATATGTTTGAAATTTTGAGTCGTTTCAAGGAGTTATGGGTGTATTTGGTAATTAAGGATCTCTTCCATGTCTGCTGGTGTAAAATTGTGGTTTTGGTGCCCCCAATTAAGTTATGAGGTAGGCAGTGGAGAGATAACTAGTTGGGAGATGAGTTCATTGTACCTATATTCTTATTCAGTAATTGCATGAATAGAAATAAGTAAAAGCTTTCAATTGAGATAATAGGAATGGAAGTTAATAGGAAAAAAAAAAGAACGGATTCACAAAGCACAATGAGTAATGCTGCAACCTGCTATTGTACATTAGTATATATTTGTGATTCTATTATATGGTGTTTTTTTTTCTCTAATTCTGGTTGTTTGTGACAGTTGTTTTGCGGATGATAAGCTTTGGTTATGATTACCATTGGGCACATCGAGATTCTCGTTTTGACCATAAGGTATTTGTGTTCCGTTGAGCTGTGATCTGTATGCTCTCTTCTTTGTTTGTATCCCTCCCCCTTCTTGTCTAGTATGTGTGCTATAAGATTACTTTGTCACTGTGTCTACATGGAAACGATGTTTCAAACCTTCCAAGGCTTCTGGTAATGGTGATGATGCAGGACAATAGTAAGAGAAAGGAAGAAAAGAGTGATCTGGACTCACTCTCTGGCCTTTGGCAAAAACTATTGGTGTATTGGATTCACTACAATAGAAATGAGAAAAAAAATCTAGCCTCACAGCTAATACACTCTAAATTCTAAAAGACACAATTCACAACACCTATTCATGTGACAATAAGAGACTTAAAGACATTTGAATGTGAGACTTCAAAACAATGAACCTAAAATATACCGTGTGATTAATACATCACAACCTTTTCAGGAGATTATTTTTTTTTTGTATATGCCAAACTTGTTTGACTTCCTACGCCCACCAATGATTGTGGCCTGAAAGAATAACGAGCATGTGTTACTTATTGCTCTAGAACTTTATGGTATTTTTCTTTCCAGCTGATTCTATGGATGAGAGTCAAGAGTGGTTATTACTTTCACATCACTCAACCCTGCATTTTTTTCAATGTTCTTGCTCTGCGGCTTGCTTTTGAAGTTGATATCTTGTTAGTTTTCTGTGGTCACACTCAATGGTACCTTAACATTGTCCTTCACAGGCTTGCCAATTACTATATTAACAGCATTTAGTCTAGTATTAACAACAAATTCTTAGGCCAATTCATGTACCAGTATCCATTAACATATTTTCAGCAACCCTCTTTGGTTTGCCGTAAACCTTATACAGCGAATCTTGGTGATTCCTAGTTCTTTCTGATGGATTTTCACTGCTTATTAATGTACGCAGATTATTGTCAAGGATTTAATACTGTGCGCTTTACCTATTTACAAAGTGGTGATGTTTCTTGTTCTTGTATACAGAAACACATTCAGCGCTGCAATATTTGTAAATCGGGGAAAACTTGTTATCATGTTTTACAGGTTAGCTTATTATGCCTTCTACTTAAGTGCAAGTCTAGTATTATACTATTATTGCAGTTGATGGATCCTTAAATCAACTTTCATCCAAATGGATTTTCCATGTGTTCATAAATGTGTTTGTTATACCCAGGAGAGAGGTGTCCAGAATGACAAGTATGCCTTTACGACATACCTCGCTTATTTGGTGTATGCATCTCTTTATCTTACTGGGCCGATTGTTAGCTTCAATGCATTTTCCTCACAGGTCTGTCACTTTCAATATTCGTACTGTTTTGTTTTTTAAATAATTTGAAATATTTGGTCATTTCTGGATTGTCAAGTGCACTG